GATCCCTGAATACCCTCATTGTCATTTTTGGGTTTGCCGGCCTCAGCCTCACATAAAGGATCCTGCGGTTCTTTTTTTGGGTTCAAGGCAATACGAAACACAAGTTCATGAAACAAAGCCCTACTGCGTACGCACGCATCAACACCAAACCCCACGCTGCCTGTTAGGTTTTCCCTTCTTCTCCATCCCGTCGTCTGCTGCGCCCTGGACTGGACAGAGAAAAGAGAACCTGGACGGCTGAGCCCATCATCCATCATCCTTCTCTCCATTCATCCAACCCTCGGTAACAGGATCTGGTACCAGAGAGGTACGAGCCGTTTACCCTTCTCCCCCTCACAAAATCGAGTCACCATTGTCGTACCCTTCCATGCCTTGGCCCTGGCCTGCCACTTGACCCCACCCAAGCGCCCACTCGTACAGGACGGACAGTACCTCAGATTCTCACGCCCACGCCCCGGTGCTAAAAACCGCTTGTTCAAGTGCCAAAAATACACACCCGTCCATCAAGTGCCCCCCCGGTCACCTCAACTCTCCCCCCCCGTCCTGTTCTCCATCCATTCCCATTCCCCGTCCCCGTCCCGCCCGAAGGCTCCCCTTCTGCTCACCGCTGCACACCAAGCATCGATTCACTGACTCCCACACGCAAAAAAAAAAGATCATATTATTTCCCGCGCCCCTCCCCTCAAAACCCAACCTCTTCGCTTTCCTCTCTGTGCCTCGTGTGCTCTTCTTCACCTTGACCTTGGGTCTCATCTTGTCCTTCTTCAGATTTCACCCCCTTGCCCTTCTTGGCTTCTCCTTCTCTTTACAGCCTCTGCTTGTTTCTTCTTTTAAACACTCCCCCCCACACATCTATCTTCCTCTCCTCCTCCTCTCCTCTTTTACATATACCCACCCACACAACCACACATTCACTACAATGACTTCAACATTCCCAATGCAACAACCATTCTATCGTCCAGCTCCTCTGACCGTGGACACGACCCATTCACAGAAGTACTTCGAAGACGAAGACAACAGCGTATTAGACGACAACATCCTTGACCAGAACAACATCGACTCCGGTCTTGAACTCTCGCCCCCCATGGCTGACAGCCGCCGAGAATCTTTTGCCGTCGGGCCTCCTCTGTTCTCCCCCAAGACTGAGGATTGGCAGTCGGTCGACATGCAGTCGGTTCCTTCAAACAACCCCTTCCTGGACCAGCACAGCAACAACCCCTTCATGCGCCTCGACCAGAACCAGCCCAATGTCTTTGCTCAAACAGCCAACTGGTCCGGTACTTGCACTCCTCTTCATCCCTTCGACGGTGTCCCTGCCGAGTATGATGCGAATGCCTCCATCTTCCAGCGACCCATGGCCGGCCCTACGCCTTTCACAAATGCCGGAAACATGTTCACGCCGCTCCCCGCCGGTAACCAGTCCATCCCCACTTCCCCTCAGAAGGAGTGGATGGCCCCTCACCAGGCTATGAACAAGAAGATGCGACCCAACAGCCCCGCTATCCGCTCCCATAACGATATGCGACGAGGCGATGGCATCCGCAAGAAGAACGCTCGCTTCGATATCCCCGCCGAGCGCAACCTCAGCAACATTGATCAGCTTATTGCCCAGTCTACGGATGAACAAGAGATCAAGGAGCTCAAGCAGCAAAAGCGCCTGCTTCGCAACCGACAGGCAGCGTAAGTCACTTCCCCACTCACCCCGACCCTTGTCTGATGCTAATACCCCACCAGCCTTGACTCAAGACAGCGCAAGAAGCAGCACACTGAGCGTCTGGAGGATGAGAAGAAGCAGTACACGGCTCTCATCAACGACATGGAGGAGGAGATGACCGAGCTCCGCGGCAAGCTTGAGCAGCTTCTCCTGGAGAAGCAATCATACACCAACTACATCGAGAACCTCAACCTCGAGAAGGAGGAGATGATCCGCTCTCACACCATCGAGACTGGCGAGCTTAGGAAGAAGGTCGGCGTCCTCACCGAGCATGTGCAGCGACTCGAGAGCACCGCCGTGCCTTCCAACGCGACCGGCAACAACGGTTTCTCGGGTGCCTTTGACGACATGAACGACATGGGTATGGGTGGCGCTTGGGATGCATCCAACTTCCTTCACGACTACCCCGTCGAGCCCGAGGTCAAGCAGGAGATGGCCATTGTTCCCGCCAAGAAGAACGAGAACAACCCCTTCAGTGTCGAGGGTGAAAAGCCCGCCGCTCAGGGTGGCCTCCTCTTCATGCTCTTCCTCGTCGGCGCCTTTGTCCTCTCGAGCCGATCAACCCCATCGATCCCCCGCGTTTCCGAAGACGTCCGAGCTGCCTCGGCCACCCTTCTGGACAACGTCCTCAAGGATGCCGGTGTCAACTCCCAGTCAGCGAGCCTCCAGGCGGCTGCTCCTCAGCCCTCTGGTGCCGCCAACTGGGGCAACGCTATGCCTATGAACGACATGGTGATGGAGGGTGTCGCGCCATCGATGCTTGCTGAGCTCGGTGATGCACTGACCCAGCCGACACAGGAACAGACCAACGAGCAGATCTTTTCCCTGTCGGCGGCCCAGTACAACGGTGTCAACTCGCAGGAGTTCCTCCAGAACGCTCCCGAGAGGTCTTCCCCCAGCCAAGGTCGCCGAAACTTGGCCGATGCCCTGGCATCGATGCGAACCACAAACAAACAAAACGGTGCAGCAGAGGTCTACACGCGCTCTCTCCTCTGGGATCAGATCCCGAATGAGGTGGTGCGCAACTTTGCGAAAATGGTGGCAGAATGCAACAACGCGCAGAATGAGCAGCAATGCAACGAAGCAAGGACATGATGAAGACACGGATAAAAAATGTCACGATGACGACACTCACGGCTTTTGTTTCGTGCTTAATGCCTTTGATTTATTTGGTTCTTTTTCTTTCTTCTTTTTATTTCCTCTCAAGTCTTTTTCCTTGAGTTGGCTTGATCGATTTCCTTCCTCTTTCTGGGGGATGAGCCGCCATATACTCGACGTCTCTCTCGCGCACACCAGACCTGTTGCTCACGCACCCAAACGGACGGTTTTCTTTTCTTAACTTCCCTTTGTCGTTTTCTTGTGGATTTGATTTCCTACTTCGGAGTCGTTTTTGATTTCCTATGGATCTATCTAGCAAGCGAGCGAGCATTGTTTTTTGTGTGATTTCCTCTGTCTTGGATTGGAATTCGTCTTTGCGTTTGTCTTGAAATTGGATACCTCTGCACTTTTTCCTGGGTCACGGCGAACTTGGAGGCGGCGGCGGTGTGGTGTAGGTTGAACAGGGAGGGGGGTTTGAGTCGACGGGGTAGGACTTGCAAGCGCAGCGACGGCGGCGGCGAAACAGTAGCCAGCCAGCGGTCAGCAGCAGCAGCAGACAGATTCTCTACAGGGGCCCAGTCCAAGTGAGTCTGGACATTATTTGGCGGGACGGTTTTTCTTTGGATCTTATGGAAGGGGGGGGGTTGGGATGGGTGGATATTGGACGGATATGGGATGGACCTTTGGTATGGGCATGGGATTGATGGGTGAGATCAGATGAGATGGGATGGACGAGATGGAGATTGATGGATGCATACTGTCCGATGAAGGACGACAACGACTGAAATGGGCAATGATGACGAAGATATGAAGCTCGTCGATGAACCATTGTTTTTTGTTACATTCTTGAAGCGACCCCCAGCCCCAGGTGGCCTGGCATTTTTGGTTGCAAGATATTTATGACTTGGATTTTCAGTTTTTACATTTTCATTCATGGAGCGAGCATTGAACAAGGAAGAAAGAAAAATGTCCATCTCAATATGCTATATAGCCTTGTATTTACTTTGGAAGCAAGCAAGCATCTGAGCCTCTGGAGGTGGTAGAGCAGCTTGGCTTGACTTGACATAAAAGCGAACATATGAATATTGACCATTGTATCTATCTTTACTGCCTCGTGCCATCTTTGCCAGATTTGGCTGTTTAATGCGACGACTGCGCCCCAGCAGAGAAGAGAACGGCCGGTGGCACAGCCCAACGAAGGATGATTAGAGTCCTTACTTGGGCTGACTTGACGTGACGGATTGATACACTTTCCCCCCGGCCAAAAAGGTCATCTGGGCAAACTACGTAGTAGATAGACAGAAGACAGCGGGCATCATCAGGCCTTGACCAAAACAAGGGAAGCGCCCGAAAGGCCCGCCGCGAGACAACTTGGTCTAAAGTGAAACTAGTGTAGTTGAGCTACCAAAAAAGGGTGTCCAGTTCCAAGACAATGTCTTGGCGGCGCGCGGCGCTGGGACGGCACGGGATGCGGAGATGGATGGGAGGGGTTGCGTCACTGGCACTATCTCTCTTGCTTCAGAGTCCCCTAAAGAAGGCCTCATGTTGAGATATGCGATTCTTGTCCAATTCTTCGATTCACGATGCGCTCACACCCTAGTGAGACTTTTAAACTATGTGCAAAAAAAAAAAAAAAAAAAAGGCTGCTCGTCCTGCATCTGGAAGTCTTTGGCCGGTGTTCCGGTGCTTGTAGAGACCTGCATCATGCAGACCTCCAAAGGCAAGATGCGGCTTGTCGGGGGGATGGGTAGGTTGCCCGCCACAGTCTCAAGACGGGGGAGAGTCCTAGAGTAGAGAACAGTAGGAGTTGACGCCTGAAATCTAGGCAAGAGACCGGCCTTGGGCTGCCTCAACACCATGTTCCCGCTGACACTCTCTCCTCTCTTCTCCTCAATCTTCAGCCAGCCTTGCTCTCTGCTGGCTAGTTCCATGTGTGCGTGCAAGCACAAGAAAGCACTGGTTCATTCATGCATTGTGGCCTCGAACCTGCGCGGGCCGCCATAACAGGCCGCAGATGAGCACCTGCAAAGACCCAATGGGATGTACTCAGGGCTGCTGCAAAAGAGGTCATTGGGCAGCAATGGACAGCGCACTTTGGGGATTGGTCGGGGCTTTGTCACGGGGTGTTGGACTTGAGAGAAGAGACGACAAAGGCGGTCGTGGCGAGGTTGACCGAGGAATACAGTGAAGTAAGTCCGTATATCGGTGTTCAAGTCTACCAACATCCATTTCAAGTCTATCTAGGGTCTAGCGTAGTTGGACCTGGAGTTCAAGTGTCTCAATATATGTTGTACGTGCAACAAGACACACGAGGGGCTTGTGCTCTGTTCAATAATAGCATCGTACAGCACAAACCACCACCAGTTTGTCTACTCTGTCCTTCCCCTTCTCAAGGAACCAACCACTATGTATCCAGAAACATGAGACCGATATATCCAATACCTTTCGCTATAAACAATGTTCTCTCTATTCGCCCCCCCTCCCCCCTTTCCACGCACGGCGGCAAAGCCCGAGACCTGTCATTAGCCACCCAAAGACTCTTTATCCTCAGATGATGCGATGCTTACACGGCATCACGATGCAAATGCGCGCGCATCCTCTGTCGATTTCCGTGGCACGCGAGTTTGAATGGATGAGCTTGTGCCGCCGTTGCACAACAGTGCCTACTTACGGCTGCCGCCCTCGCCTGGAGGGTCGTACTTTTCCTTCCAGATCCTATGCAAGCATCGAGTCAGCGTCTCATGTTTCTTCACTGCACTGTCAACCCTGCTGCTTCTGCTGCCGTCGTTGCTGATGCCGCGCTCTCAAACGCAAGCGACTGGACGCCTCTCCGTTGCACTGGCAGGTCGACCGTCTGATCCATTGTGCCTCCCCCCCCTGGAGGCACAGCAAGCACGGCGGACCGAGAGGCCCCGGGGGCCACGAGGACCTATCCTGAGAGCTTCGCAGACGGACATGGCCCCGAGCCGCGCCAATGGCACCAGCAGGGGTGCAGCAGGAATAGCTACAGCTCGGCATGTACGCAGGCAGGCGGGCATATAGCCGCACAGAGCCGGTTGGACTCACCAAGTGTTCCCCAGTGTCTTGTTTCCAGACTTCTCAGCCAGTCGATAGTATCGGGCTGATGCGAACTGTACAGGAAGTCAGCCTCATGTGACGAATCGAGCATCTGCGTCCGTGGGGGTTCAAAAAGGAACAGCTCAACAGAGCGACCCAAGACTTTCTCTGATGGTTTCTGCGGTCGATGCCTGAGTCTCATGCAGGGGTGTTGGGCACCGAGCCGAGTTATCGAGAGTGAACAAATCAAAGGCCCTGGACACACCGAGTTTTGACGTCCGAGACTTGATTGAGCCTTCAATCGCCGAGAGACCATCTGACCAGGAGCCGCGTGTGTGCTGAGACGGGGAATACGGAATGCATCATGGAAACATTGACGTTACTGGCGCACATACCTTGTCCTTCTTACACCCGAAGCCCTCGAGGTAACACCAGGCAATCTCGTTCATGGCATCTGTCACATTCGTGTTATGTTATGCTTGTTCAGCTTAAGCTCGCTCTCGTCAGACTTACCAGTGTCTCCCAGGTTCGCCGCAGTCTCATAATACTGCACAAGCCCAAGTCAGCAAACATTCCTCTGCGCTCACACGAACTCCAACATACCTGCTTGGCGGCGTACGGGTCCTTGTGAATTCCCCAGCCGTGGCGGAAGCAGTTTGCCAGCTCAAAGATGGCCAGCACCAGCTCGCCCTTGGCCGCTCCGCCCTTCTTCATGCCCGCCTGCAGGGCCAGTTGCTCAATCGAGGCCGAGTTGGACGCCGCAGCCGACAGGTACTTGACGGCGCCCTCGGGGTTCGGTGCGCAGCCCCATCCGTGCCTAGACGATAATAAGGTCTCGGGTCAGCAATCGAGGACGTTGCTTTCTTCAGTAGATGCGAGACATTGCCGCCGGATCAAGGTTTGACTTTGGGGGTTCCTGCAGCAGCCTCCCGGAAAGCTTCAGCTCTCCAAGCCACTACCCGCGACAAAGTCCCCTCTCTGCCCACCCTGTTCTGTTGCGCTCACCTCAAAGCAAGACCGTAAAGGACCTGGCTTAGCGGGTTGTTGGCACCCTGGGGATCAGCCAGACGCCCAAAGATGCGCGTCGAGTGTTCCAGGTCGCCCTCCTCGTGCAGTCGGATAGCCTCCTGGATGTCCTTGTCAATCTCCTGTGACGAGACGGCGCGGCCTTGATCGCCCGAACCGGGCGTCGCAGGGCGGCTGGTGCTCCTCGCCCGGTCGTTCTGGCTCGCCAGGATGGTCGCCCGCTTCTCCCACTGCGACTCGGCGCCGTCCTTGTCCTGGGGATCGTTCGGGGCAATGATTTCGGGCAGATTGTCGGGGACGCTCTCGGAGGACTGCGGCGCGTTGCGGCTTAGGTGCAGACGTTGCGACAGGCGCCTGTGGCCGCTCTCCCTCTTGGAAGTCTGGCTCGACTCGGAGGCGGAACGAGACCGGCCGGATCGGAAGACGTCGAGCGAGCGCCGGGGTTTGCTACCGGATGCCGGCTCCTCTGCATGGAGGTGCAAGTTGTCGTTGGACTTGACCGAGGGTGGGTAGATTCGCTCCTGCGTCGTCGTATCGGACCGGAAGATGGCAAACTCGGGCGCGGCGAGGCGGTCGACCGTCTCCTTCTCCGGGGGCTGGCCCGCGGAGAGGTCGTCCTTCTTCTTGAGGATATCTCGTAGACCCATTTCTGCTTCTGCTTGTTGTAGGTGTGATTTGTAGATAGGTACAGCGACGACACCACCACTGCCCACTGGCTCCTTGTATGGAGACCGGGGAGGTCCGTTCACGAGATGAGATGGGTTCGGCTAACAATAAAGCGAAACGAAGATGCGCAGAGACTATCCCAATTAAGAATCGCAAAGAATGGATAGTCGAGTTAGGAAGAGAGGAATAGGTTCCCCGGAAAATGTCGTCACATCGTCAGGAACAAACCTCATGCTATTTCAGTCTCTGGAACGAGACAGGAGAGGAGAGGATCATGCCCCTCCATCCATGGATGGCTCGCCCGCAAACGGCGGCGCTGGGGCTGAGTCGAGGCTTCGCGCTGCGGTCGGTGCTGCACTTTCACGCCGTACAGGACAAGACAGGACAGGATTCAGTGCGAGACAGCCTATGAAGCCTGGCCTACGCGCCACGGCCATCTGCACTGTCAGACAAAGGGCACTAGGATCAGCCGCCGCCCCTGCTGGTTCGTTCGTGTTTGTTTGGAGGAGGGGGAGAGGTCGTGACGGGAGATTAGACCGAAACCGAAGGCGAAGAGGGGCACTGGGGCTAAGGATCGGATGGAAGCCATGACCAGTTGCCTCCTGCCTGTATCAGTAATGATTGTTTCTTTGTGTTTTAGATGGGTTAGCTAATGATAGTAACTGGGGCGTCATAGAGGCTGTTTCATCGATAAATACGATCTATTCTAAAACATGTTCATTGTTCATCGGGCAAGGAATCTGAAGCTATGGCCTGTCCTCCCCACCTAGTGAACCATCCGTGCTGACATCGATGCCCCTCACTGCAGATGACAAGGGGCAACCCCTCCAAAGAACTCCCTCTCCACCAACAATGGTCTATCAACGGATCCGTCCAGTATCATGTTTTCACAGGTATATTCCAGAGACAATAATCTTCTCTTTACAAAACTTTTTCATTATTTCTTCTTTTTTTACAAAGTGAGATATTCCTCTTTTTCAAAAACAACTTCTTCTCATCTTTCGGATCTTGTTCTTCGTTCATGCCTTTGCATGGCCTTCATGTCCCTCAGCTATGCCGAATGGATGCGAGTGCGTTACGGGTATCTCAAACACATGGATGCCAAAACTCCTTCCCAACTTTCCCATGCTGGATGAAGCAACAAATCAGAGCCGGTTGATCCGTTCTCTGTCTGTGAAAATCTCGAAACATGCGCTGCATGCCTCAACTTGGTCGTCTAGATGGACAAAAAGTCCTTCTGGGCCTCAAAGTCCTCACAGTCCGAGTCTGCGTCGATAAACTCGGCAACCTCATCTGAATCAACGTCGTCAGAGTCGCCTGCCTCGTCGTCACTCGAAACGTCTTCCATGGGCTCATCCTCTGCCTTGATCCGGTTCCGTAGGACGCTTGCCCTTTCGCGGTGTGGCAGTTTACATCCCTTGACCCTACATCTTCCAGTGTTGCTAAAGTCAGGGCACTCAAACACGTGGCGCTCAGCGCATTCTGCCCCCTTGCTGCAGTACCCGTTGAACCCAAAGTCCCTACAGACCGGGGCAGCTGGAGATGCTTTGGAGTGAGTATACGGACAGTCAGCCTTGGCGCAGTGGCCTTTGGCAAAATGCAAACAGTTGGGGGTGCGTTCGGCAGTCATGTCATGGGAAAGATCACAAGACTCGCCGTTGATGCATCGCCCCTCTTTCAAAAAATCTTTACAAAGGGCCACCTTGTTGGGGTCGTGAATGTAACGGCATCGAGGGCCCTTTGAGCAGGATCCTAAATAGGGGTAGTGTGTCAGTTTCGTCCCATACGCACCAGGTAGGTCCAGGGAAACGGCGTTTGAGTCGCTCCAGGTTCGGAAAGAGAAATTACCAGTCGTTGAGAAGATCTTGCATAGTTCGTTGATCTTCTTGACCATGCCGCTTCGCCTAGGGGCTGTCAGCAACTTGGTCACCCAGGGCCCTGTAACATACCGCTGGTCGTTGACAACTCGATTCGCCACTAGGTTTCCTGTCTTGGTACGGTAAAACTTTACACCAGCAATGACGGCGCTCTTGGGAGTTCGGGAAAATGCGTTGGGGGCATCTGCACTAGGTAAGGCACATGGAGCATCGACTGTCCTGGGTGTGTACACACCAGAGACTTTTACAAGCTTTTTGCCACCGTCGACGACGCGGAACTGAATGCCTTCAACAGATAGCTCGTTGCGGCCTGTGGGGTTAGTCTGCGTATTTGAGGCACTAGCTTTGTGTTTCATGAACTCGTCAAACTGGGCCTTTTCGCGTTGCCGATGCCCGCTGATCTTTCGCTGTCGCGTCTGTTCGATGGCCTTGGCCCGGTTCTGCGTCTCCTTCTCGTACACGTTCGCATTAATCAGTTGTCGGTGGCGGTCAGTCTTGGAAACCCAGCCGGGTGGGGTCTCGGCGCCGCTGCTGGCAGATCGAGAGCTCGGCGTGTTTGCGGCATTGAGCTGCAATGTTCGATGGTGGTGAGGCGCCGCCGGCCGTGCCACTCTATGCGATCGGGCCGGGTATGGCGAGCTCGCGTTACGATATGTGTTGCCTGACGGCGTCAACACGCTGATAATTGTCAAGTTTGGTGAAGTAAACTCACTCCGATGATGCGCCGGGTGGTGGGATGCCTGCGGCCGTACTCCTGCTTGCTGGTTCTTGTGGCGGTTGATCTGACCTGGAATATCGTGAGCCAAAGTTGCGCGTAAAATCAATGAATGGAGGGCACTAACCCGCAAGTTGACCGATGCGGGCAAGAAGCTCTTTCTCTTCTTCTGACATGTTGGTATTCGTCTCCTTGTACAATTTTTCTAGACCACTGCAAAACAAAAGGCGCGAGTAGATTAATACAGGAATGAAGGCGAAATCGTGGTGGTTGTGATTGAAAGCAGTCAACAAGCGACTGGAAGGCATTAGAAGTAGGTGCATCATCCAAAGCTTAATCTTAGTCATCCAGGTTGGCAGCCTCATTGGCCCACCACACCCCAGCGCTCATGCCAATCGCAAGGCTGAGCTTTCCATTGTTTGTTCCATCTCCATCATCCTCGTTATTAATTTCAACAGAAATACACATATTTCCACCTTGCAAACCATTTTGTTTTCTCATGATATATTTTCTCATCCCTTCATAAACTCCACGTCAATCAACGCCTCAATCTTAAGCACACAGCCAGCAGAACTAAACCCAGGCATCACCATGGCTTCTTCGTGGGATCTCTTGGACCCGGAGGAGGAGGCCGAACTTCACAAGTCGCGATTGCTTAATGTGGAGGAAAAGCCCTTCAAAAGAATCACAAAGCGTCTCAACAGCTTAACGACAATCGCTGCACCTACCGGCGCCTCGAACGGTACCAACCCGCCATCCAGCGAAGCCAAGGGCAAGCTCGAGCAGCTCAAAGAAGAGCTTGCCCTCGATTTTGCTGCCTTTGACAGCTCCATCACGCGCCTGCAGTTCCTCCACGATGCCAACATCCGCGAACGCGAACGCTATGCGGCCGACCAAGATCGCATCCTCGCCGAATGCCAAGCTGTCCGACAAAACAATGCGCAACTCAGAGAACAGCTCGAAGCTGCTCAGGCCACCCTAGCACAACGCAAGAAGTTCGACGAACTGGCAGAGAAGATAACATCGAATCGACTACTTAGGCCACGAGAAGACCAGATTGCCAACCTCGCCAAGCTTGAGGAGGAGTGTCGCGAACTCGAGCGCGAGAGCGAGACCTACAACGAGACATGGAGGGAACGTCGGGATCAGTTTAACCGAATCATGGAGGAGGGTATGCTTCTGAGACGGCAAATCCGCGACGAAAAGGAGGAAGTGGACCGCCGCGAAGGCATGAACGAGGACGCCGAGGACGATGGCGAAGTGGATAAGGTCGGCCAGACGCCCAGGAACGAGCCCAGCGGGAATGCAACACCACATCCAGATGGGGACAGCCAGGCCAAGGCAGACGTCGAAGCTGGCACACCAAACCCTGATGCCCTTAATGGTGGAAGAACACCCATGAGGGACACCCCGGGCCCAGACACTCTAAAACCGCTGCCTGGACACGTTGGGTCTCTGGGACGCGATGGAAGCCTAGCTCCTAGTAGAGATGCCTCCCCCATGCCACAACACGATGAGCGCAAGGCCGAGTCAGGGGAGGATGTTGACATGGAGGATGAGGCTACGAGCCGGGTTCGTGATGATGGAGGAAACACGCCCCGGGTGACCATTAAGCCACCTGAGGCCAACGATGACAAGATGGAGGTGGATAATTAGCTTTGAAAAGGCAGTCTACGGGAGGAACCAGGTCCCACACAAGCAATGTTTGTAACATCTTTCAAGATACCCTCAGGTTTATGGAGGTCTAATACCGGTCGGTCTTTTTTGTTATGGTTGGGTCAACTAAGTGGTATCGTAAAAGCAAGCAGCCTCTCCGTCCTTTCCTTTGCATGCATACTCTATGCGCCGTTCTGAGCAGCCTTGGCCTTCTCCAACGTCTCCTTGGCCAGCTGCACCTGCTCCTCTTGTCCGCCGGTCTGCTCGCTCACGGTGATCTGCTCTTCCAGCTTCTGGACGGCGGCGACAATCTTCTTTCGTAGAGGCTCGAAGACGGCCTTGGTCTGTTCAAGGGCGGTTTGCTAAAGAGAACCCAGCCTTTAATAATTGTCCTTGGTGAGGGGACGGTTGGAAAACCTACCTGCTGCTTGAGCATATACGTGTCATTGCCATCCTCGTCGCCCTGTCCGCTCTCAATCTTCTCCTTCAGAGCCTTGATAGAGGCCTCCTCTTGTTCAACCTCCTTGTGGTAGGAGGCTTCCTCCTTGAGGAGCCGGTTGACGGAGCTCGTGGCGATGGCGAGGGGTGTTGGCGGGGCCATGGTGTTTTGACTTCGAGGGACTTGATGGTGCAAAGGGTCTCGTTCGAAAGTCGCAGAGAGGGAGCAGCTTCTCTTGATATATCGCGAAAGAAAAGGGGCAATAGGCAGCAAGAAAAGGCTTGTCGGGAAGAATTTCGGTGCCTGTTGTTTGGTTCAAGACAAGGAGAGCAAATGAGATCATGGCTCGACGTGGGGTTTGTATCCATGGCGGGGCAACCTCGCCATCTGCTTCACCGCGTTCATGACAAAGGTTACACTTGTCAGGCATGACACAACAAGGGATTACAGACTTGATCGGTCATTTCGTGAATAGCAAAGGGCAGTTTATCATTCATTGAGCCAACTACATAGGTTTTCCAACAGAACTCGTCTTCACTGAACCAACTAGAGTATACCGACCGACCGCTCAACGGCGTCCGTCCAAGTCTTGTTAACCACTCCCCATTTTCCCTTATAGCCTCCATCCAAGTTCCGCTTGCCATGGTATCTCCCTAAACGCCGACAACGCCATTCGGGTGACCTCGAGTCGACTGTCCCCCAGAATGCAGGAATTCAATACTTTACACGACCAAACATGCCGCCCGTCCAAGTCTTCGTTATAACGCAATGAGCAAGTATCTCGTCATCCAGAATATCACGCCGACACGGCCACGGCAGGGGCGACCACAGCGGCAGGCTCAGGCTCGTTTCCGTCTTGTTGAGCCATCTCGCCGCCAGCCTCCCTCTCGGCCCAGGCTCCCCAAAGACCTCGCTTGGCCCGTATCCGGATATCGTCTCCGAGTCCCGAGCCCTGCTCAACCTTGATGGCGTCCTTGGTTGCGAGCACCAGGCACTCAAAGAACATCTTGGTGGCATCAGCCTTGCTGGTCACCTTTTCAGGGCAGAGGGTCTGGAAGTTAACCGCTCTCTCAAGTCGCTTTCCAGGGCTGTCGGCGGCATCGGCGCCAAATCTATCGCGGAGGACATGAACGGCGTGCTTGGTGCCCATCGACACAGGACCGCTCTCAGTAGGGTGAACAAGAGGGTAAGTGGTGTCTTCAAAGCCAGGCATGGGGGTGCCAGGCTCCTCCTCGTCCAAGTGCTCAGGGGGGACGCCTCCATCATCACCGGGGATTTCAAGTTGGGTCTCTTCAGGAGACACACTCATGTCGCCACCAAGGCCGCCTTCACCGAAGCCCATTTCCGTATCCTCGCCGAGCACCAGGCGGGGAGACTTGGACGCACCGTGATCGCTCTCGACATCGGCGATTCCGCTATCCCGCTTCCGCTTCAGCTCGTTCAAGCCGCGAACGGCGTCCAGTGAGAGCATTCCGCGTAGTTCAGGGGCCCAGGCAGAGCTTCGTCCCTCCATCATGATTGATGAGACAAATCCACCACTCTTCTGCATGTCCATCAAAGCCAGCAAGAAGGGATCACGAGGAAGGAACCCTCCCTCCTTGATAATGTTGTCTCGGTTGGCCTGCTGTTGCTTAATGTGGTTGCTGGAGAGAGCAATCTCCTCGTCAGGCGTCAGGATTTTCTGCTTCCTGGCGCGTTGCGCGGGTCGTCGGACAAGAGTCTCCTCTGCTTCGTGGTCGGGTTCGTAAAGATCCGTCATCTGGTGTCTCGAATACTCCTCCTCCAGATTAGCGGCGACCTCCTCGTCAATATCGGAGAGTGGTGACTCGGAAATGCGCTCGCGAGGAGGAGAGTGCATCATGGGCATCTCGGTCAGGTCTTCCTGGGGGACACCAAACTCCATATCGCCACCCATGGCAATATCTCCTTCGGTGTCGACAATCATAGGCCCGTGTAGCTCAAGAGAGGTTTCGCCCTCTATGCTCTTCTGGACACCTTCAACCTCTGATCCGCCAAAATCGGGTTCCATAGATGGGGCTTGACTGGCCCGACGACCACGTTCCACCTCAGCAGTTAGGTCTTCTTCCTCTTCTTCCAGTCCAAAATCCAAGCCGAGATCGATAGTATTGGCACCTGCCATCATTTCATCCTCTGCGCCAAAGCCACCATTAAGAAACTGGCTGTTGTCGTACTCTTCCTGCAGGTTGATATCTCTTTGGCTGGGACGACCCTTGCGACCAACCTGACTCGTAGAGACATCTTCCACTTGCGACAAGAGCCAATTTGCGTCGGGCGGTGGGGGCAGTTCAAAGTTGTCGTAGGGCGTAATCTTATCCGGAAGCGTCAGGGCCTCGCGGTTGGGCAGCTGCAAGCTAACAGCCATATCATTGTTTCCTGTGGATCGGAAAGCCTGGAGATTGTTAGCATGCGATTAGGAGAGTAGAAGGCGACGAAAACTAACCATCTTGATCTTCATCATGGCTTCATTGCAGTCATCCAATAAGTAACGCGTCTTTCGTTGATAGATTCGTACCACACCAAGCAACAGCTGACTGCTTAGTCGCAGGGCCATCGGCGCCTGGTTGGGTGTGATAATTGCCTCGACACTGTCCGTGACATTGGACTGGAGAATATGGTTCTTGGAGAGCTTTCGTTCAATGTTGGCCGAGAGCCAGACGCGAGCGAGCGGCCCGCTCTTTTGGAGCAAATCATGAGAGTAGAACATGGTGCTGTCGCGCGCAGACGCAGACGCGATGCCCAAGAAAAGAGAAGTGGTAGCTGTAGGAACGCGCCAAAAAGTTGAGGTTGAAATATGACGAATGCGTTTGGAGGGGGAGGCGGGTGGTGGTTGAGCGGAAGTGGTGTGGATAAACACGAAGACCGGGGGCGCGTTTGATGGTTGGGCGCGGTAAACAAGCTCAGTGAAAGGATTGCTCTACGCGCAGAAGCGGCAGCGCGAGCACCGCAGAGGCATAAAGCAATAGGATTATATCGCGCGATGGAGGTGATTGCTCGGCGACAAACGTTCAGACGATGGCGATGGCTTCGGAGATCGATGAGGCGTGTGCGCTGAATGTCGCGACGGATTTTAGGGAAGGGAAATTGGGACCTTGACCTTGAAGAGGGGAGGTGGCCTTGGTCGTTCGCCAACGGTAAATGGCGTGGCTGGGGAAATGGTGTGTGGTTCAGCAAGGCCCGCACGGATCACGCTTGCCTGGCTCGGTTCCGGATAAACTAGTTTCCGATGGTTTCCCCAGAGCATCGCCAAGGTGGCTCTAGTTTCAATGCTCAACCAGCTTGAATTATTAATGATTCATAAAATATCTGGAAAATAGCAGATCTCTGACGGTTCCTTATAATCCAGGTATCTTTCATCCGATTTCTTCGAGGCGCAGTCATATCAGCCTCAAAGGATCAATCGTAGACTCCCTCACCCGCTTGAACAGCAAGCATCATTGGCCTTGGCATTTATAAGCCTGGACAAGCTGAAGTTGACTGCTCCAGCGACGGGGCAACGCTACGTAGTCTCCCTCTCGCTGTTACTGGCCAGGAATGAACCAGATGGGCGCCACCGGCTCTGAAGCTTTCAAGGTTGATATGCAAGCCCCTGGCAGCCTTGCCGAGTCTGGAAAAGTACTAGCCCGGCCCGCGCTCCATCGAGGACAAGACACCTGGACATGTTGGATTTGAACTCTGGGGCTTTCCAACACATCCGCGTTCTCGTTCCGTCCTCGCTGGCCTCTTCTCACGTTCGTTCTTTTGTTGCCGCGTCTGCTCATGTCAAGATTTCTTCGGCAAAGGGGCTGAAGCGAGTCTTTTCGTCGACGGGACTCTAATTGCCATCGGAAGATTCTTGTCCGTGGCCACCTGGCGCATATCCTGACGTCGATCAATCATTTCAACATTAGACCGAACCTCCCTCCTCATGACCTCGCGCATTCACTCCTAGACCGGTCTCCCATCTCCCATGCATTCGACGCATTCCTCGATTCGATTGTGACAAAGCCACCGGCGCAAGCTTCTTTTTCAACATGCAACTACCATGGGCCGGCCGCGAGGGCCCTGGACATGACTCCCTTCTACCAATGTCCAATATCCCGTCCATTACTGGGCTTGTGGGGGATCTTACCGACTCTGGCGATGGTGATCGTCAACAGCGGCCAGGCCGCCATGTCAGAACCACCTCTGCGCATGCACGAGTGAGTCTTGCTTGGCATTTTCTGTCGTCTCAATCGCTTCCATGGTGTTGCTGACATGTCATCAGAATGTGGCCGACCAGTTCTCCTACATGACCCCGAGCGAAGCGGCGGCGAACCTACGAACCTCCCTCACGCATGGCCTTACACCAACCGAAGCTTTAACTAGACTAGGCGATTATGGACCAAACGAAATTCCGCATGATCCTCCCGAACCATTATGGTTGCGCTTCGTCAAGCAGTTCCAGGAGCCCCTGATCCTGCTCCTCCTCGTATCGGCCGGAACCTCGCTACTCCTGGGTAATATGGATGATGCCGTCAGCATCACAGTCGCCGTAACCATCGTGGTCACTGTGGGTTTTGTGCAGGAATATAGATCCGAGAAATCTATTGAGGCTCTCAACCACCTTGTCCCGAACCATGCGCATCTCGTTCGTGGTCAGAGCAAGGCACCCCCTGTTGGCAAGACTCCTACTTGGCCTCCGCGTCCCGATGACGGAGAGCCGGCGCCTTCTCCCGGCTCTGTTACCCCCATTAGCGATATACTAGATGCCACTTCTTCCAAGGTTATGGCTTCTCAGCTGGTTCCTGGCGATCTTGTCCTCTTCACCACGGGTGATCGCATTCCTGCCGACATCCGGGTTACCAAGGCTGCGGATTTAACAATTGATGCTTCGAATCTTACGGGAGAGACAGAGCCTGTAAGGATTACAGTCGATGCTCGTCGTCGTGGTATTGGCTCCTACGCTTTCGACAAGGCACAACACCCACGACCCGGATCGCTCGCTCCCGATGAGCATGCAGACTCTCACGGAGATGGAATTCATAACATTGCTTACATGGGAACTTTGATCAAGTCGGGACACGGCCAGGGTATCGTCTTTGCAACTGGAGGACACACACACTTTGGCACTATTGCGACCAGTGTGTCTGGTACTGAAAGCCCGCGCTCACCTCTTCAATTGACCATGGATGATCTCGGCTCGCAGCTAAGCAAAGCTTCATTCTTGGTCATTGGTCTCATCTCGGTTGTCGGTTGGTTACAAGGAAAGAATCTCCTTGAAATTTTCACCATTTCGATCTCACTGGCTGTCGCTGCTATCCCGGAAGGTCTACCAATTATTGTGACGGTTACCTTGGCTCTTGGAGTACATCGCATGGCTAGGCACAATGCGATCGTGCGAAGGATGCCCAAGGTTGAAACACTGGGCTCTGTTAATGTCGTCTGCACTGATAAGACTGGTATGAAGAGTCTCATTTACGATTGAAACACCACTGACACTGTATTACCAGGAACTCTAACCACGAACCACATGACGACCACTCGAATGTGGTATTTTGGAGCTCAGGAACCAGTTCAAGTTGATTCTGATAATGAGGCTATGGATACCAACCCAGACCTCAACCAGGCTACTCTACGAGTCCTTCGCATTGGAAATATCGCCAATGATGCGCGACTTGCTCAGAAGTATACGGAACATGGTCAAGCAGCCACGGCTGTGCTATCTTCAACTCTTGGGCGAGATCAAGTGTCCACCTATACTCGTTGGGTTGGCCAGCCTACTGATGTTGCGATGTTGGATCTTCTTGACCGCTTCAAGGAACACGACGTTCGAGAATCCATTGGCCCTCGAGTGAGTGAGACACCGTTCAGCTCCGAGCGAAAGTGGATGGGAGTTACTATTGGCTCGGAGACGAGAGGTGATAAGGAGTATGCCTACATGAAGGGTTCTATCGAAAAGGTTCTCGCCGCGTGCGACACATATCTCGAACAGGACGGAAGAGAGATTGTTTTGGACTCGACTCGTCGCCAAGAAGCTCTCCAGGCCGCTGAAACCATGGCTGTTCAAGGTCTACGAGTATTGGCATTTGCAAGCGGCACAGTCTCACGACCACTGAGGAACAGGTCAGCACCACGCAACACACCTGGTTTCGACAGGAGCGAGAGTCCTCTCTCTCACAACCCGGATGATATCTATAAGGGCCTCACATTTGCTGGCCTGGTTGGCATGCGTGATCCTCCCCGACCCGGAGTTGGACGATCCATCAGGCGGCTGATGCGGGGCGGTGTCAAGGTCATCATGATCACTGGTGACGCCGAAACAACAGCCCTTGCCATCGGCAAGCAGCTTGGTATGAACATTGCGGCTCCCAGCGGCCATATGGGTGGCCAGGGTACTGTCAAGTCTGTTCTCCGAGGTGATGAAGTCGACAGGATGTCCGAGGCGGATCTTGCTCAGGCAATGCAGCACACGACGATTTTTGCGCGCACAAATCCCGATCACAAGCTAAAGATCATCAGGGCGCTTCAGTCCAGGGGCGATATTGTCGCCATGACTGGAGACGGAGTGAACGATGCACCTGCACTCAAGAAGGCCGATATCGGTATCTCTATGGGCCGTCACGGAACAGATGTCGCCAAGGAGGCAGCGGATATGATTCTGACAGACGATGACTTTTCCACGATCCTTCGTGCCATCGAGGAGGGCAAGGGCATCTTCAATAACATCCAAAACTTCTTGACCTTCCAGCTGAGCACAAGCGCCGCCAGTCTGGCTCTTGTGTTTATCTGCACCTGCTTCGGCTTCAAGTCCCCCTTGAACGCCATGCAGATTCTCTGGATCAGTAAGTAGCAGTGAGGCCCCGTTTACAGCTGGAGCTAACCATCAACAGACATTATCATGGATGGCCCTCCTGCTCAGTCTCTGGGTGTTGAGAGAGTAGACCCCGACGTCATGACCAAACCTCCCCGAAGACGAGGAGACCCTGTTCTTACTCGCGCACTCATCACACGCGTACTAACATCGGCTGCCATTATCACCATCGGAACAATGCTCATCTACCGGCGCGAAATGGTGGCGGATGGCCAAGTGACGCGACGAGACACGACCATGACCTTTACTTGCTTCGTTTTCTTCGATATGTTCAACGCTCTCAGCTGCCGATCCGAGTCCAAGTCGGTACTACGGGGTGAGGTTGGACTCTTTTCCAACAACCTGTTCAACTGGGCCGTCTCTCTCAGTATCGCGGGCCAGTTGCTTGTCATTTACTTCCCCTGGCTTCAAGAAACGTTCCAGACGGAAGCCCTCGGATTCTTCGATTTTATACGACTATTCATTCTGTGCAGCACGGTGTTCTGGGCAGATGAGGTGCGAAAATATCTTAGGTATGGGAAACGGCGTTTTGGCAGCGGATACAGCCAGGCGGTTTAAGGGGCAGGGCCAGGGGTAAGGTTTGATGAGGCGGGATGTAATTGTAACCAAGATACTGTATAAACTCAAAATGACTTTGGCGTAAAGGCTTTTAGAAATCTTGGACACGACAAACTTTTAAAGGAAAGAATTATTGATGCTTGAATGAATCCACAGTGCAATGTGTGCCTTGAAACCATGAGACATCCATTTCGGTGCAGGGTAAGCTTCCAGGGAGCTTGGTGTTAATTGCGGGGAGCATCGTCGACTTGCTGCGTGTCACTAACAACGCCAGCTACCCATATATTCGCCCTGGGCCAAGTTGCGCCAGGAGCTCCACGACCCTTCTCCGCCTCGACCAAAGTCCTAAACGTCAAGGCAGCGATGCGCCGTTCGAATAGAATACTTCAATGACAATGTCAAGCCTCCCAAACGGCCTCTCCCACCGCCCAGACCACGATCACACCGTCGTCGAATCCACCACCTTGTCCCTTCAGAATGCCACGACCGAGTCTGACATCCGCGATGCGCTCGCCGCCCTGCACGCCCGCGAGACCTCTATAACGTCCCGTCTCGATGCTCTCGTCGCTTCCCAAGCTGACCTCTCCCGCGACCTCGGTCGGCTAGACCTCCTGCGGGCAGGACTCGGTGCGCAGGTCATCGCCGCACGATCCATCGGAAATGACATGCTGGCAACTGCGGCGGACACAGCAGGCCGACTGAGTGATAAAGTCAAAGAGTTGGACCTGGAGAAGAGCAGAGTCGAGGAGACGCTTGGCGTGGTGGAACAGGTTGCAGAGCTCAAGGCATGCGTCAACGGAGTGGTTGGCTCCATGGGTGCTCCCCAGGACTGGGAGGCTGCTGCTGGATACCTGTCGAGAGCGAGCAAGGTGCCAGATGAGATCGTCAAGGGGCCATTTGCTGTCAGCATAGTACCGAGCGTCGAGGTGCCCGACCCGCCGTGGGTGACCCTGGAGGATGCCAAGGAGAGTCTGTGTGGTCTCTTCCTACGAGAGTTCGAGAAGGCGGCAGAGGAGAGCGACGGAACCAAGGTCACACGATTCTTCAAGCTCTTCCCACTGATAGGTCGAGCCGACGTTGGTCTGGATGTCTATGGACGATACGTGTGTCAAGGTGTCGCCGGCACAGCTCGGGCTACGCTCAAGGATGTCATGGGTAGCCAGCGCAAGGAAGGATTCTTCTACGCCAACGCCCTGACGAAACTCTTTGAGCACATTGCGCAGATTGTCGAAGGCCACGGAGGGCTCGTGGAACGTCACTATGGCTCTGGAAAGATGGTCCGAGTTATTGAGCGCCTGCAGATGGAAGCCGACGTCCAAGGAGGCATCATTGTCGACACATGGAGCGACGAGAGAGGAATTGACAGGAAACTCACAGATGTTAGGAGCTATCCTTTCTCGTTCCTTGTTCAAAGCTTCCTACCTCAGCCACCGCGAGGTGGTACGCCGAGGGTGAACTCGCCGGCGATTGGGGTGGGCAACAACCCCAGAGAGAGCGAAGACGAGGGCGTCAACATGAAGGAAGTTGACGGCCTACTAAGTGAAATTGCTGTGATGCTTGGTCGCTGGTCATTATACACCAGGTTCCTTGCTGGCAAATGCAAGGTAAGACGAACCATCAAGACCCCTGTGACACAAACTCATATGTAATAGGACCCAAACACAGCAGACGATGCGCCGCTCGTCATACCTGATGTTTTGATCAAGTCAAATCTGTATCGAAAAGTCTCGACAAAGCTCACGTCGCCATACAATGTCATGACTACCTTTTTCTTCCGCCGATCCGTGGAAAAGGCATTTCAACTGGATGAATACCCTATCGGTCTATCCTTGAGCTTGAACAGACACATTGACGGCAACGCTCCCTACATCATCCTGGCGGTCGACGATGTCATGTACATCGTAAACGCTGTTATCCAGAAATCCATCTCAACATCACAAAGAGACGTCATAGCCTCGGTGGTACCAACTATCGGGCGAGTCCTCGGTTCTGACTTTGTTGGCATGATTCAGCGCAAGATGCGAGATGAATCTTACCCCAAGCCAGTGGTTCAAGGAGGATTCCCACCCGAGGAGAAGATTATTCACTTTATTGTTCTCATCAACAGTCTGGACATGGCCAACGAGTATCTTACACGCATTATCACCGGCCGGATAGGTGATTCTGGTCAAATACCGAATGGTGATGTCCAGAACGGGCCACTCAAGGACTCATTCCCCTTTGAGAGGGACGTTACATTCGTCGCCAATGCTTTGCACACGCTTCAAACATCCTTCATCGGAAAGACGACCGAGCTTCTTAACGAGGGCATCCAGGTGCTCTTCAACCAAGTTGTCAAGCTCAGGTTACGCCCTGTGTTGACTGATACGTTCCGTGACGCGGACTACACGCTGTCCGAAGACGACCTTGCCGAAATAGCCCAGCAGAACGACGAGGATGAGGACGAGCTCATTGAACAAGTACCCCGGCGCTTCGAACATGGCTGGGACCTGCTCATGAAGCCTATTGCAAGGCTGATGACACCTGGAACATACAGCCAGCTCCTGGACATCACAGCACGTTACCTATCAAAGATATGGGAGAAGAAGGTTCTCGGTTATGCAGGACGTACCAACGCCCTGGGTGCGATCCGCATTGAGCGCGACTTTATCGCCTTGGTGGATGTCGTTTCTAGAGGGGACTACGCTGTGAGAGAGGTGTTTTCCAAGGTGCTGCAGCTTCTCATGGTTGCAAACATGGAAGACGAAGAGTGGGATGAGATTATGGCGCAGGATGGAGAAGACGATGGCATTGACTGGGTTCTGACTGACGAGGAGAGAAGGAGGGCGAGGAGTTTGGTCAGGGGGTGAAGTGGCCTCTATGATGTCTCGATGGAGGACGGCGTTGATGATAGACAACTTGATGCACTGTAAAAGCACGTTTCATGAAAAGGACACACAAGTCTGAGGCAATCTAGAGTGGACCATTGGTTCGGACAATTAATGAGGATATGGTATCCATGACATCCAATATGCAGGATAGAAGCCGATGGTGTTGACAGCGGGACGGGAGTGAGTGGTCACTCGCCCTAACAGTGGAGGGCCACTAAATAACCGTTGTAGGGGCGTCAGGCGCACAGGCACCACTCACTTTTGCCTTTGGGCGCTGCCTGGTTGGGGCTTTGTTTGTCTGAGTATGAGTCAAACCATCCAAAAAAAAGAGCGAGTCCCGTTAGTTCGTCATGATGAGTGAGCATGAGGATGAAATTTTCCATCGCACAACCATCGCGAATCCTCACAACCAACCGCCGCTGCTGTTTACACCGCCGGCATATTTGCCATTTTTCACAGCCTGAGAAGACGGCTCTCTACTTCTTACGTCGAAATTTCACCAATAGCGCACGCAACGTCGTGCCGCTTTTCACCCCACGGTCACATCCCAGTCTGCCACCACTTACATCGGCGCTATCCTCAAAATTCACGACACAGCAGGCCTCGCCCACCATGGAGACGCGCATAGTCAAGGTCTCCAGCAAGGGGAGTCTGGGTCGCTTCCGGCCAGGCGAGGGACTTGCAAGGTTGGATCACTGGGAGGTTCAGTGCGAGGATAAGAGTGCCCTCAAAGCCCTGGAGAAGGCAGCCCACGAGTTGAGGACCACGCCCACGCCTGTTGCATTTCCTACTGAGACTGTCTATGGTCTTGGAGCGGATGCTACTCGGAGTCCTTCGGTCAAGGGGATTTACTCTGCCAAGGGGCGACCGTCGGATAACCCTCTCATCTCACACGTTTGCGACTTGGAAATGCTGCGCGAGTATATCGGCCAGATTGAGGGAGGTCAAGATCCTATACCAAGTCGATACAGGGCCTTGATAGAGCGTTTCTGGCCAGGACCTTTGACCATCCTGCTACCGAATCCTCAACCTACAAAGCTGGCACCAGAGGTTACGGCAGGCCTCAAGACCTTTGGTGTACGCATGCCCTCCTCACCCCTCGCCCTCTCCCTCATCAAGCTCGCCGGTGTCCCCCTTGCAGCACCGTCAGCCAACGCCTCCACCAAACCCTCCCCAACCACGGCGCAGCATGTCATGGACGATCTAAGGGGGAGAATCGAACTCATTCTAGACGGAGGGCAGTGCGCTGTTGGTGTGGAGAGTACCGTGGTGGATGGACTATGTGATCCTCCCGTTGTCCTCCGCCCAGGTGGTATTGGTCTGGATGAGCTGAGAAGCTGCCCTGGCTGGGAGGGTGCAGTGATAGCATACAAGGACCAGAGCGAAGAGGGCAAGGCTGCACCACGAGCTCCAGGGATGAAGTATAAGCATTACAGCCCCAAGGCCAGAGTGGTGCTCTACGAATCGAGTTGCGCCAAGGGTGCGACGGGAGTGGCCTCGTCTGAGCTGGCGACTGCGACGAATGGAGCCGTCAATGGCCATGCCACCAACGGCGAGAAAAAGATGAGGAAAATTGGAGTTATTCGTACTCAACGGTGGAAGCAAGGAGCTGGGTTGAGATGCGCCAGCCTTCAACGACAGAAAACAGTCGACCAAGACCAAGACTCGCCATTTGATGTGGTTGAGGGCGATCTATTGGACGAGAATGAAAAGCCTATTGGCAAGATTCTGGATATTGATCTTGGAAGGGATACTGAGGGGATCGCTCGGGGCCTCTTCTCGGCTCTCAGGGAGTTTGATCGACAAGGCGCAGACACCATCTTCGTCGAGGGCATAGAGGATAGAATCGACATTGCTGCGGCGGTCATGAACCGCCTCCGCAAGGCAGCGTCAGAGATTAGAGCATGAATGATGACATCAATTAGAACACCAGCACCCTGTATGAATGATTTCCCCCTTCCCTCCTTATCCCTTTATCGCCCAGACCGGTGGCATCAAGTCTTTTTCTCTCTCTTGTAGTTTGCATGCGGCGCTAGAATAACGACAAAATCCCAATAGACTAAACAACAACCCCCATTTACAGACCTTGCCGGAGCCAGTCTGCCAGTTTCGACTTTCCTAGCTGCGCCAGGTTGTTGACGCCCTGCTCGCTGAGGTCGATGCGACCCACGGGGAGGTCCTGGGTGGGAGCTCTGCTCACGCGCTGAACGATGATGGTGGGGTCGGTCTCGAGGATGATGCCGTCGTCGACGATCTCGTCAATGGCGAGGGAAACGAGGTCGTAGTTTTCGACGATTGTCCGCTTGTCGACAGATTGCCTGCATTTGCGCCGGTCAGCCTACTGCGATATGATCAGCATAACAAGGGAGGGAACTGACTTGAAGAGAAGGTGGAGAGAGTCCCTCAGGGCGAGGACGGTGTTGTACAGAAGAATCTCGTTCTCGTCGACGCTACCGACGACGTACATCATGACGTCCGACTCCATCTTGTACAGCACGATCCGGTTGTCGTAGAGGATGATATCGCCAGTCTGCTTAGCCGTCTTCTCAATGAGGCCCTTCTCAAAGGCCTTTTGCGACTTGACATCTGGGTAGGGGTTGGAGGAGGCGCTCGAAGGGCCTGTTTTCAAGATTCGGTCGTCAGCGCCTAGGGAACAGCTACACACAAGCTGGCTGAAGCTCAGGGGATCAATGTACCGTGGGGCGCTGAGTGCGGCGGCTGGAAGTACTTTGCGAATATCCGGGAGCCATCCTCGGTGCCCAGGATGAGGATGGCCTGGATGGAGAAAAGGGTCATTCCGGGAGACATGATTGCGGTTTGTTGTTGAGTAAAAGGTCGATGCTGGCTTGTACCCAGAATAGCTGGATGGAGGTCCCCCTCCAGATGCCAGCGATGCCACCTACATGCGATGGAGGGATGTCGGGCCAAAGTTTAGCCGGGCCCGAGCTCGACACCGTCTGCATGGTCATTTCTAATTGGAGAATCTCGCGTATCTCGACTTAGGTACTTTACGCGTCTGGAAAAGGGGACGCGTCCGTCACCCTGCCAATCCCCTCCCCCTCACATTCTCCATCAATTTGGCAAAATCAACAGCGCCTCCAAAGGACAAGGTTACCTCTTGGACGACCAAACCCGTCAACCATCACCCATAATGTCGTCACCACGGAGGACGCGCAATTCGCAGTCAGCGACCCCTCGTCGCACTACACGCAACAACTCGGAAGCCAACGAGACCCCCCGCGGTAGACAACCCGAGCAGGCTTCGAGTCCCCTCTCCTACCAGTCTTCGTCCCCAGGGCGTGACCAGAATGGGCTCCCCGGCGATGTATCATCGTCATTGAGGCAGATGACCAACAGTCAGAGCACTCGTGCTCCCAGCGGCATTCCCAGCTCGCCGCTGCGCCAGATGACGGATACTCAGAGTGATATCGATCCTGAGAGAACCCCTCGAGCCAACCCCACGACCCCCGCGTTCCCTGGAGGTAAGATGATTTGCAATGGTTGACAACTCAAATGCTGACTTGAATAGGATCCTCACCTATTCGATACGACCCCAGCTCTAGTCCTGGGCGATCCCTGCGACACCAATCTGAATTTCGAAGTGAGGGTAGTGGCCTATTCCTCAGCTCTCAGATTGGTAGTCCTGCCCCTCACCGTCGAGGAGACATTAACTCGGATGCCGCCCGAACCCCTCGTGCAACTCGCCGAGTTATTCTTGATGATGCTGGCCGTGTTGTGCGTGAGGGACCTGTGGATGGATCCGATGCCGCTTCCTTTGCAAACCGAGATCCCAATACCTCTGAGGCTGATGTCCTCGGTGGACAAGGACAGAGTCTGATCTGGGGTACGACTGTCTCTATTGACGACACTTTCGCCCATTTTAAGGATTTTCTCCGCAACTTTACACAAAAATACCGAATGTACCGCGATGGTGTGTCTGATGAGGATGTCCGGGCGGCCCCTGATGCCGAGTCGAAGCCATACTGGGAGGCGCTCGAGAACATGGTGCTTTTGGGTACGACAAGACTCTATCTCGACATTTCGGACTTGAACCTCTATCCTCCTACCAGAAAACTGTGGCATCAGGTCCAGGCCTACCCCCAGGAAATTGTGCCTGTCTTTGATCAGTCGGTACATGACATGATGGTTGAGCTTGCTCGAGCCGAGACCATGAGATCTCGTCCCTCTCAGAGCAGTGCTGGTCATCAACCAACCACGCCTGGAGCGCAGAGCTCGGAACCTGTGTTCCCTAGTTCTGATCACCCTGAGGAGGCACCGACACCTCGAACTCAGCCTGACCAGAACCAGCCTTCGCTGGAAGACCAGGTGGCGTCGTCTATTTATGTTGTTCGGCCGTTTGGCTTGGACAAGACCATCAACCTGAGAGATCTCAACCCAACTGGTGAGTTCTCCCTGATTATCCACTAACTCTTGCTTTAAACTCACACGTACTAGATATGGATCGCCTCATCTCCATCAAGGGCTTGGTCATCCGTACTACCCCCGTTATTCCCGACATGAAGGATGCCTTCTTCCGTTGCAATGTCTGCAATCACTCAGTCAATGTTGGCCTGGACCGCGGCAAGATTCGGGAACCCACCGAGTGCCCTCGTGAGATTTGCAAGTCCAAGAACTCGATGTTGATCGTCCACAACCGATGTTCGTTTGAGGACAAGCAGGTTATCAAGCTTCAGGAGACCCCTGACGCGGTGCCTGCTGGTCAGACGCCTCACTCAGTCTCAGTCTGTGTCTATAACGAACTGGTCGACTTTTGCAAGGCCGGTGACCGTGTGCAAATCACAGGCATTTTCCGTGTCAGCCCCGTCCGTGTGAATCCCCGCCAACGAGCGCTCAAGAGCGTGCACAAGACATATGTGGATGTGCTTCACATCCAAAAGGTTGACAAGAAGCGTATGGGCGCTGACCCGTCAACTCTGGGCATCGCAGGTGAGGAGGAGGCCGAGCACGGAGAGAATGAGATGGAGGAAACGCGCACCATCAGCCCCGAGGATGAGGAGAAGATTCGCCAGACGTCACAGCGAGACGACATTTACGAGCTCCTTGCTCGGTCTCTTGCCCCCTCGATCTACGAAATGGACGATATGAAGAAGGGCATTCTTCTACAACTCTTTGGCGGCACCAACAAGACGTTCCACAAGGGTGGTAGCCCCAAGTATCGAGGCGACATCAACGTTTTGCTCTGCGGTGACCCCTCGACGGCCAAGTCGCAGATGCTCTCGTACGTTCACAAGATTGCTCCTCGTGGTGTCTACACTAGTGGTAAGGGATCTTCCGCCGTCGGTCTTACTGCGTACGTTACTCGCGACCCAGAGACGCGACAGCTGGTCCTCGAGTCTGGAGCATTGGTCCTGTCTGATGGTGGTGTCTGCTGTATCGACGAGTTCGATAAGATGTCGGATGCCACGCGATCCGTTCTTCACGAAGTCATGGAGCAGCAGACTGTCTCGGTCGCCAAGGCTGGTATCATTACTACGCTCAACGCGCGAACCAGTATCCTCGCCTCTGCCAACCCCATTGGCAGTCGCTACAACCCTGACCTCCCCGTGCCTCAGAATATCGATCTTCCCCCGACGCTTCTCTCTCGTTTCGATCTGGTCTACCTCATTCTGGACCGTTTCGATGAGAAGAATGATCGTCGTCTCGCTAAGCATCTTCTCTCGCTTTACCTTGAGGATAAGCCTCACTCGGCTCCTTCTAGTAACGACATCCTCCCTGTAGAGTTCCTCACCCTCTACATCTCGTACGCGCGTTCCAAGATTCAGCCGACCATCTCCCAGGAAGCTGCCCAAGAGCTGGTTGAATGCTATGTGGCCATGCGATCTCTGGGCCAGGACGTCCGCGCTGCTGACAAGCGAATCACGGCCACAACCCGTCAGCTTGAGAGTATGATCCGTCTTGCCGAGGCGCACGCAAAGATGCGTCTTGCCGAGGTTGTCACCCGTGACGATGTGCGTGAGGCCAACCGCCTCATCCAGAGTGCTCTCAAGACTGCCGCCACGGATTCTCAGGGTCGTATCGACATGAGTCTTCTCACTGAGGGTACCAGCGCAGCGGACCGCAAGCGTCGTGAGGAGCTGCGTACTGCCCTTCTGCATCTTCTGGACGAGATGACGGCAGGAGGTAACACGGTACGATGGGGTGACGTTGGCCGCCGACTGAGCGAGGGTGCTAGCGTCCCTGTTGAGCAGTCCGAGTTCAACGAGGTCATGAGGGCACTCGAGGCAGAGAACGCCATCATGATTCTCGGCGAGGGCGCGAGGAGAACGGTCCGCAGGATTACGTCTGTTGCTTAAAGAGTCATGTGATGAATGGCAGGCATGAGGGATGTGTAAATGATATACCATGTAGACGACGCTTTGGGGGCTGGAGTGGGATTGGATCTCCTGGCTGGGTCAGGCGTTGGGCATGGCTACGTACGATAGATAGTTGTCTTATCCTCATTTAATACCAATATTAAGTTGACAATCGTTACAGACAGTTTACTTTGATCCTCTCTTGGCCTCGACAGCCGCCTCCAAAGCATCCTTCAAGGTGTCAATCAAGTCACCTTCATCCTCAAGACCAGCCGAAATTCGGACGCTCTCCTCTTTGACACCTAGGCCACGCATGTACTCCCTCTCTTCGACCTTTTTTCCAAATACAACCATGTTGTAGGCAAACATGATTGTAACGTGCCCCCCGAGATGAGGGCTTGGATAGAAACCACAGCGGTGATAAAATGCCATGGCGCACTCGACATCGCTGAACTCGACCGTCAGGAGACATCCATAGCCTGGCTCAGGGAGCTCGGATGTCCCACGGCGCATGACAGCGTCGTACTCGGTCTTGTTGGGCAGAAGACCTGGATACTGTACGTTGACGACGGGCGAGCCAGGGGTTTTCTTTGCATCGTAGAGGAACTTGGCCATGGCAAAAGCGTTACGGTTGAGAATCTTTGTACGCTCTAGGAAGTCGTGCGAGTTGGACAGCAGAACCTCCGCATCTGAAGCAAAGAGCTCGTTGTGGTGCGTTTCTTTGAACAAGGGCTTCAAGACGTCGTACTTGGGGGATAGAGGGTTAAGAACGATGGAACCGCCCATGACGTTGGATTGGCCACTGAAGGACTTTGTAAGGGATGTTAGGAGAAAGTCGGACTGGGGTAGGACGTCGATGTTGGCGAAGCCGCTGATTGTGTCGTCGACGATGAGGACAAAGCCATATTTCTCAGACTGGTCGAGTTAGTCCTGTCTAGCTCTGTACTCGAAAAGGGGCGGAACTGACCAGTTTCTTCAGACGGTACATGTCAGGGGTATCAAGAGTAGGATTTCCAGGGATTTCAACAAACACGTAGCTGACAGGTCTCGCAGCTTTCCTTTCCTCTTCAAGCCACTCTTCCATCGCTGAGAGACCTTGGTCGTCAACCTTGCCAAAATGCTTCCACCCGTGAGGACACTCCTCGACGAGGTGGTGATAGGTATTGTGAAAGATGATGCCCAGCACGACGATGGTGCCCGGACGGTTTTCCATCAAGAGATTGCTCGAGTGAAAAATGGCTGCCATGCCTGTTGGGTACAGAAACACATCTTCAGGTGTGCACTTGACCTTGTCTGCATCCAACGGGGCTCGCTGGAGGAGTTCAACGATTCTCTCTCGAATACCTTGATGTGCCGGACCCTCAGGTGTCCACGTCGGCGCTGGGAGAACGTCACTTTCAATAGGAACTTCCTTGATACTATCAACCCCCTTCAGGAGATGTTCTGCTCCACGGATAGAGATGCCCAGGCCCGGGTTCTGCCATGTGGGCATCATGGTGGGCATGTACTGCGGTTCGACAGAGATGGTGTATACCCGATGGCCTGCAATCTCGACGCATCTGAGAGATACGTCCTCAGACTTCATGCGATGCTTACCGCGGCTCTCGAGAGTAATATGTCGGACCGTGTATGGCCATACAGCAGGGTTGAGGTAGACGAGAGCAGCTTTTCCCTCTTGTCCAACGCACTTTGCAATCTCTTGACCAAGCTGTTGCACATTAGTCAAGGGAGTCATGATTTATCGAACAAGGTATAGTATCTCACCAGTGCCGAAAAGTGCGTGGGTGCAAACCGAGGATAAATGTGAACGACCCTCTTCAAAGGTCCATGATCACCGTCACGAACGGCCTGGGCGACGTCCCAACCGGGGATGTTGGTGATGACGCTGTAGGGAGTCTGCGGAGGAGGAGCGTATCCAAACTCGGACTGGGTCTTGAGGATGACCATGATGATTTCCCTTTGTTGATCTAGTCTTTTGGTGGGTTTAAGAGGGCAATTCAACTACAGAGACACGAGGTCAAGCCCGTCTTTATATGTGTACCATGTACAGAGGCGCCATCGTGTCACCTGGACTCCAGCCCACTCTGGATAGCAACAGGGCAGACGCCTTGGTGATGGCATATTCAAATAGAACCAAGTCTCGACCCGAAAAGGCTGAATCAGCTGAAATAAGCCCGCTCACCGAAGCTTTGTTAGTACACCTCCTTCACCAAGAGACCGTCAACGGCAAGGCAGTCTTTGGCGTTGACAGCTAAGCTCCCGCGGCACTAGCAGCACCAGCTTCGCCGTGTCTGGTCTGACGCATGTCACTGAGGCGTTCATCAAGGGTCGGGGACAATGGAAGATGCCGTGTAGCTGAATAGTTTTGCAACTTTAACTCTCGCACTAGCCAATGATATTACCCTCGACAGCTCCTAACCACCAAACTAACCTCACCTCTACTGTAGCAACAAATTCAAGCTTACCGCCTCACAGCAGCCCCAAAGACCGAGTCCATTTCTTTCGCCAATCAACCCCATGCGGAATGATGATGTGCAACTGTCAACCAAACAGGAGAAACTCTCCCTTTCCTTTACCAGATCTTCCTCTCTCTGCCTTCGAATGCAAAGTTCAGGACCACTCCCAGAAAGAGCGCCACGCAGAGTACACTTGGACCCCAGCGGTCATAGTACTTGACAACCTTGCGCGTTCTTATCGCGTTGCTTCGGTACAAGTACGTAACCACCGAGTAGCAGAGACTCATGATGGCCAGGAGCGTAAAGATACCAGCCACCCAAAAGTGTGCTGGCGTGGGATGTGTGCCAAAGTTGAGCAACGTCACAGCAATAGTACCAATATAAATCGAGTACTCAAGCTGCACACTCATGTTAGCTGTGTCAACATGATTATCACGGAAATCCAACTTACCCATCCCAAAAATGTCCTCTCGGCCGCAAAGTACACCTTGGGCTCGACACGCACAGGCACGTAAATCTTCTTTCCGTGTGGCGCCTTGAACTTCTTGGTCTGAATCTGCGCCGATCCAAACAGTGCCTGCAATCGATCGCTCCGGGGCACCTGCGTGCTTCGAGGCGCCGGGATGGCATACTTGAGGGCCGAGACCACCTGGTTGGCGGCAACTCGGCTCTTGGTCGAGATGAGGGTTGAGTAGTAATGCCATCCACCTATCCTCTTGGCCTGCTCCAGCTCGAAGCTCTCATCGTACTCGTCATCCGAATCATAGATGGGATAGTCCTCGTTGTCGGCTGGCAAGTCCGCAATCTGGCCCTCGACATCTGCGGGAAGGGGCCGGCGCCGATTACCGCCCTGAGCGCTCGACTCTCCGTTGGTGCCATTGCGGCCCGAAGGTACCGGCTCCTCATCGTCAGAGTCCAAATCATCCTCATCATCCGAGGTAGTCGTGGTTCCTGACATGCCGGGTCGTCGAATACCAAAGTCGTGGCTGACGGGCTTGCGAATGTCCACATCCATCTGAGGCATCCAGAAAGGCAGGAGGTTGATCCGGTCAGGGAACAAGCACGCTGTACCATGGATGAACTTGGAGAACTTGGGAACGGCTTCCACCAGGTGAGAAGAGATCAATTGGCGAACCCACTCAGGGGGCTCCTGTCCAGCCTGAGTCTGGAGCTTGACCTCCAGAACGGCATAGGGGAATCGCACAATGTCCTCAGGGGGCAGCTGTGAGAAGGGATAATCAATACCAATATCCATGCGCCTCCAGTTATCTCCAGATCGAGTGCGCCCATCCAGGTTATCCTCTCGGACCATGGTGAGCTCCGTGTCGAGCGAGATTCGCACTCGGGCATCGGCGGGGAGCTGGAAAGCTGTGCGGTTGTAGAAGGATCGGCAGACAGGCTTATAACCCTTCTTGAGCACCGAGTACTGGATCTCCGAGGCCAGTCGCTCATCCTCAGCAATAGCCTTTTCAGACTTCTTGCCCTCCTTGCGCGCCTTCTCAAAGATGGCAGCAGGGAGCAGCTCTCCCCTCATGTACGCATTGATATTTTTCTCCTTGGTTGCGAATCGTGCCTTGACCGACTTCTCGCCAGTCCAATCCTCACGATGCGTCTTGCGTTCCACAAAGATGGTCTCGGTCTTCATTCCTCCGTACCATCTCAGACGAATCGCCTCGGCACCCTCAGTCTTCTTCAATCGGCCCTCGTACAAGTCCCAGGTCTCGGGGTTGTCGTAGTAGATCGAGGTAATTGCCGAATCCTCGGGGTCAAAGTCCTTGTTGGCGTTGAAGACAAGGACGGGCAAGTGCTTGAGGATGATGAGCTTCAGCTCCGTCACATTGTCGGGGTGAACCCAGTATTTGGTCGTCTGTCGGATAAAGTTGGCTTGGCCACCACCAGCGGCGCTGTCACCCTTGACAGGGTTGCCTCGCGTTCGGACAAGATCGTAGAGCTTCGACAGCTTAATGACGGACGCATCGTAGTTTTCCTTGTAGAAAGGCTTCGCCTTGAGTCGGGTATCGAAGACGGGGCGCAGGTGCCATCCGGTCAATTTCTGTAACCATTAGAAGAGCTCGATTGGCACGTTTAACATGGGCAGCTTACGTCGTGCTTCTTGATGATCTTGTAGAATCCCGTATAGTTGAGCTGGACAAACTTGGCGAGATCGTGGACATCTGCGATAATATCACTGAGATCCTCCTCGAGAAGCATGAACTCCTCCTCGCTGGGGCCGTTCTCGTCGAGGCCGCGCTCGTTCAAGCGATTGACCACCTCCCTGACCTCGCGCTCGCTAACAGCGATACGGCGCGAGATCTCCATAGCCTTGACCTGCTGCTTTGTATGGACCTTTTCGAGCTCGGCCTCGAGCTTGCCGACGAAGCGCGTCTCGTCATCCTCAGTCCACTCAGGCCCCTTGGACCCAAGCTTGATAGGACCTGTAGGATGCTTAAGCTCGTCCTTCAGTCCATCGTAGTCAATGTAGTACCATTGGTACTCGTGGATGACGCTGGAACGGAGCTGCTCGCCGAACTTCATGACGACGACGCCGGGCCGGACCGTGGGGGTGCGTTTGCCCGAGCGGGTGCTTGTCCAAGTCTTGGAACGGGTTTTGAGGTCCTGGACGATCAGCATGAGCGCATTGAACGAAGTTGGAGTCGACACCCAGGAGATGGATGTGATGTGATGTGACGGATAGCGGACGCGAGAGGTGATGTTAAATCAAGGCCTAGAAGCTCATGAAAGAGGGAATTGATGCAACCAGACCATACGAGTCAATCGATGGATTGGCGGCGCTGGCGCTGATGGTGATGGTATCCAGGTCTTCGTATGCTTACCTGTGTGGTAGAAGAGGAAGAGAGGGAAAAAAGCCAGAGACAGCGCGCGAAGTTGGTGGAGTGTGTGTTGCGAGCGGAGGAGGCGCAAACTGGGCAGATGAGACGGTAGGTACGGCAGGTACGGCACGTCTCGTACTGTTGTACTTTCAATTTGCCTGTAGTGCGCAGGTCAAAGTCGGGTTTCCCTTGAGTCGCTTGTTGATCTGTCGACCGTTCGCCCAAGCAGAGAGAGACGCGGCAGGTCGTGCACAGAGGGTGGAGCTTGTCCACTAGCGCTTCTTCTGCTCAAGCGTCAAGTTTGTTGCTTCGTCGTTTAACCCTTGGTTCGGCGAGACAAGCTCGAGATACCTCGCGTGGGATTGGCCAATCGCGTAGCTCACATGCGGAACGTGCACGTCACTGCAAGGAACCCAATGGGTAGAGTTCCAGCACTAAAACTTATACGTAAAAGAGCCTGGCCGTCGTGCTAGGGAGCCCGAGGTCCACTGAGTTTTTAGTGGCCGTTCCCCGTTCTCTTCTCCCTTGAAACCGACCTGAGGAGAGACCTCGCTCCAGCTGCACGCCAATCTTTTCATACCTGGTCACCACAGTAGCTGGATAATTAGCCCAGCCTCACTTCCAAGGAATGGCCTCGACCATCCAGGGTGCCTGTTGGTTCTCCTACCGCAACTGCGCTAGCAAAGCAAAGCAAATGCAAGCAATTGAAATGTGATGCAACCACGGTAAGCCAAACCCTGTCGGCATCCTATCCGGCCACCGAGCTGCTGCAGTGGAACCGGCCCCCCGACGGGCCCCCGGGCAGGCTTCGGAGCGGGGCAGAGTGGATGCCTCTCGGTAGAGAATTCGATATTTCCTGCGTTGTCCAGCGCATCGGCCAACCCTAGCTCCGGCCGAATAATTTTTTATGTTATTTTTTTTTTCTTTGTCCTCTTTTCGGACTCGGTAGAGCCGCGGTTTGACGCTCCCTTCGGTAGGTGCCGCTCCGATTGCCCTTGTCATATCATTCACCCTTGTCTGATTTACTGGTGGTAGCATTGATACCCGTCCTCGAGCGGCCGATACCCGAGATCGATTTCGTGTGCCCCTCTTACAACCCCACGACACATTTTGTGTGTGCGCCCCTCCACAGCCCATCATGACAACACCGACAGCGAAGATCGACGACTCTATGCCTGCGCGCATCTCCTCGGATTGCCCAGATGAGATCCGGGAAGTCCTATATCACGCATGGGGCCACGATCGGAGCGGTCTGAAGGCTCTCCTGCGAACCACCGGCAAGGCCAACGCTCAGGATATCAAGACAGGCGAGACGCCTCTACATGCAGCTATCCGCGCCTGCGGGCCAGCCTCTCCCGAGGACGATAGCGCTGATCAAGAGGAGGATGGTTGTGTTGAGGAGGCCAAGGAGGTTATCCAGGATCTATTCCTCAACGGCGCCATCTGGAACGATGTCGATAGCAACAACGAGACCCCCGGCTGCGTCGCCCTCCGACTCGGCCGCAAGACCCTATACAATCTATGCGTCGAGGCAGGAGTTCGCGCAGAACTTCTCTTTGCCTTGATGGGCGGTGACTACGAGCAGCTGGACTCTGGCTCAGAAGACGGCGACGAGATGGAGATAGAGGAGAACGAAGACGAAGCCCCCCAACTCGTATCCACCGAAGAAGTCGTCGCCGCACCCGAAGAGGCCAAATTCGTGCCCCCCGATGCAAAGGAGAAGCCCGTCACGAGCGAAGAATACCTCAGTTCCAAGCTGGTATATGACGATGCCAAGCTCGTCGACTCGGACCTGAACGGTGTCATGATGGCCTGGGAGACGGACATCATGCGCCGCTCCGTCGCCGCCCTAGTCCCCGACTCGGCCCCTGGCAAGCGTATCCTCAACATTGGCTTCGGCATGGGCATCATCGATGGCATGTTTGCCGACCTCAAGCCCTCGCGCCACCATATCATCGAGGCCCACCCCTCCGTCCTTGAGCACCTCGCCCAGCCAGGCTCCAAGTTCGGCCCCGAATGGGAGAAGAGCGGGCCTGAAGAGGGCGCCTTCAAGGTGTACAAGGGCAAGTGGCAGGATGTGGTACCTAAGCTGCTCGAGGAGGGCGAGGTCTACGATGCCATCTACTTTGACACTTTTGGCGAGGATTACTCCCAGCTACGTCACTTCTTCACCGAGTGTATCATCGGTATCATGGACCAGGAGGGCAAGTTCAGCTTCTTCAATGGACTCGGCGCCGACAGAAAGATATGCTACGACGTCTACACCAAGGTGGTCGAAATGCAGTGCGCCGATGCCGGCCTTGACGTCGATTGGGAGGAGAGTGACGTCGACATGGCTGGCCTAGACCAGGCCGGCAAGGGAGAATGGGAGGGCGTGAGGCGACGGTACTGGACACTCGACAGTAAGACACCCAACCACTTGTTTCTCCGAGCCATGCTGACATTATTTCCCAGAATACCGATTGCCCGTCTGTACATTCATGGGCTAGACGCTCAAGCGCAGTGGGATGAGGAAGGGTTGAACTTTGACACGCTGTTTGGTAGTCCTCAAGCAACCCCCTTGTCTCTATTCGTGCTTTCATTCATGTACACGTCTATCTCCGTTTTACCCGTTCCTTTAATCATTGATACCCATCCGCGCCTTTGATTTATCCGTCCCACACTCTCATTTGAAGTTCTCAGGGTGGAGGATACCCGCTAGGTTGCCCTCGTTGATACGCTTGAGGGTCAGGGCGGCGATCAGGGCAGCGCCGACACCGCTACCATCTTCGGCGGCAAGGACCTCGACGGGGTCCTCGGCCCTCTTGTTCGTCTTCTTGGGCCAGTCGAGAATCTCCCGCAGAGCCTGGGCTCCTCGCTCCTTGAAGTAGGGGTACTTGTTGAAGACTGAGCCATCAGCACCGACGTGGCAGGTCTCGTAGTTCTTCTTCTTGCAGACAGCAGCAACACCGCAAGCCGAGAGGCGAGCAGCTCGAGTGCCGATAAGCTCGGCGGTCTTGCGGATAAGCTCCAGCTCAGGGCGTGTGCAAGCCAGATTGAGCTTGGATGAGAAGAGGTCGTATGTCTCCTGCAAGTTCTCAAAGGGATCCCTAAAAGCGCAAAATTAGCTAGGTCATGGTGTCAGGGGCGGGCAACATACTCCTCGATGAAGGACAAGAAGGAGGCATCCAGGCTGTAGGGCTTGCGGAGCAAGGCAATGTCCTGGTTCTCAAAGATGTGCACATTCTTGTTGTCGTGAAGGTCGACCATGATAAGTCGGAAAATTTCGCCCAGGTAGAGGCCGGCAATCATCTTCTCGAAGGCCTGCTGGCCAGGGCGAGGAGACTCCTTGTCGATAATGACATCGTAGGGAGTTCGAGGGAGAACCTTGTGCTCGTTGTCAAAAGCTCCCCACTCGCAATTGATGGCCATGGGCAGGTCAGGAGGGAGGTTCAGGTGAGCAAGCTTGGGAATGGAGCCGCAGTTTTCAAAGTAAGCTGCGTTGCAGCCAGTGCCGAAGATGCAACCAATCTTCATGTCCACATCGGTGTAGGCCGAAGCAACCAATGTACCAGTAGTATCATTGATCAAAGCTGCCAGCTTGATGGGCACACCCTGTGAAATGTTGTCAGCGGTGCATCCTATGCCTAGAGTCAACTCAAACTTACTCGTCGGGTCAAAGCCTCCTCAAACATGGGAACAACGTTCTCGCCCTCGACACCTTCAATGTCGAAGCCCTTGGTCCATCGCTGAAGAATACCCTCGTCGATGTAGTTCTGAGTAGCGGGGTAGGAGAAGGTGAAACCCAGGGGAAGCTTCTCCATGTTGGTGCAGTCGCCATGGTGCGTTTCGAGGAACTGGAAGAGACAGTCGGCGATGTAGTCCCATAGCTCCTCCGAGGTAGCAGACTTGAGCTCCTCGGGCATGCGATACTTGGACTGAATGATGTCGAATTCCGACTTCTCCTCAGTGAGTGTGATCTGACACACTCGCAGGTTGGTGCCACCCATGTCCAGGGCCAGATAGGTACCGGTCTCGTAGCCATCGGGGAAAGACATAACCCAGGTAGGGTTCATAGGCTGAATGTTGGTTAGAAGCGTGATTGATATCATGGATGCTGTGATGTATAAAAACTCACGATACTGCCACCCTCGACACTAAGACCTAGGAATTCAGGTTAGCCAAACGGGTCACGATGCCACGGATTTCCTGGATTTACCCTTGGCGAGCTCAGAAACAAAGTGGTTGGTGATCTCCTTGAGCTTGGCAGCGTCGACAGTCAAGAGCTTCTCCAGCTTGTGAATCTCATCAGCCAAGTCCTTGGGGACATCGGCCATAGATCCTGCCATTGTTTCGTCAGCGCTGAAGTGCGGCATTGTTGCGTTTGATTTGTGAAGCAAAAGAAATCGCAAGAAAAGTTTGGTGGTGGAAGTTGTTGAAGGAAGGAGCAGATGGGCATTTAGCTTCGTCAGCTGTCAACACTGCCAGCAGTGCCGTCGCCGCAATTATCTTGATATGGCACTGGCACTCCAGTGTAACAGCCCGCTAGTAGCCTCAACCCTTGGCGATCTTCTCGTCTCAACATTCCTGTTTCCACCTTGAGATCACGGTGACACGGTGGTGGCAGTGGAAGCGAAGGTATCGATCGATCGCCCACACCGACGATGAAACGAAACCTCGAGGGACGATGAGACAAATATTCAACCAGATCTTGTCCAACGAAGCACCGCATCTCCCCAAAATCTCTCAAGGAAAAGACGGCTTCGCCTTTTACATGGATGCTCCGGTCCAACGCCGGGCTGGGCGGCCGAATCAACAGCGTCATCACCACGTATTTCGCCCATGGTTCGTCAGCCCCACCAAGCCATTGTCAACGGGCAAAAGCTAACTGAGCCAGGACGGCGTCCATGTCCAAGCGATGGCACACCGAGTCCGTTCCCCAGTAAAACATGCGACACATCACGAGACACCGAGCAGCTTGATCAAGAGAACATACGTACCCTTTCGGGAGGGAGGACGACGAGGTCCGAGGCCGACCATTTTGTCGATAAAGGTTTGGCGGGGTTGGCGGGGTAGTTCTGGTTGAGGCTGACAAGAAAGGTGACAAGACGCGCGGAGCTAATCAGGGACACACGGTCGAGAGAAGAGCAATTGACGAGTCCAAACCAGAACAAGGAATAAGGGGGACACGGGGGTTTTAAAGGAGTTGGGGTGGATGGTGAGCGAGGTGGAGCAGGTCGAGGTGAGTCGAGGTGAAGACGCCAACCAGCCAGGTCGCAGCCGTTGAGCGGGAGATGCAGCAAGGTTGACCTCAGGGAGTTGGCCTCAAGCATGGAACCTGGAGCTGGAGGGGAGGTCCCGTCAGGAATCCATCCGCCCAAGGTACTTCTACATGTTGACGGCTCTGGGGATGTATCCGGTGCCTCGCTTTGGCCGCCCAGCAGTGTGTGCCGGGCCAATTGCGTCCCCGGATGAGACCCAACTCGCCCATCTCCGGGCCCCCAGACCCCTCGGCGGCCGCATGTTTCTGTTGTCAATCCATTGCAGTGGTCTCAGCTACGTAATGTCTTTATCTGACCGCTTGCACTGGTTGCACGAGGTCTGGCCCCCGGATAGGAAACAGAAATAAACTACTAAAAAGGAAGTAAAAGAGAAACCGCTGCCTGGCCAAACATGGTTCTAGGTTCGATAAGCTAGCTCCTGAGGTGACGGTGGCTTCCCGGCGCCCGACGAGGGCGTGGGTGATGCAGCATGGTCCGGTCTTGATCGTCTCCAGATCCCACGCCCTAGGCGAGGTAGTGTTGAGCTCTTGTCGGCCCGGTGTTGGAGGGGGCAACAGCTAGCAGCGATAGTCGACTCAACAAGGCGGGGGAATGCTCAGTAATTGCCAAGATGTTTCTGACCAAGCTTCCCACGTCTCAAGAGGGGGGCCCCACTGGTTCACCCAGAGGAAAAAAACCATCCCGTACACCGACAATGTGGATGGCTTCGTCTTTGTCTTCCTCGTGCACATATGCACCAGGGTCGGGGGACTTGGGGGTCGGCCGTCCAGCAGCTTGGTGACATGATGTCAGGGCCCAGCAAGCCACATGTGACCTAAAACCCCTTGGTGTTCGTGGGGGGAAGGGGTCAGTACCTGGCTTCTCTGCCGGCCGGGTACCTTGGGCTCATGAAGAGCTCTTCCAGGTTTGCCGGTTGGTGATCTGATCTAGCGTTTTGCCTATAAGAGCTATAGTTGCCGTCCCGGACTCGGCGCTACTATCTGCCGAGCTCCCAAGCTTCAGGTGGCCTCTGATTGGTCGGTTAGCTTACCCTGCAGCTCCCGCTGACGCGCGCCAAATGGGCAACGTATGCTTTTTGGGAGCTGTCTCAGGAGGACTCGCGAAATCGAGGTATCTTGAGAGTTGCGAGCTTGCAACAACCAACCTCGACCACGATTTCCTCCGGCACCCGGCCAATTTCCATCTCCAACAGCTTTGGGTCTGCTCGGTCAATGAGCGATCCCCTTTTCTAAAGCTGTCATCATGAAGGCGTCCGCGATTGCTACGGCGCTCCTGAGCTTCGTCTCTACTGCCCTCGCGAGCGCAACCACCGAGACCTCCAAGGTCATCCTCCCCGCCGACTTTAAGCCTCCCCAAGTCTTCAAGAACGCCAACCTTGTGCATGTCATCTCGCTCGAGAAGAACTATGTCAAGGAGCAGATCAACGTCCTCATCGAGAACGTCGCATCCGAGCCTCAGACCAACTACTATGTGCCATTCACTGCCGACCAGCTGTCCCGTGTAGGTGGCTTCGAGGTCAAGGATCGCAAGGACGCAAGCGCTGGACCGTTTGTGGCCGAGGTTGTTGAATACGATACCCTCAGGTATTTATTTGTGGCTGACCCTGACATGTGCCGCCATGATGCTGATCCCATCGTTCCAGTGATGTCCAGTACTACCGCATCCAATTGCCCACTCCCCTCAAGGCCGGTGCTCAGCAGACCCTCGGCATCACCTTCTACTACCTGAAGGCTTATGCTCCTCTTCCCGCCTCTATTCCCCAGGACGATACCCAGTTCCTCGCCTACGACTTTTCCGTCTACGCCCCGTCGTCCTATCCCACCCTCAAGCAGAAGACCGAGATCAAGGCTATTTCGTCCTCGATCCCCGACTATACAAAGCTCCCTGGAAGCGGCAATGTCAAGGAGTTCCCCACCAAGCAGGGTAACAAGCTGACATATGGCCCCTTCGACGAGAAGCCTGCTGGCGCCATTGCCCTAGCTCGGGTTCGATTCGAGTTCTCCAAGCCCGTCACCCACGTTGCTGAGCTCAACCGTGACATCGAGGTCAGCCACTGGGGTGGAAACATTGCCTTTGAGGAGAAGTATGATATGTACCACCGAGGTGCCAACCTCTCGACCCTCTTCAACCGAGTCAAGTGGGCGCAGGGACAGTTCTACAACCCCACCACCCATGCTCTCAAGGAACTCCGAGTTCCCCTCCAGATTGGAAGCGTCGATGCCTACTTTGTGGACGTCATTGGTAATGTCTCGACCTCTCGCTTCCGTAGCAACAAGCGAGAGTCTCTGCTCGAGCTGAAGCCCCGATACCCCCTGTTTGGTGGTTGGAAGTACCCCTTCACCATTGGATGGAACTCTGATGCTGCCAACTTTTTGCGCCGAACTGCCACTGGAGGCTACGTTCTCAAGGTCCCCTTCTTGGAGGGCCCTAAGCAGCCTGAGGGTGTCGAGTATGAGCACATCAACGTCAAGGTCCTCCTCCCCGAGGGCGCCGAGTAAGTTCAGAAAAGGCAACAGAGTCTCGACATGTCTAACAATGAAGCAGAAATGTCAAGTTCTACACCAACGTTCCCGACTCGGCCATTACCTCGACCTCGATCGACCTCACTCGAACCTACCTTGACACCATTGGCCGAACGACCGTGACCGTCAAAGCGAGGAACCTCGTTGATGAGTTCCGGGACCGACAGCTCATCATCTCGTATGATGCGCCCCTTGTGAGCGCTCTGCGAAAGCCCACTGTCATCTTTGTCAGCGTGCTGGCAGTTTTCATCACGACCTGGGCGCTTGGCAAGGTGCAGACGGGATTCAAGCCCAGGAAATAAGATATATAGAGAGGGAAACATTGTCTTTTTGAGCGCTCTTCATATTTGCATGAACAGCGGGAGCTGCTCCTGGGCAAAGATGTAAAAAATGTAACATAGAAAGGGATTATAGTTTTCTATTGAAATGGATTTCAACCGTGAATGGGTCTGGTGTGCTAGGCGGGTGTCATCTGACAGCTGCCACAAGTTGTCAATTGTGTGACGACCCTCAATCTAATGGTGTTGGTGTCAAGGCTGACAAACCATTGTATAGCTGAGAAGAGGAGTGCAATGAACAGGGTTGAACCAGGTAATGGCGAGGAAATATGCACCATTCGTAGCTGCGCATTCGTGGATGCCTACGTAGATACTTGTTGAGTTGGGTTGAAGAGGAGGATGCCTTGGATCGAGACGAGTGTGGATAGAGGCAGTGCCGCTGTCAGATGATGCTTCAAACCGGCCCTGACATGAACAAAGTAAAACCTTTGACTCGCTTGATCCGAGGTTTCAAACCCAACAAAGCCACATTAAGGCAGCTACTAGCACAACTGGGGCTGACCGAGCCCAAGGTCGTGGGAAATGGTTGAGCTCGCGTCCTTGGAGCCCAAGTGGTCAAAGACTCGGCGTCCGTCAGAATAACCAGCAAGGTCTAGGGTGGTTGAGAGTCAAGACTCGCAGATGCAGGGCATTCTGCTGGTTCCATATTGGCGGTTATTTCCAGTGACGTGACCTGCAGCGACCGCCTGCAGAGCAAGCAAAGTCAAGTACCGGTATTCGTTCAGCCGCCCGTCAGCCAAGGCCGTGTTTGATGGTGTGTACAGTAGGTGGAGTGGGTGGGCGAGGCACGCTCCGATGGTCATCCCCGTCAAGGACCCCTCCCCTTGCTTGCGTGGTGGTGGGCATGGGTTTAAACCAAAGAAACCGGGCAAGACGCCAGTGTCAGTCATGGATGGAAAGCCAACTCGTTCGTATAAGATGATGAAGGGGTCCCCTCCTAAAGCTTTTTTCCTTTGTATCTTTTCAATCAACTTGACAAACACTTTAAGCGTAAACTTGCGCTACGAACCTCGTCTCTTCTAAACCAGTCTACTCAGTCGCTTCCTCTCGACTTACACGATTTGCTCTCTGAGCTACCAAACCTACCTATTACAACTCATTTCATCAACATCACTGCTTCAAGTTAGCCGAAATGTGCTTCCGCACTGAGCCCAGGACCAAGTACTACTATCACGAGGAGATCATCCCCGCCCGGCGTCACCACGGCCATCACCACCACCATCACCACCACTCCCACTCCCGCTCTCCTAGGGCCAGTTACACCAGTGTCACCCGCCGGTCCTACAGCCACAGCCCCAGGGCTAGCTATCGCACCAGCGGTCCTGTCGCCTACGAAACTCGCTACGTCTGAGCACTTCTAAACAAGCAATGTCAAGATTTCTCACTTGATGACGTTGTGCTGAATAGACTGGTGATGATCTATACTTGGCGGTTGAAATTTAGCGGCATTGGCGGCTTCTTTGACGTGTAACGTAAGACGCGAACATTTATAATATGATATTGAATGAATCGAGTGGACGAATTGGACGGCGGTCATTTTGTTAAGCTGGGCGTTTTTGTTATCGTGGAGTAGGGCAGGGCAAGCAACACGACGAAATGGGTTAGAAACGTTACGGACACATAAACACGAAAGAAACAAACATAAAGATATTTTGTTCCATTTTCTTAAGCCGCATACCAGCCTTGCCAGCTTCCGGGAGCCACGGACCTTGATCACTTCCATGACATGGTTGTGCTTGACTGGTGGTGTCCAAAAAAGAAGCTGTTGACGTAGCTGTTGCCTCTAGCGGGGATGGAGGGTCCCGCTCAAGGTCGGCAGGGCTGGATCTGTGAGGGCGTGTGCATGACATCACCTTGCATTCCATCGCCATCATCATCGCCGAGGTCTCTCCAAGAAAAGAAAGAAGAGAACCTAACTTGGGGTGATGTTGGTGTAAGTGCGTGTGTGTGTGCGCGTGTGTGTACTGTACCTTGTTAGCTGAGGACGGGTCTAGCCATCTTGTCTGCCGAAAGCAGGGAAGACGGCATCGCAAACGTCAGTTCTCGAGGGTCTTGGAAAGGGTCCTCGTGGTTGTTTAAAGCCTGCGTACCCCTGCTTGCAGCCTTGAAAGGAGCTTCTCGCATTGTAACCTCTTGATGCGGACGACGACTACGATTTACAAAGTATTTTCCCACTCGAAGCAAACCCTGCAGCTAGATCCTTCCGTGTCGCCTTTCATACTGTGTAAGAAATTGCCTTTCTGTGAGCTCATGACTGCTCTGCCCGTCATTTCGTGCTGCGGGTGGAATCATGAGTCTTGGCTTGCAGGTCCTTCTTTGGAAGTGAAGCTGACCTCAACAAAGAAAGCGCATCCCATCCAAACTTCTCCTTCCGAATAGTTTAGTAAAAGCGACCTTATCGGGGTTGTCGTTGTCAAAATGTGAGTTCACCTTTTGTAACCTTCGTCTGTACCTCGACGTTGTCTTTGAGCCATTCCCGGATATACCGGGCAACATCAACCACAATGTCGTCACGCTTCAGCTTCGATATATCCGCCTCACCTCGCCCTGGCTCGTACATCATGGAAGTGCCGGCTGACATGACCATGTCCCACAGGAACCGCGCACTCTCGATCCGCTCCAACAAATCGAAGGGAGGCTCCGCCTCCGCCTCTAACAAGCGGGGCTTCTCCTTCAATTCCCTCCGCGGTCAGGTCCAGCCTGAGCTGTCGCGCAAGCTCTTTAAGCTTATCAAGTCTGAGAACAACCTCATCAACGCCCACGAGACGGCTGGCCGCGAGCGCATCTCTATTGCGACCCAGCTGTCGGAATGGGGAGAGCATACGTGCGACGATGGCATCAGTGATATTTCGGACAAGGTTGGAGTTGTCCTGAGCGAGATGGGTGAGCAGGAAGATGCATATGCCCACTCCCTGGATGATTCTCGTGCCGTGCTCAAGGCTATTCGAAACACCGAGAAGAGCGTGCAACCCAGTCGCGAACACAAGGACAAGATTGCCGATGAGATTCAGCGGCTGAAGCTGAAGGAGCCTGGAAGCGCAAAGATACCTGTACTCGAACAGGAGCTTGTTCGCGCCGAGGCTGAGAACCTGGTTGCGGAAGCCCAGTTGACAAACATTGTATGTCGCCACTTACACCGAACTACTCACGAAATGCTAACATAGTCCGCAGACCCGACAAAAGCTCAAGGAGGCTTACGCTGCCGAGTTTACCGCGACTATCGAGAGAGCCGAGAAGCAAATTATCTTGGCCAAGCATGGCCGCCGCCTGCTAGAGCTTCTTGATGATTCGCCCGTGGTGCCCGGCGATACTCGACCAGCTTACGAGCATTCCCACCAGGCCCGTCAGATCCTCAACGACTGCGAAGACGACCTCCGAGACTGGCGTCCAGAAGCTGAATCTTTCTCTACACCTGCCCAAAGCCGAACACCGAGCATCACAGAGAAGGACAAGGAGCCAATGGTGGCTGACGATCTGCCCTCTCCTGTGCAGTCGGAGGCCACTACTGCGGCCCCGACAGGAACCAAGTCTTCCGTATATGCCGAAGTTGCTGGTTGAGATGATGGCTGTTGAATAATTGATACCTGAGCTGTGTCTCCTGTGTCTGAGCCAGGCTGTATTTGATGGTTGTTTGTTTGGCTTGAGCAAGCACTGGAGAGTATCGTTGGCTGCGTGGCAGTTTACCTCACTACCTACATATTTTAGTTCCGCTTGATCCGCGTTTTATTTGTCTTGATTACTGAGGATGGTTTTCGAGTTTGCTGCTGTACAATTATATCCCACACCTGTTTATTATGTCAGCTGAATAAGAATGGTTATCTTTGGCCTGATCTCGCCATGCATCCAAATGCCGAGGTGTAGTTGAAAACGTGACGACGGGCTATCGGGACTTTGATAGGTAAATGTAGCGCAAGGATTAGAGCGGAGCGAAGACGGACGGCGCGCAACCTTGGCCAAGGCCCGAGGCTGAGCAGTTTGAGATTCTTGGGTCGCTGACCACCAATCGATATGAGGTGATCGTTGGCGTGGGTCAGGAGCGCAGCTTCTTGGAGCGTTGAGGGGCTTTTACTCAAGGAATGGTGTGGATGGATGGAGTCGAGCGTCGTCGTGTTGGACAAATGAGACGGGCATCTTCCGGTTACGGAACGAGGAGGATTTTTTGATGAAAGGCCTTGATGGCGCGAGAGGATGAGGGAGAGGGGAGGGTTGATAAAGTGTCTATAACTTTAGTCAGTTGTAAGTCAAGCAATATATCAAAATATCACTTGATTTCAACATAGACTTCAGAGTAGAACTCAAAGTTTGCTTAGGCTCATCGGACAAATCCTCTCAACTTCGGGCTGTCGGCTGGCTGTGTGGATCTCAAGATGAGAAAAGACAGGAACCATTTTGGCACAGCGAAGATGGGTCCTATTAAGTCCAGACAGAGTTAGCTTCCGGTCAGCAAGTTCCGTCGTCCGATGGACATTGAACGCAATTCTGATCTTCCCGTTGCTTGTGCATTCCCACCCCCTTTTTTTTCCATTCTCCCGCCTAAGTGACCCTGCGGCCAGTTATACAGTCCAGGACAAGAAAAAAGACCTCGGTCAAACTTGAAGCTCGACAGCCGACGACCGCGGGAGCAGCCAGAAGAGGCACGAGCTTAGAATCCAATTGCCGTGTTCTGAGTAGGACCAGGTGCATTTTTATCACACCCCCTTTCCTCATTATCTCTCTTCCCTTTCTTTTCTCTCTTTTTTTTCTCCCCTTCTCTCCGGGCCTGCTCCACTTGAGGCGGTCCGCTCACTGCCCCGTTTGATGCTCCGGCCACAAGGCTCCCGAATATTACTATCATCGCGGCTACCCGCCGGCCGCTCACTGCAGCACCACCACCACCCTCTATCCTCCGCAGCGCCGTTGCCACTGTTGCTACTGTCGCAGGGGCCACAACGGGGGCCACCTGCACTGCCGCTACCGGCATCGCTGTCTCTGTCGCCATCGTTGTCCAGAGGGCCGGGCCGGGCCAATCATATGTCGCACCTGGCCACACGTCGCCCTGGAGCCAGGCCCAGCCTGACCCAGCAGAATACCCCGCCCCCTCCATCCACCACGTCTTCTTCTTCTTCGACTCTTGAAACTTCTTCTCGTCGGACTGCCCAGCTCGCTCGACACTTTACTTCTTCTCCATCAAGCGTTTCCGCACCAAAGCAGAACAAGATGGCCTCTCGCTACACCGTCCGCAAGGTTGCGGCTCCCAACACCCTCGAGCACCGCGTCTACATCGAGCAGGATGGCCAGCCCGTCTCTCCATTCCACGATATCCCCCTCTACGCCAACCAGGAGCAGACCATTCTGAACATGGTTGTTGAGATCCCTCGATGGACCAATGCCAAGCTCGAGGTATGTTCCGTCAATTGGTTATCTACGCCCTCTTGTTGCGCTGTTTGAGCTACCTTGTAGCTGTCGTGTGCCGCAAAAAAATTACCCCTCGCTTGGGCATCACCGTCTCTCCAAATCGACCCCATGCTGACAATCTGCCCACCAGATCTCCAAGGAGGAACTCCTCAACCCCATCAAGCAGGACATCAAGAAGGGCAAGCTTCGATACGTCCGAAACTGCTTCCCCCACAAGGGTTACCTCTGGAACTACGGTGCCTTCCCCCAGGTAAGACATTCCAAGTCTGATACGACTCCAATCCAGACCGCTCACACTTGTAACTAGACCTGGGAGGACCCCAACTCCATCCACCCCGAGACCAAGGCCAAGGGTGACAACGATCCTCTCGATGTCTGCGAGATCGGCGAGCTCGTCGGCTACACTGGCCAGGTCAAGCAGGTCAAGGTCCTCGGTGTCATGGCCCTTCTCGACGAGGAGGAGACTGACTGGAAGGTCATTGTCATTGACATCAACGACCCTCTTGCTGCCAAGCTGAACGACGTTGAGGACGTCGAGCGACACCTGCCCGGTCTTCTCCGTGCCACCAACGAGTGGTTCCGTATCTACAAGATTCCCGATGGCAAGCCCGAGAACCAGTTTGCCTTCACTGGCGAGTGCAAGAACAAGAGGTGAGTCGGCTCTTGATGTATCTGTCGGTATCGGATTCTAACAAATCTCCAGCTACGCTCTTGACGTTGTCCGCGAGTGCGCTGAGGCCTGGGACCGCCTCATCACCGGCAAGACTGCCCCCGGTGGTGTCTCTACGTGAGTACCCTCAATATGTTGCTGTCACACTCATACTAACCAGCGCTCAGCACCAACGTCACTGTCCAGCAGTCTCCTTCCCGCGTTTCTCCTGACCAGCTCCCTCCTCTGCCCCCCAACGAGGAGGTCCCCGCCGAGAAGATTGACAGCTCCATTGACAAGTGGTTCTTCATCAGCGGTGCCTCTGCTTAAGCGCAAAAAAGGCGTTTTCATGTGAAAAATACAAATCTATCAGACGTACAAGATTTGAAAAGTGAAGCATGACAGAAGAATACAAAAAAAATATGATCAATTGCCGTTATACTATACAAGACTTGTGATGTCGTGGTCCCATTGGCTCCGTAACATGGACAGGAGTCCTCGCTTCCTCAAAACGCCGGTGATGCATAATTGGTGGTACATTGTAGTTGATATTTAATCGGTCAAATCGGCCGCCTTCTGCAGCTGACGAGAGTGACGGTCTACTTCCTCGACCAATCCCTTGATGTTGATCTTTTGACAGTTGAAGTCGAGCTCCTTGCCATCCTCTGCGCTGTGTCAGCCATTGATCACCCCTGAGAAGAGCACACGGTCCACGCACTGAACTTGACACGTAGAGAGCTGGGCTCTTTCGAATCTCGGGGTAGGATAGTCGTGGTGATGGCTGTGCCGTTCGCTCGGGCAGTCGGAGGCATAAACGTCAGGAACAGGCGGGCGGGCTTTGCGCAAGCCGAGAACGGGTTGAACTTGGCCGTGACCTCGGTCATGAATTTGGTAATCATCTCGGCGACGTGGGGACGCAGAGCGCGTGCAATTGACAGGACTTGGGGTGGATCGAACGTCACTTAAGAGGTTGCTCGACAGACTGCTTCGTGATGCTGAAATTTCGGTGTTGAGAATGCTACCCCGGTAAATACATATCGCTTGGTGGGGCCGACTCGACAACTGCAACGTCATGATTCCGGGGGGACCACGTTTCGACATGAGACTGAATTAACAACTTTTGCCCAACACAGACGTTTACTCTTCTCCACTAGCGAAACCATTCCTTTCAAAAGCTCAGAATGTCATTCGAGGGCTTGCAGGAGCGCCTAACGGCTCTGCAGGAGACCACCACCCAGCTCAAGGAGCTCATCGACCGGCTTGCGACCCTCAAGTTCCAGCCTGGTTCCGTGCCCCTGGCCACCGACGAGGAGAACAGCGTCAGCGGGGAGCTCAGCACCGAGATTACGGGAACGCTGCGGGACGGAGAGGAGGAGTATGAGATTCTACATGAAGAGGTGGAGTTTGTTCGCGCGGCGGAGCATGATAGGGCGAGGTTGAGGGAAGGTGTGGAAAAGATTGGAAAGGAGCTTGCAAGGTACAACCCATGATGGATGAGAGTCTTGGATATCGCTAACTGACTGTCTATAGTTGCCGTCTATCCTTCCGGAAGGCACGACTATCCGCAAAGCAGAGCCTCTTGCAGGCGCAAAGACTCGAGCGCGAGCTCATGGTTACTTCATTCTCGCAACCCACTTCAGAAGCCGGCTCCCTACACCCAGACGACGAAAAGCCCTCGGCCGCCGTCCGCCCCTCGCGACAACACCATGCGGTCCAACAGCAGCAGTCCAGTCTTTCAGGGGAGGACCGGGAGGCGGTTGGGGCGAGCGCCAATGTGACCAACGCCCTGCGGCGCACGCACGACATTATCCAGGCCGAGTTGGCGCGCAGCGAGTTTGCGCATCAGACACTTACCGAGTCTTCTGCGGCGCTGAAGGATCTCAACGAGTCGTACAGCTCGCTGGATACGATGCTGGCGAATTCACGGAGTCTGCTGGGGACGCTGGTGCAGTCACAAAAGTCCGACACCTGGTACTTGCAGACGGCCGTCTACATGCTCCTCACGACTTTTTGCTGGTTGTTCTTCCGGAGGATACTATACGGGCCACTGTGGTGGCTCGTTTGGCTGCCCCTCCGAGTATTGTTCGGTGTAGGAACCACGGCTGGCGGCGCGATGATACGCGCGGGATCCGGCGCCGTCAAGGTGGAAGAGGTCGGAGATGTCAGTCAGGGGGTCCCCGTGGAGGGTCTGCCCGCGAAGGATCTACCCACTGTCCAAGTTGGCACTGAGAAGGAGGCGGAGGTGCTGGAGGAGGTGGATAAGATCCTGAATGTTATCGAGGAAGCGAATGAGCAGGATAATATCACGGAAGAGGAGGATGCCGACAGTGCCCGGAATACCAAGAAGAGAATGTGGGAAGAGCCCGAGGTTGTGGAGCAAGAACGGCCCAGAGACGAGCTCTAGGTTTAACAATATTCGCCTTTTGATAATACAATCAAAGACCCTTTGGATGGTTAACCATCCATCCACTCATACCCGGGAGCCCGTAACAGCATCATGACTCTTAGGCTATTGCATAGAACGACTCAGGCCATATCAAGTCTAACATGATTGTTGACGAAGATATTCCAGTGTATGAGTTTGCACTTGAGGAATAACTCTCGTCAGTTGCCTAACTCAGGTCAGGAGATGATGATCCTCCAGAAGCTGTTGCCTGCTGGCCCCGTTCACGGGGCGTCTGAGGCTGGGGAATCCTTCTGCATGGAACCTGGGATTGGGTACGAAAACAACTCCAGCGTGGCTATGGCTGGATATCTTGTGATGCGAAGGCATATATCATGGATAGGACTTCACTGGGCATATTGGTTTATTTCTCTTTAAAAGAGATGTCCTCGGCCACTTTAAATTCATTTTTTTCTATTCAACGCCCCTGACCTCTCCTGGAGTGATGTACCATCGACATCCAAATTTCTATAAAGATTGAAAACTCCACCTCATGACCCTTTACTCCTTTTGAACCGCTCTGACCGAAACGACTCCAAGTATACCCCCGTCGCCATCATGTGTTTTTGCCTCCCCGCCGGACCAGACGAGAAGTCGTCCACTGGCCCCAAGAAGCCCTTCAAGCCTTTGACCTTGGAGCTCCCCTTCGACCTGAATCATCGTCTTTTCAGTAGTTCAAAGCGCCCCCGAGTCTTTGTGGGCACGCAGAGTGGCGGGGTTGGCGAGATTGCTGGAGGTGTCACTGGAGGTGCGACGGGAGCAGCATCGCAGCCATGATGAGAGTCAAGATTCAACCAGAACCTGTATTTGAGACAAAGCGAGAGACCGACCCTCGTTGAAAGGGGCGTATATGGTTGCATTTAGCGGTTGAAACGCCGTATGATTCAAAATCAGGTTCGCTGGGGAGCGATCTGGGCGACTTCGCTGATCCATGGAAGACCGAGCTTCTTCATCTCAACTGCCAGCTGGAAAAGGTAGTCGAGACTTGGTCAATGTTAGTCATCCGATCTATTCAATGGACGACCTATAATGAAAGTGTAAACTCACCTCTCACACTGGGTCTTGGCCTTGTGCACATTGTCACCCCAGACGTAGACACCGTGACGTCGGACGAGGACTGCATATGTATCAGGGTACTTGTCCATGGCCTCCTCGAGGTACTCGGTCAAGTCTTCCTCATGAGGAGTGTTCTCAATGACGGGAATACGAAGGGTATCATGATAACCCAGGTTACCAGTCTTGGTCATTCCACGTCCAAAGCCCTTGATCTGCTCAATGTTGTTGATCTCAAAGACACGGTCCTTTCCAGGACCCTGGGCCTCGAGCAACAGAGTGACAAGCACAGCCCACTGAGAGTGAGTATGGATGCAGCAGCCAGCACCCCGGCGGGTAAAGGCCGCGAGGAACAGAGGAGTGCACTGAGAGGGCTTGTAGCAGGGGGGTGAGCGCAGGTACGTGCGCTGCTTCAACTTGTTATGGTTGGGGTCCTGCTCAGAGATGGACATGACATAGATGTCAGTGTGCTTCATGAGCTCCTTCTGGACGCCAGAAGGGGCAATGTAGACGAGGTCACTAAGACATTGCTGTGAGCATCATTCACATGAGGCAATTCCTAGCTGGAATTGAGCTTCAACAAGACTCATGCAAGCCATGCTAATGGCACAGCTGAAACAGAGCATCTTTCCTCACTCGAGAAGAGCAACCAACACATGATTCGCAAAGAGTCCGAGTTAATTGCAGCTGAACAAACTCGTTCTCGAGACGAGATTAAGGCGGGGTCGCGGGGTAGTTTAGATTGTCGGGCTGAAAACATACTCATCTCGAATAGAGCATCCTCCTCCAGTTCCCGTGACCCAGCCGAGGGTCCAGAACTTGGCACATAGGGAAGGAATCAAGTTGGCCGGGTGGTTAGGGTCCTCGGAAGTGATGAGGGCATCACCAGTCGGACGCTGCTGCTCCGCCGCTTCGTCGTAGAACTCGGGCATTGCGTCTTGAAACGCCGGAACCCAGGCGTGCCGGAGAGGCCTAAGATTGGCCGGGTCTGGAGGTTGATCCGGGGCGTCTCTCCGATCTCAATCGGAGCTGAGGCGGAATACGGAGCCCTGACGGTAGCGGTAGCAGCAGGACGATGGCTTGCACTGCACGGGAGAGAGAATGAGATGATGCCGAGCGGAGAGTAATGCGATGGCAGCAGATGTTGGCGCCGAAAAGATGAGAAATGGGCAGTTTGTTCAATCTTAATCGGACGCCGCACCTGCTTTGGACCTGGGTAAGAGGCCTGCTACTGGCTGAAGAGACCCGGGTTTCCGGGCAGGTGCTGCTGAGTGCTCCGTGCCATTGCCCGTCACCGTCCTTTCGAGATGGTGGGTCTCAAGAATAGAATTTTTAACCAATCCAAAGTGGGAAAAACGCACCCTGCCTGAAGTGAGGTCATGGCTGCCCAGGCTAGAGCAACCTTAACAATCAGAAACGACGGCTCGAAAACGTTGGACGCTCCCTGTCTGCCACTGGGCAACGTTGGGAAGAAGCAGAAGCAACCTCAAAAGCCCAAGGATACGCTCCTCAAACGCTACCCAAGATGCATCTAACAAGGAGCAGAGTTTTCGCATCCAGGATCATGTGTCGCCGCCCTACGTAATCTACATGGCATCTGCCTTGCTTGGTCTTGATAATTGATGTTGTATTGCGTTGGAGTGGCAAGGAACCAAAAAAGCGACGGTGAGCTATGAATAGGAACGGGACACAAGCGAAATGGTAGGTGGATTTTTCGGAAACGGGGGAGCCGATGACCGGTCGAAAGGCGGAAGGAGATTGAACGGATGCCTCAGGTACCAATGAAATTGGATTGGATGTGTCTGTCACGCATTGATAGCTGCCGACGGGGATGGCGTTGGAAATCATCTCGGTGCATGAACCCATGTCCCCAAGGCTCATCTCATCTGAGTGACTCGATCAGGGCGGGCTAGCTAACTGCCATTGACAGGGAGGTTTTCGCTTGCGTGATGACTGGTCATCAACGGGGAAGCAATCTTCAATAGGTAGGCGAAAGTTTGACTGCCTTGGAAGAGACCTGGGCGTCTCGGACCCTGGAACTTATGTTGATAACGGTGGACATTAACCCGTCCACAGCACAGCACGGCAACCAGTGTCACGCCTCCGTCCCTAGATCGGCTGGATCGCTTTCAGCTCGCAGCGCCAGCCCAGGGTATCACAGAGGCCTGCTCGGCCCCTAATGAAAAGGATATGGGGGGACGGGGGACGCCGGGGAATTTGCTAGCGGGCCTGGGTCTAGTCTCGTATTCATGCGAGGCGACAACAAGAAGACAGGCCAATGGTCAGCTAACTAGACGGCGTTACAGGTCACAGCACAGAGAGAGCCATCACTCACCCACACAGCTTCCGACACGCGCCGGCAGACGCGCCACCAGCGGCGACCTGTCGCGGAAAAAGCTTGTGCTGTGCAGGAAACGCATCCATTCATTGTTTGCTATCGAGACGAGACAGACCACTCGAGGCAGCCAAGAGAGTTTGTTGGGTGGTGACGGCGTGTGGTTGACGACGACGCTTGACTGCATCCTTTGGTCATGGCCGAGCACCTGCATATGCCAGCAGAATAAATGTCTTGAGGGGATCTGGAACTCTTCTTCTATTCGGGAATGGCGCAGAACCCCCGAATTCTGTCTCGATGATGGCGCTGGGCAGATGAAAGCATTGCGCCTCTCGAATGTGTGTGCTGCTGTTTACGTTGGATCTCGAGCATCGCCCGACCAATTTGGATGTCTCAGAGAGATTCCAGCTTCACTCCACCGTCGCCCCCCAAGCCTATTACCGTCTAGCTCGCTGCCACCCCCTGAGACTGGCTCGAGTCCAATCGACGTTGAGAGATCCGACGCTAGCACCGGCAACTAGACGCCGAGCCCAGAAACATCACAACGGGCGAGCGTCATATCAGCGCTGAAAACTTGGGGTTCAGTGGTGGAAGACAGCCCGAGTCCAGACAAAGGGAGCAGGTCTGGCCGCCTGGGCATCCATCCGGATGGTGGCCATCTTTCCCGGGCAGCCTCTGCAACACGAGCCAGAAAGGAGGCGAAGCTGGGTTATAATGGATGGAGGAGTGGAGGATCATCCATGAGTGGGTCCTCTCCCAACGTCTTCCATATCATACGGCTGGCATTTTGCTCCATCATTGATCAATGGCACAAGACATGTCGAGACAGAAGAGCGAGGCAAAGAAAAAAACTGCACACGATCTGCATGGAGCCGGAATTGCAGGGACGAGACGCTCAAGTGGCCGTTTCCCCCCGGTCAGGCCATGGCAACCCGCAGACCAGGGCCGCCAGGGACGGCAAATTAGTGCTGGTCTGCTGGATCATGGCTTGCAAATTTAAAATTGAGGTCGGCGGGCTTCCCCAGACACACCTTGACACATCCCAACACGGTTGATCGGCAGACCTTGTCGACAGGACAGAGTTGTACTGTATGTACTTGTGCTCGATGACCTGGTGGCTACTGTGCCACGATGCACGGCGGACGTGTTGCCAGTGGTTGAATCACGAGAGTGTCTCCATCCTGGACGAGGTGGGCAAAAAGTTGATATGATACAGGCAGACTGACAACAACAAACTATCATGCACGAACACCAAACAGCAGCCCTCCCAGAGAGCTCCGCCCCGACGCGGCAAGCGGGTTAATCAGGCCGAATCATGCTGGGCCCCTAGCAATCCACAATCCTGAACCGAGACGACCCAATGGCTGCAATCCTGGCGCCCCGGGCATGGGTCTCCTCCCCTCCATGTGAGAACATGGGTTCCATCCCCGATGGACTAGGCCAGCCTTGGCGCGACTGCTTGCCCCTGCTTGCTGCGGCTTTGACCCTGAGCTGTTGTTGACTTTGGCGACATTGATGGTGACTTGTGACTTTGGGGGGGCGCTTTTCCCCTGGCTCTGAGCATTTCTGGTGGCCTGGGGCCGCGGCCCCTTTGCCGTGGTCTGCCCTTCATAAGGACCTCGCAGACCCCGTCGCGTGCCATTGAGTTTCTTTTCCTCCTCACCCTCGCTGTCAACTCAATCGTCGTTCGTTAGACAACTTGACTCTTCTTCACAACTCTCACTTGAGATCCATCTGTTGTTTACACTACTTCTAATTTCCAAACCCCAACAAATCCATCAAGATGCGTTTCACCTCCGTCTTCGTTGCCGGCGCCTTCGCTGTCATGGCCTCTGCCCAGAGTGCCACTGTTTCCGTCTCCCCCGCCCAGCAGTCCCAGCTCGACTGCCTTGACGCCTGCGATGCTGGTGATGTCAAGTGCCAGTCTTACTGCATCACTGTACGTTAATAGTTTTACACGCTTGTACACAACAAGCCACTGACATTATTCAAGGTCCCTTCTCCCAACGAGAAGCAGGTCAACGCCACCAACGAGTGTGTTGCCAACTGCCCCAAGGGCAAGGGCTCCGAGGCCGACACCCAGAAGTACGCCGCTTGTCTTGAGCAGTGTGTTTCCGACAACTACTGGAAGACCGTCGACGGTACTCCTCGCGAGACCGCCGCCTCTGGCAGCTCCAATGATGAGGACTCCTCCAGCAAGGCTGCTGGCTCCAAGGCCACTGCCACTGGCACCGACGCTACTGCCGCCGCCTCTGCCTCTGCTTCTGGTTCCGGCTCCGAGGATAGTGCTTCCGAGACCGCTTCCGACTCTGAGGCCTCTGGCACCGCTTCCGGCACTGCTGCTTCCTCCACCGAGACCGGCAACGCTGCTCCCGCCCTCGTCGGTGGCGTTTCCCTCCTGGGTCTATTCGCTGCCGTCCTTGCTCTGTAAATTGGACAGCCCTTTGGTGTCTGGTTGATTGGAAGGATGTAATGGGTTTTGCTAGAGCGGTAATGATGGTTGGAGTTTGATATCACATGAACATGTTGGCAGCATGAGAGGAGGACCCTCCCGGTGGTCGTTTTTTCATGGACAAATTTGGGACACGTTTTGCGTTCACATACAAGCTCAAGACATGGGCATGAATACAATACCACTTTTTGGCGCTCTGCGTCACCTGAAATCATTGATTTCCTCTGAGTGAAATGCATGAAACAGTGAAGTTGTGACCTGTTGTGGAGACGGTTACATGATTGGTCCACGACTACCGATTGGGATAAAGAGGCGCTCACTACGTGTGTAAGCGAAATGAAGGCCTCGGAGAGTGATTGCAGCTGACTTTGCCAGGGAAAGGATGCGAGGCTGGCTTTGTAATATCGGTCAGAATCCTCATGTAACTTTGGCAGATCGAGATGTGTCTCATTTTACTCTCTGCAAGCTCTCAAGCTGCTGCCTGTTGACGTCTCTCCATCTTCATCTTCAATGACACTCAGCCTGCAGATGTACCGGTACCCTTGACGCCACGAAGCCCCCCTTCCAGTTCTCGTCCAGTTCTCGATTCCATTAGGACCGACTAACTCAAAGCAAGTCATCATGATTCCTCCCGCAGATAGTAACGGTTTTCCTTATCACTGATGTCACTGGCGGCATGATGAAGTGCTCGATTCCCAGATAGGCAGTTTAGCCGCTCATGAAACTATTTGCCTTGAAATGCGGGAGCGAGTTGAACAAGTCCAACAGCGTCAGCGAATCATGCTCGGCGGCAGTGGTTCCATAAAGAAAAGGGTCCTGTCTGTCCTGCATTTCACTAGTTGGCAAGCTTCCGGGATTGTTCTTCTGGACGACAACAGAATTCTACAAATGGCTTCTCCCATTGTTCACTGCAGCCTCGGAATTGACGTGCGCGGTGAATGGGCCGGCCTTTTTCGAAACAATAAGATATTACCAATAGGCCCAGCCTCCTCATCTTCTCGAGCCTTCTATGGGAAATTCACAACCCAAACTAAGCCTCCGCGCCGAGGCATCTATTGCCTGAGGTGGAAGTTCCCCGCCCCCAAGAATCGCCGGCAAGGTACCTGCCCTGCCCTGCCCCAGTTCGGCACCCGCACCACGCCGCCGCACCTTCCTGCTTAGCGGGCCACTGTACCCCCCGCCCTGCGCCTGGCCGTGTGTGTGATCCCTGAAATTTAGGGCGGCTCTGAGTGAGCTTCTACGTGTCCTCAAGCTCCATCTCCAACGCCAAACAGCTCTCCACCATTTCTTTGTAAAGACGCCACCTCTTCGTCACCTCCCTCCCGGCTTCTTTTCCTGCAACCTCTTGGAAACTTTTCTCTCCTCGAGCGCTGGGAACCCCCTCACTGAGCGTAGACTCTGTTGCGATTGTGTCTTATCCTCTCGTCCAATTCCTCTTTTATACGCGCCGCGCGACTGGTGACGTCTGGAACTACCCGTCCTCCACGGAGCTACATTGTCACCGCTTTCATCATGAAGATTAACGCTGTCGCGGCCCTCTCGGCTGCTCTCCTCGCTGGCAACGTCCACGCTGAGGAGACCAAGCCCGATGAGGCTTCTGCTGCTGTGCCCAAGGTGCCGACTTTCACTGTAGGTCATCACCATCGCGCTTCCCCGAGCTCTCGACCACCATCAGAGCTCCCATAAGCATGTGCTATGATCAATTGGAAGCTGACATTCTGTTCTGTAGCCCACCACCATCAAGGCCGACTTCCTTGAGCAGTTCACCGACGACTGGGACCAGCGATGGAAGCCCTCTCACGCGAAGAAGGACACAGCCGGCTCCGACAAGGAGGGTGAGGAATGGGCCTACGTCGGCGAGTGGTCCGTCGAGGAGCCCACCGTCTACAAGGGAATGGAGGGCGATAAGGGTCTTGTCGTCAAGAACCCCGCTGCTCACCATGCCATCTCGGCCAAGTTCCCCAAGAAGATTGACAACAAGGGCAAGACCCTCGTCGTCCAGTACGAGGTTAAGCTTCAGAGTAAGATTTGCCCATGAAACCCAGCCTTGGATGGTCGCGGCGTGCTAACATGTCCTTCAGACGGCCTCGAGTGCGGTGGCGCCTACATGAAGCTCCTCCGAGACAACAAGGCTCTTCACCAGGAGGAGTTCGCCAACACCACTCCTTACGTGATCATGTTCGGTCCTGACAAGTGCGGCCACACCAACAAGGTCCACTTCATCTTCAACCACAAGAACCCAAAGACTGGCGAGTACGAGGAGAAGCACCTCAGCTCTCCTCCCACCGCCAAGATCGTCAAGACGACCGAGCTCTACACTCTGATCGTCCACCCCAACAACACCTATGTCATCAAGCAGGACAACGAGGAGGTCAAGACTGGCAGCCTTCTTGAGGATTTCCTCCCCGCCGTCAACCCTCCCGCCGAGATTGACGACCCCAAGGACTCCAAGCCCGATGACTGGGTTGACCAGGCCCGCATTCCCGACCCCGAGGCCAAGAAGCCTGAGGACTGGGACGAGGAGGCTCCTTACGAGATTGTTGACGAGGATGCCACCAAGCCTGATGACTGGCTTGAGGAGGAGGCCATCACCATCCCTGACCCTGAGGCCGAGAAGCCCGAGGACTGGGATGATGAGGAGGATGGTGACTGGATCGCCCCCACTGTCCCCAACCCCAAGTGTGGTGATGTCTCTGGCTGTGGTCCCTGGACCAAGCCCATGAAGCGCAACCCCGACTACAAGGGCAAGTGGACTGCGCCTTACGTCGAGAACCCTGCCTACAAGGGAACCTGGGCTCCCCGCAAGATCAAGAACCCTGACTACTATGAGGACAAGACCCCTGCCAACTTTGAGCCTATGGGAGCTGTAAGTTTCCTTCATTGACTACTATGTCGCAGCAACTAACTGGTTATAGATTGGCTTCGAGATCTGGACCATGCAGAGTGACATCCTCTTCGACAACATCTACATCGGCCACTCTGTTGAGGACGCCAACAAGCTCGCCGAGGAGACCTTTGGCCTCAAGCACCCCGTCGAGAAGGCTCTGTTCGAGGCTGAGAAGCCAAAGCAGGACAAGGACCCCAAGTCTCCCAACGACCTCAAGTTCCTTGATGACCCCGTCTTCTACGTCAAGGAGAAGCTCGACCTCTTCCTTGCCATCGCTGCCAATGACCCCGTCCAGGCTGTCAAGTTCGTCCCTGAGGTCGCCGGTGGTATCGCCGCCATCTTTGTGATCTCTGTTGCCTTCCTCGCCGCTCTGGTGAACCTTGGCACCTCGTCTCCCGCTGTCCAGAAGACTGCTGAGAAGGCTAAGGACAAGGCCAAGGAGGTCAAGGACAAGGCCGCTGAGGCTACAACCACTGGCGCTGAGAAGGCCAAGGGTGAGGCTAGCAAGCGTAACACTCGCAGCCAGTCGTAAGGGACAGTTGATAGGTGTTGGCGGACAGGTGTTGATTTGCAAAGGCAATGACATCTAAAAACAAGCAAAAGAAATGTGCTACAGAAAAGAGATGATAGGAATGCGTATGAGGGAGTGTCAGTTTTGATCAGTTACCTGATTTCACATGCATCAAGGGAGCATCAACAGTATCAATTTGTTGATACCTTGTTGAAGCTACTTCACTTATACCTGGCCCAAGCTTGTCATCACTGATAAGCTTGAGTCATGACGAAAGGAATTTGAAAGCACGGCGCAGGCATTTGATTTTATCGTTTTGAATGGTGTTTAGCCAGGTTCTGTCTGCCTTGGTTGATAGTTTGAGGTAGTCAAGTCAGTCTCAGCTTATTGACCCAGATAGGCAAGAATTTGAGAACAACCTTGTCTATACTTATAGTGGCTCACCGGTGCCTTCTAGGGCCATGTGATGTATTTTTGCGATAACGATTTCTTACTTACCTCACGATAGTTCATGACAGGTGGTTGCCCTTCGTGGAGACGAAGCGAACAGCTTGATGAGGCAGGTTGTTGGAGATAGCTAAATTGCCCGATTAGGCAGGCAAAGGGAGACGAGAGGAGTTGAGGCTGTCCTGGCTGTCCGCACTAGTTCGGCCTTCTCACAACCGGGCCCAGAGAGTCCCAACCTCGGCCATTGAGAGGACAAGAGACGGAGGACGAAGGCCGGGTGAGGCAAGCACGGGGATCCATCGGCATAGACGGCAACTGGCGGCATCGGCACAGAGATCGGGGCGCAGGACGGCAACCTTGATATTACCCCACACTCTGCAGCCGCCGTTTTGGAGCTGGAGGGGAGAAGGAGAGCTTATCACACATGGTAGGTACGCCCCCCACATTGACATTGACGGCGTCGCCTCCGCACCGGCACAGCTACCGGTGCACACCAATCCAGTATAAAAGGTGTCGAGAACCCATGACCTGTGCATTCTTTCGATCCATCTGAGCTGCAGGTTGATTCCTCGTGGATTAAAGAGTCCAATTGCCATTCCTCTTTTCTCCCCTTGCCCCTCCATCTCTTGCTCTATCACTTACACACAACCTACCTCCCTCCCTGTCGCCATCATGCGTCGTGCTATCTCCCGCGGCATCGGCGCCTCCAGCCGCTCCTCTCCGGCTGCTTCGTCTCGATCCTCCCTCCTCGCCTCCTCCAGAATGACCTCCAACGGTCCCTCGTCGGTCGCTACCAGGCGGATACACGCCACGGCCAAGCAGCTCCAGCCCGTCACTGCCGCCCTGGCCTCGACCGCCACGAGCTTTCCCACCACACACGAGAAGCTCGATGCCGTCGACACTCCCTACTTCATTAACAACGAGTTCGTCTCTTCAAAGACGGACAAGTTCATTGAGCTGCACGACCCGGCCACTAACAACCTCGTCACCCGCGTCCCTCAGATGACCGACGAGGAGATGAAGGCGGCTGTTGCTAGCGCCGAGAAGGCCTTCCAGTCTTGGAAGAACACCACTGTCATCTCTCGCCAGCAGATCATGTTCCGCTTCGTCCAGCTCATCCGTGAGAACTGGGACCGCCTAGCCGCCAGCATCACCCTTGAGCAGGGCAAGACCTTTGCTGACGCCAAGGGTGACGTCCTCCGTGGCCTCCAGGTCGCTGAGGCCGCCATTGGCGCCCCCGAGCTTCTCAAGGGAGAGGTCCTTGAGGTGTCCAAGGACATGGAGACCCGAACCTACCGTGAGCCTCTGGGTGTTACGGCTGCTATCTGCCCCTTCAGTGAGTACCTAGTTCCTATGCTGCCATTGGGCCCTTGCTAACATGGGTAGACTTCCCTGCCATGATTCCTCTTTGGTGTATCCCCATTGCCACCATCACTGGCAACACCCTTATTCTTAAGCCCTCCGAGCGCGACCCTGGTGCCGCCATGATCCTTGCCGAGCTTGTCCAGAAGGCTGGCTTCCCCGAGGGTGTGGTCAACATCATTCACGGCGCCCACCGCACCGTCGACTTTATCCTCGATGAGCCCGCCATCAAGGCCGTTAGCTTCGTTGGTGGCAACAAGGCCGGAGAGTACATCTTCAGCCGCGGTTCCGCCAACGGCAAGCGTGTCCAGGCCAACCTGGGTGCCAAGAACCACGCCGCTGTCCTTCCTGATGCCAACAAGAACCACTTCATCAACAGCGTTGTTGGCGCCGCCTTTGGTGCTGCCGGTCAGCGCTGCATGGCCCTGAGCACCCTCGTCATGGTTGGTGAGACCAAGGAATGGCTCAGTGAGGTCGCCGAGCGAGCTAGGGAGCTCAACGTGAACGGTGGCTTCGAGCAGGGCGCCGACCTCGGACCCGTCATCTCTCCTCAGAGCAAGGAGCGCATTGAGAGCCTCATTGCCTCTGCCGAGAAGGAAGGTGCCACTATCCTCCTCGATGGCCGTGGCTTCAAGCCCAGCAAGTACCCCAACGGAAACTGGGTCGGCCCTACCATCATCTCCAACGTCACTCCTGACATGACCTGCTACAAGGAGGAGATCTTTGGTCCCGTCCTGGTGTGCCTCAACGTCGACACCATCGACGATGCTATTGATCTGATCAACAAGAACGAGTACGGAAATGGCACTGCCATCTTCACCCGATCTGGCGCCACTGGCGAGACCTTCCGCAAGCGCATCGAGGCCGGCCAGGTGGGTATCAATGTGCCCATCCCTGTCCCTCTGCCCATGTTCTCCTTCACGGGTAACAAGAAGAGTATTGCTGGTGGCGGTGCCAACACCTTCTACGGCCGACCTGGTATCAACTTCTACACTCAGCTCAAGACTGTGACTGCTCTGTGGCAGAGTGCTGATGCTGTGGCTAAGAAGGCCGATGTGGCCATGCCTACTCAGCAATAAAAGGAATGGATGATGGAATTGAATGATATTGAAATTAAGCGACGGGTTCAAAAGTAGGAGAAGGAGAATGAATGAATGCATGAATAGGTGGTGGAAGTAAGGACTATAATTACTAGTCGCAAACAGGGGCGTAAAGCAGGCCTCATTTTGGTTTCAAGTTGAGCCATTGAGAATATCAAAATGATTGCCGTCCGGCACATTTACATACAACTTTACATTACTCGTTCACTCATATCTTGTCATGTTATTCTCGCCTGAAGCAAGCATGGGTTCCTGCATCTCCGCACACTTGTAGCATGCACGGTTGCAACGCGGGAAGCTTAACCAGGATGGAATGCAACGCAAGCAACCAAACAAGAAGCGCACAGATGAAGCACAAGCTCCCAAGTCTTTGCCTGATCAAGAGCCCCGTGGCATGGGCAAGTCGACTAGCGTTTGTTCAAGTGCCGATAAACCACCCAAACTTCAAACAGAACAAAGATGAGGTTGCTGGTGTTTGACGCCTCATTCACAGGGGTCATGGTATTTCTAGCTAGGACGATTCTTCTCATTGATGTGAACACGGGAAGTGGCATTAAATGGAATTCACTTTAGATCCAAGACGGGAGCTTTTATAGCTTCTGGACGTCCTCACTCTTGCTCTTACCCGCTCTTTCCTCTTTCTCTTGCGTCGCCAACCAAGTCACGAGACATACGACCAACGACATTATTCAGGGAAAGAGCATGAAGCACAAAATCTTCCACCCTCGCTCTTTTAAAGCGTGGCTCAGTCGAAAACGCAGAGCCTTCTCTTCATCATGCCGCAGATATCAACTGCGCAAGCCTGGACGCAAAAACCGTGGCTCCATCAGCATCGTGAGCGGCGAGCCCATCACCGACGACAAAGCCTGGCACGCGTCAAAAACTCGCCATGATAGCTTCGATGGCTCGTCTTCTTCTTTGACGCAGACTCTTGTCCCATCCAACGACTCTCGTCCTGTCTCTTCATCTGAGAATACCAGCTGCCTGGATGGCACTCGAGGACCTCCTTCACCCGTCCAAGATACTCAGCCAGATCCATATTCTACTCTCTCCTTTCCTAGGTTTCCTAGGAAGTATAAGCAGCTACGCAGCCCACGACACCTCTATCTTCCCGAGAGTAGCAGCCAAAGCCGGGACCCTCACGAGCCCTCGCTCGCAAGCGACAACCAACCGAATCACCCTCAAGATCTCGTCCCTGCCGCGAGTAACAACCAGCCAGGAGATTCACCTGCCCCATCTTGCAGATCACAAGCTGGGATAGATGGACTCGTTAATCTTCCATTTTCACTTTTCCTCCAAATATTCTGCCTTGTCCCTCCACACGAAATTGTCCGATCTCGACAGGTCTCAAAGACGCTGCGAAACACTCTGACAGGCCAAGCCCTCTGCATGAGCTTGATTCTCGACTTCTTTCCACGGGCGCGAGAAGCGAGGATTCTTCAGGGTTTGGCCACGGGGGAGAGTCGTTCAGAGATAGGAGACAATGACCTCGACACCACGGATTGGGCCACCGTCTTCGCACGGTTGGCGCGTCGTTACTGGCATCTCAGCCAGGGGAAGCCATGGAGACAAAGCGAGATCGTTATAAGAAAGAATCTCCAGGTTTCTCACGGTGTGATGCCTTGGAACAGATTCATGAATGGGCGCAATCTGACCGCCGACTTCCATCACTGGGATCCTTTCTGGACTTGTGCCCCCGACCATGGCTTGATCATTTACCCTGCTCCGGACTCGAAAGACCTGGATGTGTTGGATTTCCGGGCTAGGGATATTGACACGGGTGATGAATGTGTGGTGCCCTTTCAACTCTCTGGTGGATCTCTCATTCGGGTTCATATCAGCCATAGCGTTCTGCTGTTCGCCTTTGTGGTGGAGGCAGATTCAGGATGTCGCTTCTTCATCGAGGCATTTGACATCATCATGAAACAACCAACACTGCCACAGCTAAGCAGCAAGGCTGACAAAAACCTCCGAGAGAACCGGCTTTCTCAGAATGTCTTCTCATCAAGAGGGCTATCTCAGTTGTTCAGCATGGACAGACCCTTGAGCCATGAGGGTCGTTTCTTTTGCACCCATAACAGCACACACTTTGCCCTATACAAATGGATCCCGACCACGGATCTAGCTTTCACTGCTGTTAATCCTTTAGAGGAGTTGATCGTCTGGGACATTGGTTCTCCAGGGCTAGGCCCGCGTCCAGAACGTAGTGAGCCTCGACGCATATTGACATACCAAACAAGCACCCTTCAGCACTTGGGGCTATCGCAGAATTTTACCCCCCGTCTACGGAGCGTGGAACTTGACAATATCACCCAAGACGACACTGGCTCGGCCTGTGGCCATGTCTACCTTGTCGAAGATGACCATGACTTACTTGGAGGCCCCCATGCAGGACCATCCTCGGGAGTTGTGCACTGTGTTGAGCCAACCGGTATCCCTTTACCGGGAATTGGCCCGGCATGGAAAGAAACGTGTCTGGGCAAGGCTCCTGTCAGAGGCGAGTTGCCTTTCTTCGACGCTCATTGCTTTAATCAATATCGAAATACAACGCCAGGCCTGCTGAGGTGGCAGAGGCTACAGAGAGGGCTTCCCCCACATTATTCATGCTCAAGGAGACCCCAGTGTTGGCGTCATGAAAGCTTCCCCTGCATCACCATGTCCCAAGCTCACGATACGGCCGCGGGCGTGCGCTTCAAGGCCCTCCACTTCTTTAGCCGCAAAGACATCACTGTCTCTTTTCCACCCGGTATCTATCCTCATCACACAGATGAGTGGGAGGGAAATACACGCCTCGGGAAGCACCCATTAAGGAATGAGCAGTTATCGTTCTTCTTGGGTAAGTTTGACAGCTTAACAGCCAAGGGCCGCATTTATGGTGATGAGCGATGGTTGGTGGGCGAGGACACAGACGGTCATATTAATGTACTGAGGTTCTAAAGCCAGAAGCAAGGTATCATGTGGTACATACGACAGGGCGTGGAGATATTGAGAGAACGCGGCCCAGATGACAACAGGTCCAGATGGCAACACCACGGTTTTTAGGCAACATAGATAACAGTCAAGACAATGCCTCAGTCGACAAGGACAACTTAGATGTCATCACAAATAAAATGAATTGCATAGGAGCAGCTACTAGCTATCTCACATGTCGTTGGTTCAGTAGCATCATCCCCCTTTTTTAGACAGCAGACAGATAATACCGTCCTTGCCTTGACCCCCCTCCTCTTCTATCTTCAATACAGATGGTCCCTCTTTAAATATGCCCCCTTCTCTTCCCCCTTCTCTTTCTAGGTTTAGGAGTGGCGATTAGCCAATCCCCCCTTTTTTTTCCTTCGCCGAGGCCAGCCCAAGCTCAGTAGGCAAGGCGAGGGATTTCGGTATCAAAGACGAAAACAACAAAATGAAAACTCCGTGCTCCCGGATATACAAACAAGATGATGTCGCCATCGAGGGGGTTCTCTTCCCTCGAGTTGGAGGGGGGTCAACTATCGCTGGTCCTTGAATAGGGGGTGAGGTGGGTGCAAATGGTCGCGTGGGCTCCAGCTGCTCATGTCTATAAACTCATTATCGTCCTCTGGGCTTACTGCGTCGGGAGTTGCATAAATCCGTCATAGTACTCGTCAAGCCATCGAGCAGCTTCGACACCAGAGTCATCCACACCCGAGTCCCATCTGCCAAGAGAGCCAACGTAGCCATCGGGGCGCACGTTGACAATGGCCACCTCGCCAGGTCCAAGGCTGCCGAGCCACTTGTTGGTGCACAGCGAGCCACGGGTGTCCTGGTCCGGAATGTCATCGAGATAGAAGGTCCATCGGCTGTCCTGCAGGAGAGGGGGGAGGTCCGAGATCTCGATTTCTGTCTTGGGCATGGTGGCTGGGTCATGGTTAGCATGGTGGGTATTCACACTGGAAATGAGGGTAACTCACTGATGAGGGCAAAGGTGAAGAGGTGGCTGACGACGGTGTATCGCTCTGGCCGGTAGTAGATATCCTCGGGGGCAGACTTTCGTGGTTGGTTGGCATAAGAGGCACTGGCCGCAGCAGATAGCCTGCTAATGAAAGAGTCGGTACCAGCAATGGCTCGGCAGAAGGTCTCGAGGAAAGGACCCGACTGCTGGACATCCCACATCAGGAGGTAGATGCGGAACTGGCCCAACATGGGAATGTCGAGCTGGATATCGACAGGGTTGGAATCGATGTAACGAGTCACCTTGGCAGGGGGCAAAAGGCAACCAGGCTTGACATCTCCCATGACAAACTGGTTGTTGCCCACTCCAGGTCGGTTGATGACATTTTCACCATACTCGGCACCGATACCAGAGATGAATCGGACGTTGGTCCTGAAGTTCTCGGCAAGGGCAATGGCGTCTCCACCGGCGATCTGGTTAGCGTGCTCATAGTCAAAGTTGACCAGATCCAATGCGATCTTGCGACGCTCTTCCTCGTAACTCTCAAGCAGGACCGGCTTGGCCAGGCCGCGAACCGCCAAGTTCAGCTTCCAAGACAGGTTCCATGAGTCGTGCATTGAGGTGTTCATACCCTGCGCCGACTTGGGAGAGTGCGTGTGACTGGCATCACCAGCAAGGAATGCCCTGAGGTGGCCGTCGCTGAACCGGCTGGCGACTCGCTGACCGACCTGGTAGCGACCAAACCATTCAATGTACTTCCACTCCACCTGGAAGGGAGCCATGATCTGCTTGGCACGCTTCATGATGAATTCCTGGCCCAGGTCGCGACGATCAAACTTGGCGCCTGCCTTGAGCTCGATATAAAATCGAGTCATGTTCCTCTCTCGGGGAACAATGAGAATTGATCCATGCTCCTGCGAGTAGACGAGGGTCTTGGACCAGATATCGGGGAAATCCGTAATCAACTCTCCATCCAGGACACCCCAGATGGCCGCCTGGGACATACCAACAGCCTTGACATCCGGGATGCTCTTTCGAACCTTGGAGTGCGCGCCGTCGCCTATGACAAGTCAGTTTCCATGCGATCGTGGCAAGATGCATCATCACTCACAGCCGACCAGGAATTGGGTCAGGACAGATCGCTTATCCTGGGTGACATTGGTGCGACAATTGACCTGAAGGGGTCCCAATACGTTGTCGGAGACATTGTACGACTCGAAAGCCATGTTTCGGCGAACCTCCTTGCCACGCTTCTTCATGTCGTCGAGGAAGAGACCTTCAACCATGCCCTGGTGAACAAGAAGGATGTAGGGATCGAGGACATCGATAATAGGCGGGTAGTGAACTTCGCGGCCGAGTCGGTGAAGAGGTTCGTCCGCTGTGCTGCGCCAGAAGGCGATGTCGAAGACACGGACACCACGTTGTAGCAAAGTGTCTGATAATCGCATCTGTCGGAAGGTCTCGATCGTCTTTGGTTGCAAGCCATCGGCTCTGTTTACACGAGTCAATTGGGGGTTTTCTGAGGTGGTTACCCAGCAAAGCTAGGTCAAGAATGGGGCATTACCTTCCCACAGGTGTCTGGTCTGCTCGATCATCGACAACCTCAACGTTGATGCCAAATCTGGTCAGGTTGGCGGCCAGCATCAGGCCGGCGGGACCTGCGCCGACAATGCATACTTGGCATTCTAGAGGGGGCTCAGGCAGGCTTCGAAGAAGGGCGAGAGGGTCCTGGGTCGGGGGAGGCGAGCCTTCCTGGCGCGCGCGGCTGAATGGGTCGTCCATTGGTGTCATTGGTGTATCAGGCTGAATAACGCCGGGAACCATTATATGGTGGAAGATGTCAGGAAGATGACAAGATCATGGACGACCTCTGTCAGATCTGGCGGTGGACAGAGTGCCGTCCTGAAGCGGTTGCGACAGGCACAGGCGGCGGGCGAACGGGTGGGCGAAAGGGTAGAGGATGCTGCAGGAAGTAGGCTGGCGAGAAGTTTGTGGGAGGTCGCGGTGAGGGGGTCTGCGAGGCGATGCCCGGTGAGGTGATATCCTCCGAGATGGTCCGTCCACGCGGTCGACAAGTGCCGTATCACTCTTCGGGGATTTGTCCAAGCTCCCCGCTGTCGTTTGAGGGATCCTCGCAAACCAGGGTTCGATTCGGATTTTAGGAGGGGTCGATATCAGGATCACAGAATCGACAATGTCGGAGGGGACTTGTTGGATTCGGCGGGAGGGGAGCGCAGAACTAATTGGATATATGATAGAATAGATCGACAAGTTGGATAGTGGAGGATGGATGGGGCTGTCGAGCGTCGCGGGGCAAGGCGACGATTGGACGAGCTGTAACTGGCTGACAAGCTACGGGCTGATGGGCACGCAGGCGCAAAGAGGACCACGACAAACGACGGCGAGACAACGGCGAGAGCGACGACGGAGCCGAGTACGAGGACGACGGAGCACGGAGGGAGACACCGAGGTGAGGAAGAAGAGAAGAAGAAGAGAGGGGACAGAGGACTAAGTATGAAGCTATTCCGACCCCAAAAGGCAGATATAGGTAAGGTAGGGAAGACCGACCGACGAACGGGCGCGCAGGCAGACAGGGCAGGTGCCGGAGAGTCGGGGATGGTGGGAAGTAGCGACCGGGGGCTACGAGACGAGGGAGGGGGGTGTACCGTTCTGTCGTAGGTAGGCTGTACGGTTGCTGCACTGCACTTGCTTGTTCGGGGCAAGAAGGAAGGGGGGATCAGTGAAAAAGACGGACAGGGTCAGGCAGGAAGGACCAGCCAAGGAGCAAGAACCAAGGGCAAAGGGCAAAGCGCAGGTGAAAGTCGGGTCACAATTGCCTTTAGAAAAAAAAATGGCATGACACGATTGTCGCCAGCGCCCAGCAGGCGGAGGCGGGTCGGGGGCATGCGCCGCAAGACCTGATGAGGAGACAGAAATGGGCTGATTTCGCGGGAGATTTTGCTGGCGCGCTCCCACACGGTCCACTCAGCCGACACGGTTGACACGGTCCACTGGGTCTGGGTAGCTTCCAGGGCCCTTCCTGGGACCCTGCCCGTGCAGTAGCGGCCTTGACTTGCACTCTTTTTTCTCTTGGCCTGAGTCCTCCAAAGTCCATGAGGGGTCCACATCCGCCTGTGCAGCGCCGGCTCCGCCAGATGATGGACGGTTGTGATTGGTTGCCGAATGACAAATGTTCCTTGCGGCTGGGTCGACCCCAGAGGGCAGCCCGCTAAGATGAAGCAAAGAATGGAGTTTGTTGTTGGAGAAGAAGCAGCAGAAAGACAAAGAAAAAAGAAACATGCCCGCAATTTTGATTCAAGAGATGCCTTAAGCGCCCCGTCTCCATAGAGTGCGGGAATAAGCATCTGTAGCCAAGATCAATTGACAAGTCCAGAAGCCACCGGGGAGATGCTGACAGCAGCCCAGCCTTGACTTTGACTGATGGACCTATGATACAGACAGCATGAGGGGAAAGAAGCAACAATCCAAAAGATCCGCCTAGAACACTCACCCACGCTATGCGCCCAGGCCAGACCAATCCTCCTCACTCATCATCACCAACAACAGTACGTACTGTCACCACCACCATCTCACAACCCAAGACAAAAAGACGTTGAACCCGTGCCGAGCTTGCGCCGTTGCTGGGCGAATCCACTCATGCACCTGCTAGTTCCGATGAAAACGTGCGTGCGAGTGTGAGTGAGCTGTGTGACTGACTGCTTTGGTACTGGGGGTCAGCTACTTTCTGGGCTGTAGGTTGTATTTCGTGCAACGTCCTGTCCGCATATGCTAACCTATTCTGCCCTTTTGGTATATGGTGCAGTGAGCTGGACAAGGCCAGCACCTGAGCGATGGAGGGTCGGGGTCTGAAGTGGCCTCATGTAGAGTTCCTCCGCCTGCCCTCTCTCGCGCTCGCAACTCTTTCAAGTCGATAGTCGTCATGTCCAGGACAGGCTATGTACGGTACGTACGTACGTGGACTGGACTGGTTGCGAGAGGCAGTCATCAGATGGAGCCATCCACGGCCCAGCAAGGATGAGGCGGACCCAGCCCATCTCCCACACCGGTTTCCCCGGTCGTTCCCACGACGTTTCGCCAGATAGATGACGGGTTTGGTTTGGCCAACACACAGATGGCTCGGCAGACGGACGTGCTCCAGCTGAGATGGCAGGCGTGGGGATTCGGGGGCTCGGAGCAAATCTGCAACGGAGCCAACATCATATGCTCTCGTGTCCGCACTAACTCGACTCGTAGGGCTCTTCCATGATCCAGATGGGATCTGGCAGTAGTTCATTCAAGCTGACACGGCCAGGTCTTGGCTTCTGCTGTGGTTCATGTTTATTGCCATGTTGATGGTCGGGGATTTCTCGCAGCGTCAACCATGGATGTTAATGTGCGGCTCATGGCTTATTACGGGACAGCAACACCAACACCGCCTTGCCAGATGATAACGCTCAGGTTCTGCTTCCTTCTTCAGTCATCTCCCGTCATCCAGCCGTTGGACCCCAGTCCTAGTCCCGCAGATGCGGTCTGTGTAACTAACTACTTGCTGCCCTGGGAGCAGTCCCAACTGTCAAATTGACAATGGTAATATGGGTCCCAGGCCACGACATGCAGCGAACGATGATCATCTCATGATGGTCCGGCAGGCTGGATCCCCTGCGAGACCCTGAACCCGTCCGCAGTCCTAGATTATGTTCCGTTACCGCTACCGCTGCCGCTGCCGCCGCCGTTTATGGCAATGTGCTTTGCTGTCTGGAGCTGACGCCGCAGTAAGCGAGCGCATCTTGGACTCTCTCTCTCGTCTATATACACACACGCCTGTTGGCCCGTCAATTGATCGAATCACCAAGCATAACCCATGCCTGACAATCACTCGAGCTTGGAACATTTCATATGCACCGGCACCTTGTCGGACGCGGGGATTCGCTCGCCCAGACGCAATGCCAACGGCCAACAGCCATCACCAACACCACCAAACGCATCCCCGACCACATCCAGAGCCTGCTATGCATGTGTAGGTACCCAGGTACCAACCGTCGGTCCCGGAGACGATACGATACGATGCACGGGCCTGCCTCTCATGCCGTTTCATATTGGATCCTGAGCCTCACCCCGGAGACAAGCAGAAACGGACTCGGAGTTTGACGCCCAAGCTCCTGCGCACGCCCTCTCTCTTACATGGGAGGTTCGTAAGGCGAGGGAAGCTCCGTGTCCTCTTGTCGGACCTTTTTCACACCGAAGATAGAGTCAGTGTCAGTGCCTGGCCTGGTCCCTTGTCTTGCCTTGCCTTTCCTTTGCAGCCCCGCCTCGAATACCCGTTGTCCCATTCCAAATCCCCTTGACTCGGGTCGATTGTGGCAGCACCATCATCAGATCCTTGCGATTATCTCTATCACCGGCTAAAAGAATTTTTCATAAAGAATTTTCCTTTCCTTTCTTTTCTTTTGGGTGCTAGGATTGCAATCGATATCTGAGCGTCGTACGGTCTGTTAGTCATGGGAGTTATGCAGCCCACATCCGTTATGGACTTGTTGGACACGATGAACTCTCAACTCCCCGCTCTTTGGCTTCACTCTTGGCCTTCTCCCTTGCCTCGTCCCGCTTACTATGGAGTTTTTTTTTTTTGACTCGACAGATGCCCGGCATGCCGAGGCTCTCTTGCTTCAGCCCGCCACGTTTAGCCAGCTAACCTTCTCCTAGCAGCGTCTGCATCATTCATCATGCCCCGACAACGGCCTAGACGCCAGGGACCAGCACTGCGCTCTCGGTCGTATCATTTGTGCCCCTCTTAAGATGATGATCGTCCTCATAAGCGGCGTCCACGTCCTCAATCACCTGTCTACCCCTAAAGTTGTTCATATACGACTGCGCCTTGGCTCTCAGTGGGATGGCATACCAATCCGGTAGCATACGAAGAGCGGATAGAGTCATGCCGAATCCCGGGATAACAACGTAACCGCTGCGTCCTGTGAGGACCTGCTTGACGACGGCGTCAGCCACAGTCTCAGGCTCAAGCTGCGGCATGAGAAAGTCCGTCTTTTGGTCATAGCCAGTAAAGAGAGCAGTCTTGGTGTGACCCGGGTGGACTATCACCGTCCGGACCTTGGGGGCGTTGTATCTCGTAGTCAGCTCGGCCGTCAAGCCTTCATGGAGAGCCAATGAGGCGGCCTTGGAAGCTCCATAATCCACCATGTTGGGAATCGTCAGCCAGGCGGCGTACGATGTCACAGTGACAATCATGCCATGGTTGTTGGTGACCATATCGGGGACAAACGTCCTGGCCGTCCAAAACGGTGCAAGCGAGTTGACGTCGAAAGTGAAGCGGACGTCGCCCGGCTCAGCTTCCAATACCGTCTTGCCCCGGGCCACGCCGGCGTTGTTGATGACGACAGTCGGGTGTCCGACCTGAGCCCTGACCTTTTCGGCCACGGCTTCCACGTTTTCGGGCGAGCGAAGGTCGCATTGAAAGTGGTGCACGTTGGCCGCTGCTCGCGTTAAAGTTAGCATCATTCACTGTCTGCTCCGGACCGGGGTCCGAAGGATGGAGATGGAGGCGGGAGAACGGACAGACGGCGAAGGACATGGGCTGAACATCCAGGACCACGACCGTTATGCCCCGCTCATCGAGCAGCTTGACCATATGGCCTCCGATGCCTCCGGCACCGCCAGTTACCAGCACAATTTCTCGAGTCCAATCATATTTATCGTTGACCCAATTATTTCGAGCCTTTTCCGACGCCCAATCGCTGGCCCAGCGGGCGAGGGCGACGCAGAAGAACGTCCCGAGATGTCGGGAGGCGGGATGGAGTTTGGCGAGGTCTTGGCCCGACTTTGTGAAGCGAGCGAGCAGCACAAGTGGGAACAAGAGGGCCGGGTTTAGCACGGTACGGCGGAAGAGTCGGAGGACGACATCGGCGCAGAAGCCCTCGCGTGGAATCAGACCTTGATGCATCGGCATGACGGCGGTGATGCTCGGTGGGGCCGGATGGACGTGTAAGTGATGGACGGTATCGCCGGCTCGCGAGGTATAGAGCCGAGTTCTCAAGGAAATTAGAGTGCGAAGCCACGGAATCAACGGACGGGTGATGGTCTCATTTTTAACAAACATGACAGCTTTCGCATCTCGAGCTCGCAGCTCCTGCTTTCACTTCATTGGAGCCTCGGCACGCTATCCCACGGATAGCGTCCGTGAGAGTTTACTACACATTGGGCAAGCTGTTTGCGAGGGGGTGGAGAATCAGAGCTGCGTTGGGAAAGCCATTCGCCAACTTTGCGACATAGGTGCTCTAGCCGAGACACGGCCAGCGAATGTTTGCTTTGGAGAAGCAAGAGGGCAGATCCGCGATGTTGCACTTACACGGTCCGTGACGGACAGCCTCGGCGAGGTATGGTCGACCCCGCAAATGGGCCGCCGTTGGAGGATGGGAGCGGGTTGTGAGAGGCTGGTTGGTTTGGCGAAGTGGTGACCTGCATTGGCTAGCCGAGTTCTGTTGGTTGGCGGCGTAGATGGGATAGGCTATTTCAACAGCTATCATTGAGGTTGGAATGTCTTGGGCAACGGTGAAAGGGCTTGATCAAGTAGGAGCTCCGTCTTAAGGGCGGCCAGATATTTTAACAACGGTCAATATTTACAGGATTGCAACCATTATTCCTACCAACCCCCCAGCATATGCCATCAACCCCAGATTGGCGATCGACGCCCCAGAGTCCTTGTCCCCAGCCTCAACCTCTGTCGCATCTCCTGGGGCAAACAGTACGCCGACCTCGTTGGCCGTCTCTGCGTCGACATCTTCATATGGAAGCAGTTCATTGGACAAGTCGTCGCAAGAGGGGCGATCGTCATCCTCTTGGATCGAATTAGTGACGGAAATAGGGACGTCGAAAATGGTATAGTAGTCGTCGCCGTTGAGCCTAAAATTCTGCCGGATGGAGATCTATATAAGTCAGCATCATGTAAGTCGGGGTGGAACACCATTCAAATACATTGTAAATGCCCCTGTCGCTATCGTCATCCTCTGGCTTGCCGTCGCCCACCAAACAATCAGGCCAGACCCAGTTGACGTGCTTCACGGTGCTGTCGGGCTCCTGCGCCATGATTTCGCCGAGGCTCGCGTTGTTAGCGCTAGCCGTACCATTCGAGATGGTAAAGTTGCGTCCCGTGGTGTAACTGTAGAGAAACATCTCTATGCTGAAAATCTGGCTGGGAGCATCTTCTTCGTATGGCGGCAGCGGTAGCTTGCCGTTGGCCGTCACGTCGATGGAAACATGTAGCGTGTCTTGAGGGTATTAGCAGAGCATTGGTGTTGAGCACATGGTACCTACCACCTCCCAAAGGAGTGTCTGGTTGAGGGGCGTTTAGCACAACGAAGCCAGGGGTGAAGATCTGGCCGTTGGAAATGGTAAAGTTGTCCGCCAGCGACTGTCCAGCCAGGAACAGCAGCGGCACGAGCAGTCGTGATACTGTCATGATGGCAGATGTGCACGGCGGAAGTGTGAAACCGGGGAGAGAATCACCAAAGGAATCATGATGGAATTAATTGCCTATATCTACAACTTGAAACCGGAAATGACGTCCGTCAAATCTCTCCAGATAGGTGTGTCCACACCCTGGACAGACCGTTTTGGAGGGGTCATTTCTGGGCAAAAGAGAGAAGCGAGATGACACGGATATTCAACTGGTTAATCATGAGTGTATTCTTCCAATGCCTCAAGATACTCTATTAGTGTCAGAAAGAAGTCTAGAAGCAAATATAGAGTCGGTGTAGAATATTCCGCGGCATGTCTCATCTTGCGCCTGTCAAAAAAGCAAGTTCCATTCTCTCAGATCCATGTTCTGTCTCATCTGAAGTCTGAAAGTCGAGCCCTAGGGCAGGGATCAGATGGCGGCCCGACAACTTGTGAATTGACTCAACCGGAGACAGGGACTAGCTTGCATAAAAGAAACTGACAAGCACATATCGGATGCAACAATTCCGCGGGGGGTTCCAATCTGTGCAGAAGCGAAGCAAACCCTTGAAACCACGTTCTAGAGATGGTTCATGTCATGTCGAACCAAACCATGCGAGTTTGACAGGTCAGGTTGCTTTGGTCGCATATATGTGTCCTCGATATAGCCGAAGTTGAACATCCAATCCATATGGCAACACTTCTCAAAGGATCCATAACGTTACTGTACCTCAAGGAAAAGGAAAAACACATGGCGATCCAGATCCCACAAACTCGCATCGATCGGTTGTGGCGGTAGAGAAACTCCACTCACCCACAGAGCGGAAAGAAAATCAACCAAGTGGAGAAGATGGCGTTTTTCTTGCCCTTCCATGTTCTCTCCTGGCGGGACAGGAACAAGAAAAAAGAGAGCCACTTTTGGTCGTTACCGACGGCGCCCTCCGACGGCCGAGTGAGGCGCCCGCTTCCCTGTGTTCTAGCCCCAGGGCCCCGAAAAGCATGGCTTTTGGCTCGCAGGACGGAGACGTTGGAAATCAGGCTGCTTGCATCTCTGTGGAGCTCTTTTCTAGACAAACACCATCGAATCCTACGAATCTCGACTCGGGCAATTGTCTTTTACTGGTCCTTGTTACGTTGTTCAAGTGGCAAGTACCGCGAGTTCGCCTATCGGAGCTTTTGATAAACCTCCATCTCCATATTGAGCTTGGCTTATCAAATCAAATCAACCCCGCCAACCAATCCACCAGCACAACAACTCTGCTTTGCTCATCAATCACATTCAAACACGCCATTCATCAAGGGGTTCCCTACAAGTTTACCAATTGCGCCTTCTCTACTGCTTAGTTAGCCAGCGCCATGCTGACTCCACGGCTACCCAGCCTTATCTCTCGGCATAGCCCTTCCATGTGGCGCTGCTCCGGCCCCGGCGCTCGGCCGGTCCATGCCCAGCGCCGCCTCATGAGCGCGGCCGCGTCACTGGCTGGCGTACGAGAGCTACTCAAGGTCACGGATGAAGTTGCCGACGCTGTTGCCAGCAACAAGCCTGTTGTTGCTCTCGAGTCAACCATTTACACCCACGGAGCGTTGGGCAATGACCTGGCCCGTGAGCATTCGGAGCTCGTCCGCAGCCATGGAGGTATCCCGGCTATTATTGCCATTGTTGATGGAGTGCCCAAAGTCGGTGCCTCTCCAGAGGAGGTTGTTCAGATGATTGAGAGTGGAGGTGCTGTCAAGGCGTCTAGAAGGGATATCGCCTACCTCACGGGAATGGTAAGAGGGAGTTTGTTTTTGCGAATGATGATAATTCGACTATAATTGCCAACTATCAGCGGATTTCTTTGCTTTCATCACACGCGACTAACTCGGGCTGTCTAGGGACTTACAGGACGTAAGATTCATGGAGGAACTACCATTGCCGGAACGATGCTGCTAGCAAGGCTCGCTGGTATCCGAGTCTTTGGCACCGGTGGTCTGGGTGGTGTCCATCGTGGTGGACAGGACTCGATGGATATCTCTGCTGATCTCACTGAGCTGGGCCGAACCCGGGTTGCCGTTATTAGCAGTGGCTGCAAGGGTTTCCTCGACATCCCTCGGACTCTCGAGTTCCTTGAGACTCAGGGTGCCTATGTGTCTACCTTTGCCGACGGTAGGTCTGGCAATATTGACTTTCCCGCATTCTGGGCCCGTGATAGCGGTGTCAAGAGTCCTTCTGTTGTCTACACCGAGAAGGAGGCTGCTGCCATCATCCTGGCCCAGGAGAAGCTCGGCATCGAGTCGGGTCTGCTCTTTGCGAACCCGATCCCCGAGAAGTTTGGCATCCCGGCCCCCAAGATGCAGGACTACATCGAGCAGGCTGTCAGGGAGGCCAACGAGAAGGGCTTCACTGGAAGCGCCAACACGCCGTACATCCTGGGCAGGCTGAAGCAGCTCACGGGGGAGAAGGCGGTCATCGCCAACAAGGAACTAGTGATATCCAACATCACCCGAGCCACCAACGTCGCAGTCGAGCTGTCGAAGCTCATGTCTCCCGGGTCCGAGCCCGTGAAGACTTTGTAAGTTGCGGCGATGAATTGCATGGTCTGGGGATAACGTAACTCTAATTGTAGTAGTAGCAATGCAACACCTGCTGCTCTACCTGCTGCTCCCTCTCAGCCCCAGGAACCTGATGTCGCTGCGGATAGCAAGGCCGATATCCTTGTCGCTGGGTCCGTAGCCATTGACCTGAGCTGTGACTACTCCGCTCCCAAGTCAGGCGGTAGCTCGCCTGTCCTCCAAACCTCGAATCCATCCAGCATCAGCCAGTCCATCGGAGGAGTCGGGCATAACGTCGCACTTGCTGCACACTCCGTGAGCAGGCATGCACGAGTTAGACTATGCAGCATGATTGGTGACGACGTGTAAGTGAATTTAGGAAGAAGACCCTCACATAATGCTGATGCGAAACCCAGCGCTGGAAAGACTGTCCTGAACGGACTCAAGGCCTCGGGTTTGGACACAACCTACATCCGACAGCTTGGGCACGAGTATCACGGTTCTAACAGGACAGCCCAATACGTTGCCGTCAACGATGCCAACAAGAACCTAGTCATGGCCATGGCCGACATGGGCATCTTTACACATCACTCGTTCCCGGAATATTGGAAATCGGCCGTCCGAGGTACCAAGCCCAAGTGGTTGGTGGTCGATGGCAACTGGAGTGAAAAGGACATCCGGGCTTGGCTAAAGGCGGGTCAAGATCAAGGCTGCAAGATCGCTTTCGAGCCCGTATCGACAGCCAAGTCGATGAACCTCTTCTGCCCCCAGAAGGGCCACCCGAAGCTTCGAGTCTTCCCAAAGCCCACCGTTGATATTGCATCACCAAACAACTATGAGTTGAAGGCCATGTATGAGGCGGCTCGTGACAATGGCTACTTTGACTCTCCTGAGTGGTTCGATGTTATTGATGCTTTTGGAATGAGGGGAGCTCGGGATCGCTTCGTCAGAGCTACCTCGGCAGAGCTGACTGATGCAGGAGTCCCTGTTCAGTCTGTTCAACTCCTCCCCTACATCCCAACTATCGTGACAAAACTTGGACCTCAGGGTGTTCTTCTGACCACTATACTTGGCCGTGATGACCCTCGGCTGAGGGACCCCGACTCTGAAGAGTACATTCTTGCTCGAGCGACAAGCGATCACCCAACCGTTGGCGGTCTATACATGAGGCAGTTTTCAGCCGCTGAGAGGGTCAAGAAGATCGTGTCCGTCAATGGAGTTGGTGACACGTTCTTTGGCGTTTTGATTTCTGGTTTGGCTCAGGGCGGCAAGGTTGAGAATCTGATTGATGTAGCCCAGGCGGGATCTGTTCTCACACTGAAGTCTACTGAGTCTGTGAGTCCCGACTTGCACCGGTTGGAGAAGGTTTTGGCTCAGGCGGCAGCGCTATGATTGGGAGATTTGAAGTGGAATTGAAGAGAATGGGAAAGAAACAAGAATACCCTAGGCATCAGCATAACTATATCAAGTTCATTGACATTCATGAAGTTCATGAATTCGCATATTTCCAGGGTTAGGGTTGTTGTCAGCCTCTCTTCATCACTTACACGTGATTGGTCAACAGCCCACTATCCCACTAGCGACACGAGCCTATCACAACCCGTCGCCCATGCAAGGCTGTGAGGACCCTCTAAAAAAATTCCACGCCCGTCGACATTTCGCCCAAGCCAGAACCTACAGACTTCCCACCCGTCGCGAGACTCAGCAGCAACAATGGCGCCGCCGCAAGACGAAGACATGCAGGACCTCACATCCTCCGAGAGCGAGGCTCATTTCGACTCGGAAGATGAGGTCCCAAAGCAAAAACCCACCGTCGCCCTCTACGACAAGGACTCGGACGAGGAGGAGCTGGAGCGATTGGTCCTGGGCAACAAGGCGAGCTTCCGGGCGCAATTGTTCAAGGACGACTGGCTTTTTGACTCCAGCAAGGATACAGAGGGCAAAGAGCTTGAGCTTATGGGGCAGGACACTGCTGGACTGGAGGATATCGACGATGCGGATCTTTTCATGCTCGACACAGGCTCTGGGGCTGCAGGCGCTGAAGTCACCAAGTCTACGAAGCCCACAGACGGCAATGCCCCCGCCTGGGAAGACAGCGACGACGAACGATTGGTCATCTCTCTCGCCGGAGCCACGCGCCTACGAAAGCTGCGATTAACAGAGGCCGAGGACCTCGTCAGCGGAACCGAGTACAGCAGAAGATTGCGACAGCAGTACCTCCGACTGAACCCAGCGCCGGCATGGGCTCGCGAAGCAGACGGACGGCCTAGCAAGAGGAGGCGACGATCTTCTGCCGCTTCCGACTCTTCAGATGCCGATAGCGATTCCGACTCTGAGATTTCTGCCCAGCCCCTCGAGAAGTTCCTCCGCGACGTCAACCGCCTGGCTGGAGCTGGATCGACAAAGAAGCGACGACTACGACCCGAGGTTATCGACATCCAGAGAACGAGAGAGATTCCAGACCAGCACAAGGCCCCTGTTACCAGCCTATCCTTTCACCCCGAGTACCCAGTCCTCCTGTCGTCAAGCACAGCATCTGTTCTGTACCTTCACCACATCGCACCCTCCGCCCACCCTACGCCTAATCCTCAGTTGATGTCAGTGCAAGCCAAGCAGGTCGACGTGCGAAGGGCCGAGTTCATGTATCCCAAGGGCGACAAGGTGTTTTTCGCTGGACGACGGAAATACTTTCACCACTGGGATCTTCAGTCGGGCACGGTGCAAAAGACGACACAGATTCTCGGACATCGACTGGAGCACAAGACCATGGAACGATTCAAGCTCAGCCCTTGCGGTAGATATATGGCGATTGTGGCTTCTACCAAGAAGGGCGGCGGCATCATCAATGTCATCAGCACAACATCCATGCAGTGGATCGCCGCTGCCAGACTCTCGAGTGTCAACGGCATTGCTGATTTTGCTTGGTGGAGCACCGGAGACGGAATGACCATCCTGGGCAAGGATGGTCAGGTTGGCGAGTACAGCATGGAGAGCCGTTCTTTCGTGGGTCTCTGGAATGACGAGGGTTGTGTTGGAGGTATCGTCCTGGCTCTCGGTGGCCATCAAGGCCCAACTCATCTGGGCGAGGATCGCTGGGTTGCCATCGGTTCCAACAGTGGCATCACAAACATCTACGACCGAGCCGAACTTGTCGTGCCCCAGGCAGAGGAGCTTACCATCAAGGAGCGGCCGACACCCACTCGAGTCTTTGAGCAGCTCGTCACCCCCATCACACACATCGCCTTCTCCCCCGATGGCCAGCTCATGGCTTTCGGAAGCCAGCACAAGAAGGATGCTCTACGACTTGTGCATCTTCCAAGCTGCACAGTCTACCGTAACTGGCCTACGGAGCAGACACCTCTTGGTAGAATTTCCGCAGTTGCTTTTGGGCGACAGAGTGATTTGTTGGCGGTTGGTAACGACACGGGTAAAATTCGATTGTGGGAGATTAGGAGTTAGGTATATAATGAGCATGAGAACGGCGTATGGCTATCAACAGCCTCTCCTTCTTCTTTTTCCCCACTAATGTGACTCTATCCATCTCCAGCAACTTAATCTCCCTTTAACAAAAAGGAATCGTATCCCATCAATCATACAAACATACGCTTTAGCAAGGCTCTAAGCGAGTCGCCCTTGGGGAGTTGCTTCTTTGGGTAAAAGGAATTGGTCTCTTTCGTGTATTTGACCAAGGCACGTTTGTCCTCGAAGAACTTGACGTCGCCGGGCTTGTTCTTGCTCTTCAGAAACTGTCCGATATTGACGTTTACATTCTTGATCTCCTGGCATAAGTCAATACCGGTTCCCTTCTGTCTGGTCTGAGGTTGGCATACCTTGCGGCACTTGTTCTTGCTGCCAAGTTTGCCAGAGAGTCCGAGGTCGACGCAGAGACGCTGGAAATCATTCAAGCCGTTCTTTTGGCCATCACCATTCTGCTGGTCTCGCCGACCAGCCTTGTCCTTAGGGTCAGGGGGGGCCGTGGCAGTGACGGTCAGACCGGCGGACCCTTTAGCACCCTCGCCCGTTGCGTCCATTTTAGCCAAGCGGAGCATGGCCGTCGCGAATCGTCTGAGTTGATACATTTTCCAGGCTGGGTGTAAATGCGTCTTCAGAAGGGGATGAGTCCTCAGAAGGGGATGAGTCCTGGGATCCAAGTTAAGGAGTGAGGTTAAGAGAAGGGTGAGCAAGAAGGAACCAAGATATAGAGCCAGCAATGGTGTCACTGTGGGCATGTGGTAGTTAATGTTCAGACCGGTGATGAGGCTTAAATTGTTTGCTTTCGTAGGCACGAATGTTGCTGCCTAGTGAGCATGCGACTCGCCATAGAGCGCCTGGCGGCATGCCCTAAATGCAAGATACCGCTTGTATTGGCAATCAAGCAGACGCCCTTCAATCGTGGGACTTGTTTTGGCTGAGATTCTTCAATATGGACTAGCAACATCAAAACGGATCAGGCTGGTCATACACATTTATTGCTTGTTGTGTCACCGCCCGTCTCGACCCTCAGGCTGTTGCACAACCGCGTACAACAATCGTAAGCACTCTGAATGACTGGAAGACTCGTAACAGAGAAATGGTAGTGTTAAGTTATCCCTGGGAATACAATGTCGTTGTGAAGAGGAAGAGGATACCGTTTTGAGGGTGACTCCTCCATATGGCTTACTTTGGTGTGACAGTGTTTGTTTAGATACAATCACCTTATATTTATCATGTTATTAGTCTGAGGGGGGTTCTGAGCGATACCGTGAATATAGGCCTTCACAATACATTTGTTTATCAAAGCATCGGCTCCATATGTTTTGTTGTCATCAAAGCGGGATGACCATGGGTATCATGGCCAGCAGACTCGGCACAGCTCCACGAATATCCAGATACATGACAGCATTTACTTCCGCCCCCTTCAACCAGGGAACTGGACTTTGCGGGCGTTGTTAGGGTGGAAGGTTAGATAAATTCGACTGGGGGGGATTAGAAGTTAGATATATAATGAGCATGAGAACGGCGTATGATTATCGACAACGTGTTTGCTTGTGTGGCTTGTCTATCCCTGGCTACTCGATTCCCCTAGCATATAACATACACAAACCTGACTAGTCATCCATTTCCTTCAACAGAGCCGCGAGCGGGTCGCCCTTTGGGATCTTGCGACGTGGGAAAAACCAGCTAGTTCTTCTCGTATACTGAATCAGGGCATGTCTGTTCTTGAAGAACCTCACATCTTCAGGCTTGTTCTTGCTCTGAAGGAACTGCTTGATGTTGACATTGACGCTCTTGATCTCCTAGCACAAGTCAACTTCAGGACTACTACGCTACATCCAACATATATCGACATACCTTGCGGCACTTTGTCTTGCTCCCAAGATCGCCGGAAATACCAAGGTCAGCGCAGAGACGCTAGAAATCTTCTAAGGTGCCCTTCTGGATGTAGGTGCTCCACTGAGTGGTGAGATTAACCTTGTGCTTGGGCTCGGAACCAGAATCAGAGTCAGGGGGTGCAGTAGAATTGAGAGTCAAGCCGGCGAGCTGTTTGGCTATCCCGTCTGCGTTTCCCTTTTTCTTAGATCGAGGCATGGTTGTTGTAGGTCGTCCGTATGTCCTTATCTAGAGGAGTTGATATGGCCTCTCAAAGAAAACCAGGCCAAGAACCCAAGCGAGGAGTGCGTGATGGAGCAAGACAAGCTACTTGTCTCTGATAAAGGGTTTATGGTAGATTCACAGCACACACAGTGGAAACAAACCGACGGGTGAATGGCCCTGTAATGTTTGTTTATGCCACTCACATGTGTTGCTACCTGGTGAACATGCAACTTGCCGCTGGACGCCTGGCGACAGATCTCAGATGCAGGATGCCGCGCTGATTCACAAAGAGATGTCTATTCTACGATCAAGATGTTTTCATTAGCTCCGGTCCATTAAGGGGGTGGGTATTTGGTTCACCAACCTGGGCCTCTGAGGTGAAGTGGCGCTCTTGGAAGAGAGGCTTCCCCAACCACTTGCTAGATTGAGGCACTTGTGTATACGCCACGAGTATGTATTCAGGGGCCAAAGCAGCATGAAGAACCGAACGGCAACGTCAAGGCGCTCGAATCGTCCCAGGTATGGTCTCGTGTGGTATTGGAACAAGCTGTACCAAACTCCAAGGACACGATGGCTTAAGGAAAAGAGATAACCGCGAGGGTTGACGAGTCTAGGGCACACTGGGATCCGACAGGAGGCCCACCGCCAGTCTAAAGCCACGACGAGCCCATGACCTCGATAGCATTCTCCAATTACATCGTCACCCCCAACTGCACTGCTCTCGCATCGGCCAATAGTCTCGGGAACTGTAAGCGAAGCGTTCGTGGCGCGGTATCAAAGACCCTCCTGTCCCAAGAGGTCCAAGACCAGCGCTATCATATGAACCCTGAGCGAGCATCATGACCACAGAACAGAAAGTAATCCATTTATCTGATGTCAGGAAGGTTATATCATCAACCAGAAGCTCAAGGCGGGACACCCTCAGGCGCTGTTCGCACTTTTCTTCTTCTATCATTAACTCCTCTCTGTCGATATCCTCGTCAGTCGTCTCATCATTGATAACTTTCAAGGTCTTGAGGAAGCGGAGGTAGTTGTGATGGACCTGGTCTTAGGCCTTGTGCGTGCTGACGGCATGCCGGTGGAAGTTGTCTGAATTTCCTAGTTACACGTTTGTCAATATTTGCAATAAGCTAAAAGAGCCTGTCCTTCAGCTCATGCCTGTAACACTTGCTAAGGCTTCTTCCAGCTCGAGACTCGTCAAGCTATTCTCAATCCCTGAGAGACACAGATTACTTCTCAACCGTAGTAACTTGAACGACCTGATTCGTATCCATGATCACTTGGAGCATGTGATGAAAGCCACTGGCAGAAGACTATCGAACAGGCTGGGCAGTAAGTGTATGGTAGGACTCAGCAACTATTATGATCACTTTCTCCTCCACAATGATCCAGGTTTTGACGATCGATAAGCCTTTGAAGGGAAGTCCCTCCCCAGGACTCTGTGTTCACAGCAACATTTACTTGTCTAGGGTACCGTTTGTGATCACAAGATCATCGAAGCTGTGACTGGTAGGCCCGTCTGAGTTATCCAGCGTAGCTAGATACACAGCATCATTCACTTACGCTTCCTTCGACTAAGGGACAAGGTTCTGGAGACGTTGTTAGAGCGGTAGGTCAGATAAATACTGCAACCTAAACTCCAGAGTTCTGAGCCGCTGGCTGTCATAAGCTGCAACATGGGTCACTGCCTTTAACAGTTGATCGGCTTCCGTAGCTCAGTTGGTTAGAGCGTCGTACTAATACTTCAGTTAACACTGTAATATCGGTGATGCGAAGGTCTCAGGTTCAAGCCCTGGCGGGAGCAATCCCATTGGCCGTCAACTGTTAATTTTTTGCCCTTTAATGCTCTTTGCATCTCTCTTTTTACTCTCAATACCAGATATGGCGAGTTTTCCGTGGTGTTTCTATTTCGGGAGTGGATTACCCAAATAGGCAACTTTTGGTTTCGAGGCCCGGGACGGAGGCCATGGCCGCGACCTTCCTGGCCCTGACTACTCCAGCTCCTAGCTCGCCTGCCAGAAGCTTAGCCCAACGTCAAGGACCCTGAGGACTCCCTGTTGTTTGTTCGCTAACTAGTGTGCTTTGGGGGTCTTAGGCGCCCTTTCGCTTGCGCTCCGCAATTGATTCGCATTTGCTCATGCAAGTCAGTCTTGTTGTTTGATGCCTTATTAATTACCTGCAGTGACGTGGATCTTCAGAACGTGGCACCAAGCAAGCCGAGTTTCGACGCCGGTTGGAATCCGGGGTCATGAGTGGGCTTCTTTTGCTGCATGGGGCCTCAATCCGAAAATTCCCCTTTGGACTTTCTTCGTCTTGGACTTGGCCACGACATCTCGGGTGTGGTTGTTGTTGTTGTTGTTGTTGTTCTTGCCTCAATGCCACGTTGACGATGGATGCAGGTGCAGCGTTTTGAGGAGAGCATGACAGTTCACGGGGCCTATCATGCCGATACAATTCCGTGTGGCCGCTACCGAATCCCGATTCATAATCATATTCGGGCTGTGCCGGTCACATAGTTCCCGGCAAAGCCGCTTGCAGTCTATAGAATTACGGGGTGGTGATTCTACATGGGTTGCAACTCTATGTTGCTCGGTTTTACAGTCACGGACTTATCCTGCCGTGGGTGGATAGAGTTAATCTATAGGGCAAGTAGGCAGTCCCCATTAATCAGGATTCTTCCAGAGGTCCCTATGTTGGTTCCGAAAAGTCAGACAACTATACCGGGAATGAACGGACATAGTCAGGTCGGCGTAGCGGGTGATTGAGCACGGCCGGCGGGTGCCGGCCATCATCGGGACAAGTCCTGGCCGTGACCGATAACCAGGTATGTCTGCTCCAGACGGATGAAAGCCGGGGAAGAATTTGATGGGGTTGCCGGTCCCGGTGCATCGGAGACAACTTGTGCACGGGTTCATGTACAGTATGTGAGGGAATGGAGACAGCCGTTGAAGCGGGACAACTGAACAAGTAGAGAATGCGAGGCAGTATCCAAGTAAGGAAGAGTGGTGCGATCTCATGAGACCGAAGAGGAATATGCGGGATGATAGATGCCGTACTGGTGTAGGGTATGTAAATGGACGATAAGCTGGCATGTGTAGCCGGAGAGAATCGGGTGGATGGAAACATGGGGTGTTAAACAGGCACTGACCTCGGATGTATGATGCTTATCGAGTCGAAGAGTTTCTCATTGTGGTATGTGTCGGTTCTGGCGATTGTCGAGGCACGGGAGTTGGATGTCGGATCAACGGGGCAGGGATGAAAGACCAGGGTCGAGTTGAGCTGGATTGGCCGGGCTATGGTTAAAGAGGACCTCAGAAACAAGACAAAGACTCGAGGAATCACATCTGACAGAAGAGGAAGAGTCTCAGCCCTGCAATGCGCTGCAACGCAATGCGTGTAAAATGGCACCCCGTACCAAAAGAATGGAGAAGCCTGGCAAGCCCGCGCAAGCATGATCCGACTCTGGGAAGTTGGATGAGCAACGGACCTGGACCAATGGCTGGGACAATTCGCAGTGGGCAGATGGTGACGTCTGGATCCTGGACTCAAGGATCCCATCGCTAACCGGGTGCCAACCCACGCAGGCTCATGCGAGAGCTTTCAGATTTTAAAGGTTTTTTTCCTTTTGCACCAGAGCAGCAGCCAACCGCCAAATTGCGCCTTGCAGCGTGGGCAAGTCAATGCATTGCAGGGAGCGCGGGATGCGTCCGCGGGGCGTGGGTGACGGGTTGGCCAGACTTTCTGTCTCGAACTCGTTGTACAATTGAGGCCGGGCTTGGCTGAGATTATGTTGTTTTCCAATCCCGTCCACTCGCTGCGGCTTCTGCAAGACTGTAGTATTGAGAGGAATGGTGTGGTGCAGCCTGTAGGGGTCTAAGGCTCAAAGGCTCGAGTTTGGTTGGCCAGCTCTGATCGGGCTACTCATTGCCGAGCCAAAATGAGCGAACAAGAATCAAGACAATAAAAACCAAAAAAGATCAGACATGATGCCACCGGGATGCAGCCAACCAATCCATCGGAGTCAGGAAAAGAAACTTCCAAGAGGCTGGCTGACCTCGAACTCACCATGGATCCAGGTCGGTCAGATGCTCGGGATCCATCATCAATCACCGCCAGGTATCACAATCCCATTCCCGTGATCGTCAAGACCTGGTATGCGAGTAACCTGTGGCGTGGATTGTGACCGGGAGCAGGGGTGAATCCCCCGATCGCCCTCTCTTACTCGTCCCAGATGCCGAGACCTGAGAGCAAGACGAGATGAAGAGAGGGGTTCGTCTGTATTAGCGAGAACGGGAGCAGATGACACTGACAAGAAAAAAGACCCTGAAGGGTCCTGCTTCAGCTGTTTCCACGACGACTCCCTCTCAGCTGAGGAAGCTAGAAAACCAAAGATGGAGAAGAACACAGTTGGCTTCTGGATTCTGATCTGAGGCGAGCAGGAAGCTCGAGCCCGAGACTGAACCTGGAGTTGGGAATCCTAGGAGTTAAGTTTTCAAGACAAGTTGAACCCGCCCATATCGGACGATGAGCAAGGGCGTTGAAGGAAGGGGAAGGAGGCAGGTGGCGCCCGAGCTTGTGCCTGCCTCCACCAGTACTCGACAGAGCAGGTACGGGCAGGTACAGGCACGGACTTGGACCAACGTTGGACTTTTCATTTTGCTTTTTGGGGGATGCCATGGCCATGCCGTCTGCGTCTGGAGATGAGTGACCAACCCCCAATATCCGCTGAACCCACAGAGGGTTACGGGCGCTGGCCGAGCATGTGTGATGGCCAAGGACTGACGGCAGGTGCGCACGGCCTGTATTCAGTCAACTGAAGATATCTTCCTAGGCAGGTCCTATCCACCAAAGACACTCGCCTCAGGCATCATCCCAGGTACGGCTCGTAGCCAGGAACCGGCCGAAGCTGAGAGATTGACGACAATGCACGAAAAAGGCCGACATCAGACCACACACTCCCCCGTCACGAACTCGACGGGCTTCAACCCGGCCGGAAGGCATGGGTCACGCCCTCACGGTCAGCGCGGCGTGGCATGATGCACAACCCTGCCTACGAAGAACCCACGGAGGCTTTCACAGGAGTCCACAGGGACCACCCCCCTCCCCCTCCACGCCGGCGCGTCCCGGCACAGCAAAAGGTTGGATCATGACAAGATTGACAGTCCACTTTGGCCCAGAGGCACACGGGCAAGATGCTCGGGTCCTGCTAATCTGACCCGGGGGGAAAATCGATCCATCCAGTCATCGGCAGCGGCATCAATTGGTGCATGAGCATTGCTCTACCGGGCACGGCCAAGCAAGGCAACGAGCCAGCCAGCAGCGGCTCCAGCAGTGCTTAGGCGAGAAGCAAGCAATGAGCAATGAATGGGGCGCGCACGCAAGCAAGCACGCAGGTCAGAAGCATGCGATGCGATAAACCTCTTTAAAAGTGACCCGCCGCACTTCATGCGCCCCTCCCCTCAGGTTCCAGTCTCCTTCCTCTTGCTCGCCAGTGAGAACTCGCTCTTTTCCATTTCGAGATCCTTCAAGCTCCAGCGGTTCACTCTAGCTCGCTCACTTGCAGGCCGACCGCCTTCAGGACCAGCCACGACCATTTCTTGCCCTTCAACGTCCATCGCATTAGATCGGGGGAAACTACTGCGCGCCCAGCACATCACCCACCAACTGCGCTGCACAATCTTGGAAAGCCTCTCCGGCCATTGATCCATTAATAACCTCCCGTTATCTGGAACCGAGCTTGACCGACCGAGCCCTTTTCTCCCCTGCTGTCGAGATTTTTGCGACTCCGCCCAGGTCTCAGTCGATCACTCAACTAGTCGCAGCCGGCATCCCCGCCTCCGCCTCCGCTTGTTCATTGCTTTTCCTGCCTCTTTTTTACTCTTCCAGCCTCACGATTTGAATATTTTTCTCTCTTTTTCTTCTCTTAAACTTGCCCTCTGTCGCCAATTGACGTCTTCTACCTTCGGCCTCGTTCTCCAGAACCTCCAATCGTGTCTGCGCCGTCCTCGATGGACCCTTTGTGTCATTGAGGACCGAAACCCCAACCTTTACTTTCACGCCCGCGCACTTTTCCAATCGAACACGGAGAAAAAGTTAGGAAACGAGTGCCCGTGAAATCGACCAAGATGCCGCTCCGACGGCCGAGTACCTCGGGAGACGGTCACTCCGTCGCATCTTCGTCGCCTTCATTTTCTTTAGCGGGTACCAAGCGCCGCTTCCCGCTCCTAGGCCGGAAAAAGACCCGAAATTCGGACCTCCCCCGGCCGTCGTCTGTCGTATTGCCTTCAACTTCATCTTCTCAGACTCAGAAGCTCGCCAACGTCAAGCCCGGCCTCCGAGTACACGTCCAGGTCAAGTTTGAGAGCCCAATCGGCACCGAGCACGTACGCGACTATGAGGCCTCACCCCAGCTGAAGGCCTCGGATCGTATCTGCCAAGCGCTGCTTTCGCGCCTCCAGCATTGCTCTGCAGAGCTTATCACACGCCACGATTCTACCGCTCTCGACCCACTCCGCAAGCCCCATCGTGATGTCAAGCCACTGCGCTATCGCATCACATACCGCGTGGAACGCGATGGCCTCATTCTTGTAGAAAAGTCGCTACGCTCTTTTCAGGAGTACGAGCTGACACATGATGACGCTCGCGAAGTTGTCAATGCTACCGACCGCATTGTTGGCTTGTTTTTGGTGCGCCATGATCCCGGCTTCCGGTGGTCTGACGCTGCCGATCCCGAGCCGGCCAACGCCGAGTCCGAAACTGTCCGGCCGTGCACCGGCCGACCGCAATCCACCGCCTGCATTCCCCGATCCCGGTTCGCCAACGACACTCAATCTTTCGAACTCGTCTCGGGCTATGCAATTGAGCTCTTTTTGCGCAGTCGCTGTGCCACCCGCTACCCAGAGAACCGGAATGCTTCTATCAAGATTGATAGTCGCCAGCCTTCCCCCCTGACCCTCCTTCTCGGCGAGGAGCTGATGACCCGGGTATCCAACCTCGTAATTGACCCTGTCGACTCTTGTAAGCGCAAATTCGATAAGCGCCACAAGACTTGCAATGGGTTTGAGGGTAGCGGTGGTTGCACCCACACTGAGGATGGAGCTGTCGACATCATGGTCAAGGTTCGCAACAACCTTGGCCCCGATTACACATACTTTTCCCATCGCATCCAAACAAGCAAGGTCTTGTTCAATGATCCTCAGGGTCGCGACTTTGATGAGTTCGCCAACCAGGTCAAGGCCAAGCTAGAGAAAGCTCGCGATATGACTGACAAGTCTATGCGTTCTCTGGATGACCTCACTCTCACTATCCGTGAACTTCGTGGAAAGAATTGGTCTGTCCACGAACCCCTTGTTGTTCGACTTGACCACTCGGTCACTTATTGCCGTCAAACCATTGAGGCTGTCATGGAGCGCCTTCAGACTGGCATCAGCAACGTGCTGGAGCACCATGAGGATGCACTCGCCACCATGACCGTTCACAAGCGAGGCCACCTCATCTTCGATGGCTTCCTTGACGGTGCTGGCGGGGATGATAGTATTCCTCTGGAGAAGTTCGCCTCTCCTGATTTGGAGAGAAAGGCCCTCGAGGCTCACCTGAAGGAGCGCATCCGTTCTGATATCACGATGCTGTGCAAGGACACTTGCGCCATTGACTGTCCCGACACGCTACCAAACCTGCGTCTCAAGTCAAGAGGTGCTGCTGCCTCCTCCATCGGAGCGGCATCGTCCATTGTACCACCTCCATCAATTGGAGCTACGTCGTCAGTTGCGCCCACCCCCTCGCTGACCGCTTCTGCCTCACTCCCCCGACCCGAGTCTGAGGTCTCCATGTCGGGATCTCTGGGCAGCTCCCGCTCCGAGCATACGCTGTCAAAGAAGATTGGCCAGACGAACTTGAGAGATAGCCCCCAGGCTCCTCCCTCGCCGGCAGCTCCTTCGCCTGACCTGCGCCGAGTACCGTCTGGTCTCGAGATGGCCAAGAAGAACGGTTACATGGCCGATTTCGCAGACGACGAGAACCAGTCCGAACCCCCGTCTACTCCGAGCTTGGTGGATACTGATAGCATCAGCCCCCGAGACAGTATCGTTGTAACCCCCAAGTCCTCGCGTGCTTTGGCCCAGGACCAGTCCAACGAGGGACTTCGAATCATTGACGACGGACGTAGGATCATCTACCAAGAGCAGTCCGACATGGACGCCATTGCTAGCGGAGTGGTCCAATTCCATCGTCCTATCAACGACGACGACGAGCCCATCCAGCTCACAAAAGAGCCTCCGATCGAGTCCCCGGAAAGAAGAGCGGCTCGCCGATCTCTTGATACTCGCATGCCCGACCTCTCTGGCGGCCTGGACTCTCCTTCGGCTGAGCCTAAGAGGGATGACGCCCCTGTCTCCCCAGCTGCCCAGAAGGGAGAAGAGCCTGAGAAGCCTGCCCCGGTGCCTGAGACCCAAGAGACCAAGGCGGCTGAAGAGAAGCTCCCAACTGAGGGGGCCTTGGACCAATCGTGCACGCCGGCCTCGCCTGTGGTTGAAGAGTCCAAGTCCGAGGAGCCTGTTCCTAAGCAGACGGAAACACCTGTTGAGGCACCTAAGGCAGCCGAGCCTGATGCTAAGATCGAGGCCGCTCCTGAGAAGGAGTCTGTTGACTTGGTGGTGCCTCAGGTTGTCGAGCCTACCGAAGCTCCCGCTTCAACTGCCCAGAAGAATGAGACACCTCACACTTCTCAAGATGAGCAGTGGGAGATGGTTGATGCTCGCGATGCTCCATCAGACCCGCAGGCTATTGTGCCTCACACAAGATCTGAGACGAGCTTCGGCACCACCCCTCCAGCCAGCCTTCGTGGAGACGCCGAGACAGCCGAGGCCACTGCGCCTACTGTCCCTGTCGTAGCTGCTGAGAAGACTGAGGTGGATGAGAAGGAGTTGGCCAACGAGTCTGAAGTGCAAACTCCAAAGGCCAACCCGGTCGCTCTTGAGGTTACAGAAAGCGATAACGCCTCGAAGGAACCTCAGGAAGAGACTGTTCTCAGTGACTTCCCCAAGCCTCCCTCAACTCATTCTCACGCCGAGGAGCCTCAGTCTAAGGAGCCTACCGAGCCAGTTGTGGAGGCTTCCACTGTTGATGCACCCAAGCAGGAGCCTTCCGAGGAGCCCGCTCAGGAGAAGGTCGTCGAGTCCGAGGGGGCCGTAATTCCTGAGGAACCCAAGGAATTGTCTCACAAGGCTGAAGAGGCCCTGCCTGAGACGGTTCGAGGATCCAGCGACTCCGGCATCTCTATGGAGGAGCAGGCCAAGGAGATAGCCAAGGAGGACAAGGTTCAAACGCCTGCCGTTGCTGAAAGCGCCGAGGCGGAATCCTTGCCTTCAGTGCAAGAAACCCTTGCTGTGCCTGCTGCCGAGCAAGCTTCTGAGACTGATGCCCCCAAGGTCGAAATCACCGAGTCTCCTGAAGTCGCCCAGGAAGTGAACGCGGCTGCAATTGAGCAGCCCAAGCCTGTGGACGACGATGAAGCCTCTTTCCCTGCCACACCTACCGAGATGCTTGCAACTCCCCTTGAGACAGTTCTCGAGGAAATCCCTGACTCAGCTGTCACTGATGGATCAGAGTCCCCCAACCTGGAGCCCTCGTCGGCTCTCCGCGACGGACGTGGTGAGCTGCCACGCATCGCCTCGGCTCCTCTCAACGCGCTCCCCACGTCTGACTACTTCAGAACGCCTCCTGCGTCCGAGAAGGACCAAGCACCAGCCCCTCCTTCGATTGATAGCTCCAACCTTCCCCTGGTACTTGCTCGTCCTCGTCCCCGTACCAACACTCTCCCTTCGCGCCGTTACTCAACCGCGCTGACCCTCGATATCGAGGCTGAACCTTTCCACCGCGACGGCGATGAATCCCCCACCGGTGAGCCTCCCAAGAGTGCCAGCGGTGTGTGGAACAAAGATTTGGGCCACCGCCGCCAGCCCTCAGCTGGCTCAGTTGGCTTTGTCGGGCTACAGGATCAGCGACGCCTACACAGCGTCGGCCTCCGTAGCGCCCTGATGCCCTACCGCTGGCAAGGAATGCAACAGCGTGGACAGGGCGTCTGGGAGGGACGACCCAGCACCTCGCACAGCCAGGTTTAGATTCGATCTCTTGGATGATGCGTGGGTATTGATTTAAGCCACTCGTTAGACTTTTAGTTCAAGACATGAATGTGATGAGGAAAGGAAGGATAGGACCGGACTGGACAGGATTGGATAGGATAGGATATATGGACACATAGAGAGCAAGGGAGCAAGTTGCCGGCTTGTGCACCAAGGTGACAGCCTGGCGATGGCGTTTGGACCGACTATTGATTTTACGCACGTATTCGTAGCAGTCGAGGCATGACATTTTGCAGAGGATACCATATCAAGCAAATTATAACGACGGATGCACATTTAACACGAGTCTCTCGCATTGATCTATATGATTGGGCTCAACTACTAGCCTTGAGTATCTACCAAGGAATGGTGCCCTTGTCATCCGTAAATGTACCCGTCTTGCCATCCGCTCCAAGAGTCGCAGCTTGGCAAATGCTGACAGCTCCAAGGCTGGGGTCCTCGGCTCCCTGGAATCCGTTCAGCGTGGTCCCGCAGTGGTGGCCCGGACAGACAATGTTGATCTTCCATTGCGGATCCTCCTCATATCTGATGGCGTAGTGAAGGGCCATCATGTTCAAGGCTGACTTGCTGTAGGTGTAGACGCCATATTCAGGCTTGTGAAGGGCAGACGCAGGATCAGCCTTTCGGGCCAGGCTGCCGAGGGCGGAAGTGACAAAGACGATGCGGCGCGTCTTGCTCGAACGCTCAAGGAGCGGGATAAGGGCGTCTGTGACGAGACTAGTGCCAATGACGTTGGTGTCGAAGACGGTCTGCATGCGAGCGCGGGGAGAAACGTCCAGGCTAAGACCAGAGATGGCACTGTTGTTGATGAGAACATCAAGACGGCCGTACGTATCTTTGATGGACTTGGCAGCAGCAGCGATGCTCTCGTCTGAGGTGATGTCCAAGACGAGGGGGGAGACACGGAGGCCTTTGGCCTGGAAGGAGGAGGCGGCCTCTTGCACGGCGTCTGGGCGGCGGCCAGAGAGAATGACGTGGTAGTCTGGATGCTCAGCCGTGAGCTTCTTGACAACCTCGAGACCGATACCTTGGTTGGCGCCGGTGACGAGGACGATGGTGTTTTCGGGGGTGATGGTGTTAGGAGACATGGTTGTGTGTTGATTGAGGTGCTGTGCTGGTGTGATCTGAAATGTCCAATTCATCGAGGAATGAACCGCTTCTTTATACCATCGAGAATAGCGTATATCTGATTTGAATAACTCATTCTGAAGACATGTCGTCGCCTTTGAGATGCTATCTCCGATGTTGGCTGCTCATGAATCCTAAGTCCGTGATTGGACCAGGGCATCGAGGCCACTCTGAGATTGATTACCCTTTTGGGAAACCACCCAGACACAGTCTTGGTGACAAAATCTTCTGAATATTGAGTCATGGTGGTCAAAAGTGAATCCTTGGAGTTTCGAGGAACCAATTGCGTGACTTGCATGGAACCCGCGCGCCCCGAGGTATTGGGGCTGATGATGAAACTGCAGTTCAGCCTATATATCAGTTGGACCAGCCTTGTATGGCTTATGTGAGCAGCACTGCTGTGCCCGGCTTCATTCATGGAGTAGTTGAATAGATAAAGACCCCAGAAAGTAACGAATCTGGGCTCACACAAGCTCGGCATCACCTGCTTCGACCAAGCGCTTGGCACTGGACCATCTGAGGATGAGGATGTCGCCATTCTCTGCAGGCAGAGTAACATCGGCGTCGGTGCCTTCGCCATGGACATCGCCATCCTTGAGCATACGGATGAAGACGGCAGTATCCATGTCGGGCGAGTCAATCATGCTAATGTTGCCGGCTGTGTCATTGAGATTCTGCAGTTGCTGCGGAAACGACGCCAGGAAAGACGAGAGATAATGGTTATGTAGTAGAGCCTGATGCCTTGTCGCGTAGGCCACCTCTGTCGAGGAGAGCTTCTCCCTAAGTTCCTGGCTTGAGAGGTAATGGAGGGTGTGTTTGTCGATCTTGAAGGAGAGAGTCAGCTGCGTGTTCTGGCCCATGAACCTGTGTAACTGACCTTGGCAATGCGGGCTCGTAGATAGCTCCTGACGAGGAACTTGTACCTCTCCAGCTCTGTCTGAATAACGATGAGGGCAAAGTTTGTCTTGGGGTCCATGTCACCCGTCATGTCCTCGACCTTTTCGATCTGGGACTTGATGCGGGCATTGACGCGCTCAAACAGGCCGTCGGTGGGCCATCTGCAGAAAACCAGTTAGTACGAATACTCGGGAATAGTGGTCATTCATTTCTACTCACTCGAGCAGCTCTGGCGCTGAGCGTTCAGCGACCCAGAGACGCGTCAAGGCCTGCAGGTCGCGCGTCTCACTCGGGACACCGTGGGAGACGGGGTCGACTTGGCGGAGGATGTCGTCGATATCCATCGCGTGAGGAATACTCGTGAAGCAATGAAAAAGGTCTAAAGTGTGTGAGCTAGCGCAAGCTGCAGTGTTTTGCTGTAAGGCGGCCTTGAAGTACAGGTGGTGGTGGGGTTGGTTGGTGATGTGTGAGAAGCACAGTTTCTGTGTTGGAGCGGGGCGAAAGTCCCCGCCATCTCTCACCTCGACTCTTGCCCCCGTCTCATCAACGAACAACAACATGTTATGGATGTCAAGGGAGGCTCTTATCAAATATTTAGCGCCAATATTTAGATAAATGAATGTATCGTTTTCATCTTCTTATACTACAAGGCTACACCGATGGCACAAAGTCGTCGGCGTAGCTCAACCCACATCCTTAATCCACAGCTTCATGAGACCATGTCTTCTCTATCCTTCAATATGCCAATATCTGCAGGTGTCGGGAATGATTTTCACCTATATCCATGCCGTCTATTCTAGGTCGTAGAAGTTCTGTGTATCCGTCTCTGTCATCTTTCGCCTTATTTCTCTCTCGCTGTCTTCATGCCACTCTTGCTCTTGCACACTGCCATCATGACAAGTGTCACCATAAGCCTCCATTCTCTTATTCATACATTTCTGCCCAAGTTTGCAAAACCCTATGGCTTTTCGTGCTAACGACTGGCCTAGTCACTGTAGAGAAATCATTGGACCTTCTTGAGGGGCTTGTGAGCCTCCTTTTGAGCAGCTTGGTAGCCGTTGACTCGCGCATAAACCCACTTGAGGCATGAGGATGAGACGGTAACCAAACCAGCCGAAAAGGTGAACAACAGTACACGCTGCTCAGTAGATAGAAGCTCAAACAGAGGGTATGGGTACCTGTTGTCGAGTAAGCATCATCATACCTCTCTATTGGGCCGTGCAATGACTTACCATCCGTTGTGGCTGAAGCAAAGCTCAACCCAATACCAGTAAGCAAACGCAATAACCGTGCTGATTGCCATGATGGTGTAGGCCGGGATAGTCCACGGCGGACTCAGGAGAATCAGATCAAGTGTCAAAAAGACGGCCGGCGCGAGGTGGAAGCCGATATCCGGCAACATGTCTAGAACAAAGTCGCCGGCCATGAGTAGATTGGGGTCGATGAACCTAATGCCCCAGTAGAGAATTGAAATGACAACCTCTAGAGGCGTAGCGAGGACGGCCACGGCATTCTTGGCTTGGAAAAGCGCATGGCTCAGAGTGAGGTCGGCTAAGACTCCAAGGGCAAAGGCGATGAGAGATGCAGTGAGACCAATGATGGTGAGAAACTGGAAATGCCAGCCATATGATACGGAAAGAGGCGTCTCCCACACTGTCAGGAAGTGGAAGTTGTAGCTGAATGAGGCCAAACCAAGAACGTGAAGAAGAAGTGAGACGGAACGGGAGGGCGACGTGAGTCGCTGAAGAGGGTGTGCTGCCATTGTGTCTAGATGGAGGAGGATGGCTGTTTCTAGTCCAAGTCTAAGAGGCGAGCGGTGAAGGCATAAACTCGATTGAAGAAATCAGACCAAAAAAAGGTGTCCTTCTCTATTTACAGACGACATGAGATCAGGATCCAAGTGGTTTGACCCGTCCCCGGAGTCTCGGACCTGGCGTGAACCCGCCATGACCTCAATGTGGACCTCGGCCTGCAAGGAAGCAAGCCTGAGTAAGCTCGCCTTGGTGGGTTACAGTGTGAGGTTGGAGCACCAGCCACAATCAAAGGTCGCGCCACATGTGGCTGACTTTTTTGCCTGGACGACGATCCTGCGACGATCCAGTCGCGACACTGAAGTACAACGACAACAGGCAACAAGACTCGATACTTGTGTCGACTTTCAGAACCATCTTGGACCAAAGTTTGGACCTTGAAGGCGACACTCAAAATGGCAGCGGACGATGATGACAATCGCTCTCAGAAGCGCAGTCACTCCGAGTTTCGCGACGATGCATCAGGTACGTCCATCTGTCGCGTTCCCATCACCAAGCTAACCAGCTCTCAGACAGTTCCTCCGACGATGACATGGGCCCTCAGCTGCCCTCGGAAGCACCAAAGAAGAAGCGACGAGTCCTCCCCCACGAAAAGCTCTACGTCGCCGCCCTCCCCAAGTCTGCGCGATACTCCAAGTCGCTGATGCACAAGGAGCAGATCCTCTTTGCGACATGGACGCCCCTGACCGAATTCCTCATCACATCCTCTGTGGACGGTGTCGTCAAGTTTTGGAAGAAGATCGCCCAGGGTATAGAGTTTGTCAAGGAGTTCAAGGCGCACAATGGCGAGATCGTGTCGGTTTCCGTGAGCAAGGATGGACGGAGCTTTGCGACTGCTGGCGCCGACGAGACGGTCAAGATCTTTGATGTCATCACCTTTGACCTCTTATCCATGATTTCACTCAACTACACGCCAAACTGTGTCTGCTGGGTCCACTCCAAGGGCGCCTCCTTGCCGTTGTTGGCCGTTTCCGAGCAAGCGAAGCCCCTGATACACATCTACGACGGAAGAGGAGAAAAGGAGGAGGCTATTCACACCATCAAGGGCCTGCACAGGAAGCCGGTCCATCTGATGACGTTCAATGAGCAATACGACTGCGTTGTTTCCGCCGATGAGGGTGGAATGCTGGAGTACTGGCGGCCGAGTGGGAATTATGAGAAGCCTGAAGGGGTCTTTGAGTACAAGAGCTCGACCAACCTGTTTGATTTCAAAAAGGCAAAGTCAGTACCTTCATGCCTCTCCGTATCTCCCAACGGGAAATATCTCGCAACATTCTCCTTGCCGGATCGAAAAATTCGCATCTTCGACTTTGCGACGGCCAAGCTGCACCGAGAGTACGACGAATCTCTTCAGGCCATCGAGGAGATGCACCGAGCGGGCACAGGGGCAAACAAGCTGGATAACGTCGAGTTTGGCCGAAGAACCGCCCATGAGAGGGACATTGAGTCGCAAACGCTCAAGTACAAGTCCAATGTCATCTTTGATGAGTCGGGCAACTTTATCATCTATGGCTCCATGCTGGGGATCAAGGTCCTCAACACATATACCAATCAAGTGGTCAAGGTATACGGAAAGGACGAGAACTTTCGCGCTGTGAACCTGGCCATCTACCAAGGCCAGCCTCAGAAGAAGGGAGTGACGACTGTGGAGATGGGTGCTTCTAGCAACCCATTGCTCCAGGAGTCTGAGACCCGAGATCCGATCCTGGTGGCAACAGGTGTCGGCAAGGTCCGATTCTACATGTTCAACAACGAAGAAGATGTTTCCAAGTCAACGCGAGACGTTCAGAACGAGCGACCCACGATGCTGGGCCAGAAGAAGGACGCAAAGGCGAAAAAGGCCGAGACGGGTACGGGAGCTGTGATCCATACCACGTATGGAGACATTCACATCCGGCTGTTCCCCGACGCAGCACCAAAGACTGTCGAAAACTTTGTCACACACTGCAAGAGCGGCTACTACAACAGCACCATCTTCCACCGTGTTATCCGCAAGTTCATGATCCAGGGCGGAGACCCGCTGGGCGACGGCACGGGAGGCGAGAGTATCTGGGGACGCGAGTTTGAGGATGAGTTTAGCAGCTTGAAGCACGACAAGCCGTATACGGTGAGCATGGCCAATGCAGGCCCCAACACCAACGCCAGTCAGTTCTTTATCACGACAGAAAAGACGGTATGTTACACCACCTTGAAGATAATGAGAATATATATGACTAACTCGTAACAGCCCTGGCTGGACGGCAAGCACACCATCTTTGGCCGCGCGACACAAGGATTTGATGTTATCCACAAGATTGAGAATGTGCGGACGCACAAGGAGAAGCCGGAGGAGGACATCAAAGTCCTCAACATTGACATTATATAGAACAATGACAGAAGGCGCTGATTAGCGGATGAGGGATGTCTGCTCAAGTTGTAGTATACTTGGTCCTGAACGTGCACAATCGGGAAGTTCCTCCAACTTGGCCCTGGTGCTCTCTTGCACCTACTCTGGCGGTACCTACATAGGTACTTTGCCATAGTACCTCCCTTTTCTTCAATAGGTTCCTGCTAGAAGACCTGCGTCACATGTTAAACAGCGTCTTTCTCGTTTCTTCTCCACATTGACACATTGCTTGGCTTATATACTCCATATCCAAGATCCCCGACATCGAACTCTCACTACAGTGGTTGATCACAACCACACATCTTCCGTAGTATAGTGGTCAGCATGCAAGCTTGTCATCGACCTAGGGATAATAATCGATATTTCTAACATACTACGCTCCCTAACCGATCGCTTCTGCTTCTACTGCGGCTATGACCATCTCCGCTCTCTCTCGGTTTGCCCCAGCCCTTATCCTGTGTTTCCTCAACTTGCCTGCCCAGACCATGAGACGACAACAACAGCAAATGCCAGCCCAAATGACGTAACCGGCCAATGAGGACAATACAGGCAGGGGCGTGTTCCAGGGGTTTGTTCTCAGGGCGTAGCTGTGGGGACGTGTAAAGTCAAAGTCACGGCTGCAAGGGACATGTCGAGCCCTTTGGAAGACGAAAGATTGACATGCTTGACATGGACGACATGGCTTGGGGACGTGTTGTTGACAATGGAAGCGCCGCATGGAAGGAAGGAAGCAAGCAAGTTCAGCTCTGGCGAAACAATAGAATCGGAGTTCCCTAGCGCAACAGGCGCTAGAAGGTGGCGGTTAACTAACTTAGTTTTTTTTTGTACTGTACCGTAAGGTTGTCTGCCCTTTTTTCAACTCCCGCGAAGGAAGATGGAGGAGTGACTCAAGCCAATTAATTTAGAGGGTGTAGAGGCAGGGGAGAGAAGAAAAAACCGTCGCAACAATGAGGGTACCCGATCTACCACCAGGCCCACGGGCGCAATCGATGTACTCCCCTTGGATCGACTGCTAAAACCGGCGCGGGAATGGCGGGGGCAACAGGAGGCTCCTCCAATCATGCGGGGCAGTTTGGCAACCATGGAGTGACTTCTTTCGAGTTTTTGGAGCAAGCAGAGAGTGTGACACACCGACGCCGGCGCAAAGGGACGGGGTCACCTCAGGGAGGGTACGGAAATATAATTGTATACTTTTTTTTCCTCCTCTCTCGTTGCTGTAATTCTCCTTCTTTTTCGTCTTCATACCCTATCTCTCTCTATCTTCTCCTCCTGTCTAATTGGACTTGATCTCTACGATTGACTTGTATCTCCCGTCTTCTACCCCGCCATCACAGTCACCATGTCCGTACGTCTACCCTCCCAAGCTCCCTGGTCCCTTTGTTCCTTTGGCGGGGTGACTCACGAGTAGCGCAGCAGTTCTTCATCCAGAATAAGAATGTCGGCAACCAAGCCGAGTCTGAGGATTGGAGAAGTGAGTAATACCTCCTGGCAATCTATATTTGCCCCGGCGACCTCTACGTCTGTCGGCGCGCTTGATCTCGACCTGTGCTGACCAGCTCTTAGTCCGTGGCTACAACCCTCTGACTCCTCCTGATCTGCTCCAGCACGAGATCCCCCAGACCGCCGAGTCCAAGAAGACAGTGCTCGAGGGCCGTAACGAGACCGTCGCCGTCGTCAACGGCACCGACGAGAAGCAGCGCCTGCTCGTCGTCATCGGACCCTGCTCCATCCACGACCCCGAGGCCGCCCTCGCCTACTGCGACCTCCTCCTCAAGGAGAAGGAGAAGCACAAGGATGAGCTCCTCATCGTCATGCGATCCTACCTCGAGAAGCCCCGCACCACCGTCGGCTGGAAGGGTCTGATCAACGACCCCGACATTGACGGTAGCTTCAAGATCAACAAGGGCCTGCGAATCTCGCGACAGCTCTTTGTCGACCTCACCTCCAAGGGCATGCCCATTGCCAGCGAGATGCTGGATACCATCTCTCCTCAGTTCCTTGCCGATCTGCTGTCAGTTGGCGCCATTGGCGCTCGTACCACCGAGAGCCAGCTTCACCGTGAGCTTGCCAGTGGTCTCAGTTTCCCCGTCGGCTTCAAGAACGGCACTGATGGCTCGTTGAACGTGGCCATTGACGCCATTGGCGCTGCCGAGCATCCCCATCACTTCCTTTCCGTCACCAAGCCCGGTGTTGTCGCCATTGTCGGCACTGAGGGCAACCATGACTGCTTCGTTATCCTCCGAGGTGGTTCCAAGGGCACAAACTACGACGCTGAGAGCATCGCCGCTGCTAAGGAGGCACTGGCCAAGAAGGGTGTGCGACAGCGACTTATGGTCGACTGCAGCCACGGCAACTCTCTCAAGAACCACAAGAACCAGCCCAAGGTGGCCGCCGATCTCGCCAGCCAGATCTCCAAGGGTGAGGATGCCATCATGGGTGTCATGATTGAGAGCAACGTCAACGAGGGTAAGTTACCAAGTCGCACCATTCGAATGCAAACTAACAGAGTCAAGGCAACCAAAAGGTTCCCGCCGAGGGCAAGTCTGGTCTCAAGTACGGCGTGAGCATCACGGATGCCTGCATCAACTGGGAGGACACAATCACAACGCTAGAGACTCTGGCACAGGCTGTAAAGGACCGTCGCAACCTCGCCCCAGTCAACGGTGCCTAAGCTGTACGAGTTTGGAGAGTTGGGTG